AAAAAAAAAAAAAAACAAAAAACCGGAAAACGTCAGTCGACACTTTTAAATCTAGATGCGTATAAATTCATGTGTTTACCGAAGCGAGTGAAGCTAGAAGCCCACCTGTATACACAAAATATCCACGCGCGCGCGTATATATATATAAACATATATATATATATACTACATATATTTTTATGAACGTGATGAGGTAACAACGCATAGCTTGTAATATCGATTCTAACAACCGACGATTTACCTTGCCCCTCGCGTTCGAATTAAACGGTTGAGCGGCTATAATTTTTCGATAAGTTTTTCTCTCGTTTTTTTCTTTCTATCTATTATTTTTTTTTCTCTCTTTCCCGTCTCCTTTTCTTTTTCTGTTCCTCGTTTTAAGTTAAGGCGTAATCATCATTACATACAAAAATTGAGATCATTTTGTTTACGGCCTACGGGAATGCATATCCGTAGTGCACTTGCTTAAACAGTTTTTGTTATTTCATTATACATGTACGAAATGAGGTTCGTTGTCCGATTTAAATGTATTTTTAATCAATCAATTTTGAGTTATAAACTGTTTCTCTTTCATTCGTGTATACTTTATGCATACCTTTACCTTCCTTAATACTATTAGCATGTAAGACATAATTCAGCAATGTCATATTTTCATCACAATATGCACATTCACAATCAATTTTAAAGCTACATTGCCATTTTAATTTCAAGCAAGAAAATTGATCGGACATGTTCAAATAAAACGTACTCACCTTGTAGAAGACATCTGGAACATATTGTTTGTCTGATGATTCAATTACATAGCCCAATTCTGGAGCATCTTTTGTAGGAACCAGGCAACCATCTCGAACCAAAGCCATGCATTGATTGGACACTTGATAACCCTCCATGTGAATTTGATTTTTCTCATCGCCTATAATCAATATGTATAATTTTATAAGTAAATCCATATCTTGTATATACGTACAAAATATGTCAAGACAAAGCAGTTTGATTATAACGTGATGCAAGTGACTTACCAGTAACACAAACAGTAACAAACTTTGAACCAAAATAATTATTAGGAGAAAAACGACAAAGATTTGGATATTTGTTTTGAAAATACCCAGCCATAATACACTCTTGAGCAGACAAAAAGTGACTTTCTATATTTCGAACGTGTTTCACCTGGATAAATTAGACTAATGCTATTAATGAAGAACTTTACCTTATAAGAAATAAAAACAGATTAGTTGTAGATAAATTTACCGTTCCTTTCTTGATATCATCAGCTATAAGATCAGTAAAAATCCATCCAACTCTTTTTAAATTAAGTAAATGAGCCAATTCATCGACTACTGCTTCTTTTTCATCTGGTAAAAGTCGTATAGAATTTTTTGTACTTTCCTAGAATAATTATGATTACGTTATAGATTACGTCGATGATATTTACAGATCGATCATTTTAATATTACTTATTTCTACTGAAATACCTGTGGTGGCTCATAAATAGCTGCAACAACAGCTCTAATTCCTAATGGTACGTCTGTATGTATTTCGTATCTTCCATATAAAAATCCAATACGTTGATGACCAGTGCTACGCCAATAATTGAGAAAACGTTCAACTAAACTTGGATTTTCAAACATAACATTATCTACGTGACGATAAGTTTGACGATTTAAAGTGATAGAACTTGGTTGGCATTTGCTACATATGCCTCGTGGCCAAGGTGGATGATCTTTACAACCAGTCTTTATACGGCAGTTTATGTCATCTAATTGTATAAACTTCCCTCTATAAAATATTTAAAAGTTGTACATGAAATGTATTACACACTATAGAGCTTAACATACCTATCAACACCAGCAGTGAGTTTCCTGAGATACGAATGAAAAGACAAGTGTTTTATATTTTGTTCCTTAAGGTAAGTTTCATCAAAAGGTTCTAGAGGAGTACAATGAACACAGCATCCATTTGCACCATGTCTACATCTATTTGATAAATTATGTTATGTATAATATAGTTTTATATAAAAAAAAAAACTTATTTATACTCATATCTACTTACAGTTTCTCATCACGTTTTCTTTGTATTTTACCATCAAGTTTCCACAATTGTTCATCAACATCTTCCATTGTATTTGAAACAGCATTGATAGTATGATTGATGGTTTCTGTTTCGTCTATTGGTCTTGGTTCTAGCATTAAATGAGGATATGACATTAAATTAAAGTAAAGGAAACAAAGGAAATGAAATAAAAAAAATATAAAAACCTTGAGAAATATCAATGGTGGCAGTACTAGTTGAAGGAATACTCCACAACTGTGTACTACTCTGAGGAGCCAGATACAACATATCTCCATGAGAAAGGCGTACTCCTGAAACTGTTTTATTATGAGAAAATGGAAGTTCATTTTTATGATTCCGTTCCTTATAGAGTCCAAATCCATTAGTATTCAATTCAAAGGCTTTAGAAACCTATAATTTTAAAAAAATTAGTGAATGCTTACATAATTACAAATTATTGTTTCACAAAAATCAAAATACAAACCTTATCGTAAAGTTGAGAAATTGTGTCAAACAAATTTACATCTATACGTTTTGTTCCTTCTGAACATTGCACACGTAAAGTCTATAAACAAATAAATATCTATAATCAAAGATTCATAGATATATACATTTAGAAAGAAATTAAAAAATAATTTCATATTAGTAACTGAACAAAAGTATTAATATTTCTTCTGATAATATTTATTTGTTAAACAGAAATTAAAGTATATTAAATACAAAAACATAATATCATATAAACAAATATAAAATAAATATAACATTGTGTGGATATATCATTGCAATATATTTACAATTCTTTTATAAACATGTATAAAAAGACTTATACAAAAAAATAAATATAAATTAAATACAAACATTAGAGCAATATTTATTACAAAGACATGCGTTAGTTTAAATTTCCAATACTGTATTTATATTATTTAATTTTGATTTTGAAAAACTATAAAGGAAAAACAAAAGGATAAGATTCAATTGGATTTGTATCTGGGAATTTTTAGTAAATTACAAGCCACTGCATGGATTGTAAAATTTTCCGGATTTCTGAAACGAATGACCTATTTTTTTTGGTAAAACGCGATTACATTTCAATCGTGCGGCCTACATAGATGAATTAATTGAGGTTAATCGCTTAACAGTAAGTAACTTACAATTTGCCTAGACTTTGACATTTCGCCGGTCTCAACGAAGCATCAGCTGTTCAATCCGCGTTTAACTTGCTTGCTCGTAACACAGTATTGCTAAAGTCCCTAGTAAGTGAAAGAAAATTGTTGAGTCAACATCTAGTATCCTAACCTCTTTGCATGATTTTGCAAATATCAATAAAATATTGTAAAATATGGTGTATTTTTTCCAACACTTTCGTTATCATATTGGTTGTTTCCTATTTTAAAATTCTCTAACACAAGACTGAACACGATGTGTGAAGTTTAAGAATTACATCGATGAGAGAACTGTATTGCTTGATTCATTTGCTCACCAGTAGAATTTCACAACTTGAACGGCTGCACACTGCTTTTTTCGACGTTACCGGACGATAGATTAACAACCACGCGACCTCGAGTACAAATTAGGTGAGTTTCTGTCTAAAAAAATAATATTGTTACGTGCTTTTCGATGTTGTATGTTGTGTGCACCCTATTTTCACCACACGAACGAACACGGAAACAATGTCAGTTGTTAACTTTACAATCAGTGCGGAGACGAGTTTGGCAACTGAATATTGCAATCCTATTCTACTCTCCTCGTTTATTTGTCCCTTCCTTTTCTGTGAATTGCGACTTCGTAATTCGAAACAAAAAAAAAAATGAACGCGTCTCCTGTGTTTTTTGAGTCACCCCGTATTTGCTGAGTAATGTCTTCCCTCGATATTCGAAACTGTGTTTCGCGTTGTAGTATTGGCCCTCCTTGCATTTATTTTTCTGGCACTTTCACTTACACGAATTTCTATTGAATGTCAAAGAGCAACATGTAACGTAAGTGACATTGCGAGGAATATATGATGTATATTTGTGCTATTTTATTTTAAATGTCTGAATTACAAAGAATCGTAGAACAGCGACGCAGGTTGTTGAACCGATCATAAATTGGTATCTGGTCATGGCCACGATGGCGGTAGTTACCAATTACCAGGTGATCGTCTTCGATTATAAATAAAATAGAGATTGCTTTTATCTATGCTTCGATTTTACAATGATTATTACAAGAATAGGACGATTAATTCATTGACCGTTGATTGTGAATTGTGAAATATGAAGCGGCAAGGTGATACAGTTACCTAGAAGATTAGAAACATTTTTGGCTAATGAAATAAATATTTATATGTTTTCTGAAGAATTTCTTTTTCTGATGTTGTCAATCTCATTTAATATGCATTTTGTTCTTTGAATTTATTATTCTTTCATTCTAGAAGATCAAAAAGTAACAAACAAATGTTTAGATTGAACTTTCTTGAATTTATATGCTTATGATTAATGAAACAAGTAACGTTGATACATCAATTGCATTATTTTCATTGAATATGTACCTATCTATCTATTTATTTTTTCGCAAAATAAAATAGTAACACAATTACAATAACTAATAACAAAACCAAGATTTCATCTTTCACATTTTATTTCAAAGTAATAAACAAAAACGCTTGGTCGAGCATAGGTTATATTAGGTTATATTACTCGGATGTTAGGTCACGGTAACCAAATTAACCTTTCTTCAATAATAATTTTTATTATAATCTAAAGATGTTTATACGCATAACAATTTGTTACATTGTACAAAAACACAAACTCAGTTAACTTTTTAAATCAATGTTGTTCTGCGTTAAGAAAGAAGAAAGTGTTTCTGCAGTTTTTTTTTTTTTAAGTGTTGGAAGACCAGTTGTCGCAGAAAAGTAAAGACGTCACGCTATTTGAAAAAAAAAAAGGAAAGAAATATATTTCTCAGGAATTCCTCCAAAAATGTGACTTTTACAGCTATTCATTATGTTACTGGCCGTGATGCCGGTAGGCAGGCGCTGCCTTCGGCATCAACCCTCTTACCTCTTTACCGTTTCTTCCTGAAGTACGACTACCGCGCCGTGTCTCCACACTGGTTCCTGACTCTGACGAACATTTGGGCACGATCAGTTGCATTTGCTAGCCAGTAGCCATCAAGCAGGAGGTGTACATCTTCGTGCTGTATCATTATCCAATATACCAATTTTCACCGGGTCATTTTGACATACCAAAGTCAAGTGATTTTACCATTCTTTCAATTCGTAATTACCACTCTATTATCCCAGTTGCTATTATCCTGATAATCCATCCACCTGTTAGTAGATCATCGTCAATGAAAACACGAAGATAGGTAAGAAGTACTTTGATCACTTCCTAGTTTTTTGTATTTGCTTACTAATAATTCGACTAGATTTCATCTAGATATTTTTAAACTCATTGTTAACTTAGTTTCCTAAATTGATGTATTTTTAACTTTATTTTAGCTGCATTTGTGTTATTTGGTACAATATATATAGCATAGAGAGCATGTACGAAGGATTTCAAGCAATATAAATGCAAGTAATCGGTTAGTATCAAACTTTTGACAGTGTTTTGTTTGCCATACGCACGGGGGAATACCGTGTTTGTAAAAGTCGCATAATCAAGTGTTTGAACGTGCTCATATATTGCTGATTCATCTCTCGGGATGTGATGCATCGAGATCTATTACATGTCACCATCAAGCGTAAAAATTACGCGACAAAGATCTTTCTATTTTTATAATTTTACTGATCTTACTCATGCTATACGTATATCTTAAACAGGAATTATTTATACGAATCTTATTATACCGTGAAAAATAACAATAAGATCAGGTGGTCTAATATTTTTAGCCGGTAGTGTAGGTGTGAATTAAACTTTGCGCTCCATCTGATGCGGGATGAGAAAAGTGTCATCTACGAAACAAGTTCTAACGTCTTATCGAGGCAAATGTTTAGTTCTGCGGAGCAACCGGTATAATTATGCCTTCTATTTGTTACATATACGAGGTCGAGATGTTCTATTTTGTTACATATAAGGAGGTGCTGTTGGAAAATTCTCCAACAACGTGTAAAATAGATTCACTGTAATATTCAATGTTCAACTAGTTTTCACTTTCGACCGTGACGAAAGTTGAAGAATCGATTTAAATCACGTTGTTTTTTGATTGGTCGGTGCTAACCAATCAAAACGGTACATTCGACTTTCACTTGTTTGATGTCGTGGCACATTCTCGATCTTGCAAACGGTAAAGTGTTATCAATAATACGAAAGTTTACGCGGGAAACCAGCTGATGGATCTATGGAACAATTTTTTTCATGAACTTTGCTCCTCCTTGAGTTTACGTAATCAAAATATAGATCATAAATGTTTTGAATATTTAATTTGATTTAATAATTTCGATTTAATTAATCGGTCGAACACTCGCGCGTTCTATGCTTTTAAAAAGAAAGGAAGATGTCTAAAGATAAAGTAAGGTTAAATAAAGAATTTATACTTTTTCTTTATTTACTCATAGACGTTAGAATTATCTATTAGACATTTTCCTTTTAATCAAGTACCATTTATCGTAAGTATACATTTTTAATTGTTTGTGTTACAGTTCGGCAAGATGGACAATGCGGAAGATATGAAGACAACCGTCGAGTTATACATTTATGATCTTACGAAGGGTATTGCCTCTATGATGTCTAGGCTCGTCATCGGTAAATTAAAAATAAAAATATCTCTTAGATAAGCGTAATGCATAAGTGTTTTGACATCGGAATATAACAAAGTGATAAATAATTATTTTGAAGAAAAATATGAATTGCTGGCCTAGTTCGTACCACCTAGGCCGCGTTATATGTTATTTAAAGGCACATAAATTCCTGCATCTTCCTCTGGTGCGTACGCACAAAATAAACAGCAACAACTGGATATTTTTAAATCGTGAATAACAAAAATATTATACACAGAATTTACTTCTCTGTCTTTTAAAACTACACAACTGATTTACAAATGATTTAATAACATTGATGTTTATAACTTATAGTGTCAACGCTAGTTCTATAATTGTATAATTCGTAATTGAAAAATATTACTCTCAAGAACTGACAATTATCAAAATATTTCCTACAATTGATATATTGCTTACGAATTTTAGGAAATTATAGAATTCTGAGTATTTTATTATATTAATTTAACAATCATTGAAGTTATTTTCTTATTTTCAAAGAATAAGCATGTTAAAATTTACAAGTTCAAAAGTTATCTGTCAGTTGTCGTAGGATGGTTTCTCACTATCACAGTTGTATTTATTATACTCCAGGTATTATGTATCCAAGTTACAATGTTTCTTCTTAGGAGTTAAACTGTACCATGCAATCTTAGGAATCGAGGCAATTTAAAGAAGGACAATTAGAGAAGTGAAACAAATCGTAGGGCAAAGGTAACTTGGCACAGAAATATTCGTCATTGGGATTGTTGGATTTGTTGTTTCGTGTGATCTTAACTTATTCTAAATTTGGGATGACTGAATGTTAGGAGAATTTGTTACTTTTGTTACTTCTTACTATTTTATTATTTACCAGTAACAGTTTTTCATTTTCACGAATTATGACTATTAATTATGTTTCAGTAAAATTAAATTTATATCCTATATTATCCTGCAAGACGTGAGATTGACACTGAAACAATTAACATGTATCGAAAGCAAGGAGTTATTTATGAAAAGTACAGTGAAACAGGAAGCTCGAAGCATCGCAATGTATTTGAAGAAAATCTGAACGCATATCGTGATGCAATACGGGAGTAACGAAATAAAAAAGAAAGGGAGAGAGAGTATGTATAATTCAAACGAAATTTCATGGGAAAGTTGTAAAATACAGCATACGCACACGTGTTTTCGTGAAACGTTTACGTCACGTATCCAAGGTTCGTTCTTTACTCACGATCAGTCGCCGAGCTTGCAGATCTATTTTCAGAAGGCACTATGTACTTGTAATTGTTCGTGAGCTTGGTATTTCACGCTGCACGCGATTTTACTGATAAGCAAATAAATACGTGATTTACACATTTGTCTACACACGGGGAAAAATCGAAAACGAGTCCAGTAAAAAACAAAGTCCAGAGAGTCCAAAGACGAGAATGGATAATGTTTACGCATTGCAGATGTACCATGAAAATAATAAAATAGGAGCCAGACAATGCGGAAGAATAACAACGAAGAACGTTTGTTGAATCGGAGTAGAAAAGTATACAATGAAATGAAGGATAATTTGAGACAAAAGTGTACACATCTCTTTACATTGGTTAAAACGTTAATCAGTTATTAGCATCATAAACATTTTTTATCGTTTCTTTGATACTTTTGTTTAATACCAAGAATTAAGAACGCACTAACTAATAATTATTGAGTTATGAAACAAAAGAAGTCTCTTTTCATTTTCAGTGCAACATAACGTGTCAATTGTAATTAACAGATGCGTTAATTATAATTTGATTATCAGACAGATGTATTAAATTCATCCGTATATTTAATTTAAATATGTCTGACATTGCTTGAGTTTGTTCTTAAATTAACAGAAAGTCAGTGAAAATTAATTAGCAGCGGTGAAACGTTGCATAATCTCTGAAAGTGGTGAATTGTCGTGGTGGATGGTCGTAGTGGCTATTTCTCGCGGTTATTTCACCACGGCGACCCTCCCAGAAACGCGTTGCAATAAGATAATCGCGGATGTGCTTAGCTATTCCCGCGATGAGAAACTAGGTCGAAGGAGACTTGTGCCGACGATTATTAGCTCGAACCTCGTCCAAGCAGGCTGAAATTGTACCTTTACGAAGCGAATTTGCAACGAGGAGTTCGTTGGTCCTTGAGGAATATTATTTACCGCGACCCACGAGTTCACTAGACTATATATCGATATCAGAACACGAGCACGTTTTATCACAGATGTAAATGATGCCATAAATACTCTAATGAGAGCAACTTTATATAGCACCAGTATTAATTTTTCGATATAGGTATATTACAGTACATGGTATAGGTATTATAAATTATAATATAGGTATTATAGGTATTATAAATTAAATTAAAGGTATTATAAATTAAATTATATATAGGTATTATAAATTATATAAAGTATAATACATTTTTAAAAATATTTGACGTTATCTAATTATCATTAGTTATAAATATTTAATTCAGTGTTGCTATCTTTGTTAAAACTGCTTCTAAGTTAATTTTTGAATATCACGAGTGAAGAGGACATTATCTATTATTTGAATATTAGTTTATCTATTATTTGAATATTACATTCACAGAGGATAGTTTATCTATTATTAGATAAACTATCCTCTGGCAAGTCAGATAAGTGCATTTTTATATATTGGAAGTTGGAAATTTCCATCATTTGTGAAATTGTAAGATATTATGATTTATAATTGAAACGTTTTGTTTTAAGGAATATTAGTTTATCTATTATTTGAATATTAGTTAATATATTAGTTTATCTATTATTTAAATATTAGTTAATATAGTTTAATATTAGTATTATTTGAATATTAAATTCACAGAGGATAATTTATCTATTATTAGATAAACTATCCTCTGACAAGTCGGATAAGTTTATTTTTATATATTGGAAATTTCCATCATTTGTAAAATTGTAATATATTATGATTTATAATTGAAACGTTTTGTTTTAAAGAATTTTATTTTAGTTTTGCTGTTGGAATAATAACAGATAAAATGTTAAAGTGGAAAAAATAAAGGACGTCGCTAGAATCTTAAATAGAGCTGAGAACTGATACTGCGGCAGAGTCTCTGAATGTTTTTGTAGAGCGAAAATTTTCTTTACAGTATTAAAATATCACTGCACTAATTTCGATGTAATATTAGCATAACCGGGCCGTCATTCCAAACGCAATCTTGCAATCCAAGGTTTGACGTTAGACAATTGTACAAATTAAATTGACAATCTCTTTTGAAAATAAAACGCGGACGAAAATCTCCAAATGATGATTGTTGTTGATAATAAACGGACCATTCACGTGAGCTTTCGAAATGAAATTGATTCCTTTTTGTAAAATATACTACAATGATGAGTCGTGTCAACGATAAATTAATACTGATAGAAACACATTGTTGTCCATGCGTAGGTCAACACGTAGAGGGGATATGGCATACAGCGATCGTAGCATACGGAAGAGAATACTTCTTTGGTCCATCCGGAATTCAAACTGCTCGACCCGTGAGTACCAGCAGAAAATTCTTTACAAATGTGGAAATCAAGGAGAGACGCGAAGCAAGTTTAGAAATGAAAATATTCAACAAGCATCGACGAACAACGTACGACGTGAAACGAATCTCAAGTGGCCGGTCGTCATAAAATTAGCTGAGGAAAAAAAAAAAAAAGAAAAAAAGAAAGAAAGATTGCCCACGGCGAAATGTTAGGTTGCTCGAAATGCATCTCTCCATCGTCGAGAGATGGTGACCTATCGGGGCACGCGCTAGCCGTAGCGGCGAGTCACTCTGGCCATACGATACGCTAGACACGGAGTGGGTACTAAATTTGGTCCGGTTGAGCCTAAAAATAATTTCCCCGAAGCTTCACTTCACTCTCTTTCACGCCTCTCTCTTTCTCATGGCTCTTTCCATCCTATGGCTCGTCGTTTAGATTCGACGAAGGCGAAAGCTAATCGGTAAGTCTCTTCTCGGCTAAGGAAGCATCGATCTCTCCCGTTTCGTGCCTTCCTTCTCGTCTAACGCGCGTCTAACGTTCCTCGCCGGCCTCCCTGCAAACGCGGAAATAAAGAAGAGCGGGGAAGAAAAAAAAAAATATGCCTCGGACAGTTCGCCAAAAGCCTCGACATTTTTCGACAACTTATATTTAGCACTTGAGAGAGACGAGCCATCCAAAATTCCTCGAAATCGAGTGTCGTTCCGTCCGCGCTGGAAACTAAAGTAAAGTGTAAAAGTGCGACTCTGGAATCTACTGGAATCGAGTTTAACATTTTCCAACATTTCTCCTCACATTTGGCTGTGCGAACGAACGAACTGACCGTCGTTAACATCGGCGCAACCGATACTGGCGGCGTGGACGATCACAGGCTGGGCCAGGTGTTTGCTCGATGCGTCGCATAAGCGCGACATCGTCGCCAGAGAGTAAACCGAAACCGGCGAAACCGGGCGAAGAGCGTGCGCGCTGCCCGCCAACGCGAACTCGAATATCCCGTCGCCGGCTGCGTGGCGTCGAATCATCTTGAGGCGCCGCGACGCCAGTTTGTGCCCGAGTGGTTCCTCGACGAGAAAACGGTCTCACCGTGCTCCTGCCGATCCTCCCGATTTCTATCACTTCGCTGAAAATTGTTCCATCGGCCGGAACAGGTGCAAAATTCTGCATACACTTCTCGAGTGTTGTACCATTTACCGCGACTGTCTGTTACCACCATGCGTAGATCAGTTGATTATCAATCACGTCTTTGTTTTCATTGATTTTAACAAATTTAACGACAGTCCCCGCTTGATCCCCTCGATGTTCGTTCGTTGAATTTCAACCGAAAATCGTGACTACGGCCAGCGAGTTCTGCCGTAGAATGCAACATCCGCTACACCGGTTATTTTAAGCGGTTTCTCACAGGGAAGCGCGAGTTTGTCGCGCTTCTAAAATTACGTGCACGTTAATAATATTAAGGGTGACGGATGCTCACACATTTGCTAGAACGGCGGCTCGACTGTCGCGGAATTGACACTGGGCGCGTTTTCCGCTGTCCAAGTTTTTTTCTTTTTTTTTTCTTTCTTTTCCTTTCCCACGCACGCGGCGAACTGACTTATTCTATTTCCAGGGTGGCACGGCGCTGGGAGAACCGCTCAAAGTGGAAAAAGTCGGCGAAACGTACCTGCCATATTCCGTCTTCTTCGAATACATAAACGGCTTGGGTGCATCCACGTTTGCGTGAGTTGTCCTCTCGGGCATCTGAGAATCATCTTCGCGAATAGAACAAAATAGAAACGAGCACGAATGTTTGAAAGATTGGGCAAAATTTTAAAAGTTTGCCAATCTTCTGGATAAGCGGATAAATAATATTCTTGTCGACCGAAGTATCCAGTATCAGTTGAAGTATTTTCTTTCAAAGGAAATATATTTCTAATTATATAATAATAATAATAATAATAATAATAATTTTTTTTCAAAGAAAATATATTCCTAATTATATAATAATAATAATAATAATAATTTTTTTCAAAGGAAATATATTCCTAATTATATAATAATAATAATAGTAATAATAATATAATATAATATAATAATAATAATTATTATTATTATTATTATTATAATTTACAATTTCTCATTAACATCTGTTATTTATCTGTTGAATTTCAGCCCGGGCACGTACAACCTCTTCAAACACAATTGCAATTCCTTCACGAACGAAGTCAGCAACTTTCTGGTGGGCCAGGATATTCCAAAGTATATCCTCGACTTGCCAGAGGAGATACTTCAAACGTACGTTAATTTGTTGTCAATAAATCTGATGGTTTCCTCGTTTCTCTCTGTCTTATTGAAATATTTCATCGTTCAGACCGATTGGACAACAGATTGGAGGACTCATAGATGGTTTGTGCAGCAGCGCGAGTAGAGCATTTATAGTTGATCCAACATTCCTTGAGCCGAGAAATCACAGAGAGGTTTCACCGGAGTTTCAACTTTTGAACGAGGCTATCGAAGAGGCGAGGTAAGAAAAAAAAAAAAAAACTAAAGAAAAGAAACTGTTTACGTTTCTTTCGACGTCCACAATGTAACATGATCGCCGCGGTAGATTGAATTCAATCGCGTTGGAAGAAAGGAGGAACGAGATCAACGAGAAACTCGCGAAGAAGGATAGAAAGAAAAAGAAGAAGAAGAAGGAGAAAAAGCAGAAGGGAGGCAGGGATAGTGGTGCGAGCGATAGCAATAGTACCGACCCCAGCAATTGTACACACATGGCGGAAAGTGAAAGTAAAATACGGCATGGTTCTCTTTTAAACAACTTGCGTGTGCCTTATGAACGCGTCGTTCACATCGTTTCAATATGAATTTCAGGCGTAGTGAGCGAAATGCAAGTCTCGAATGGCGAGAACTCTGCTGTGTTGCCATCGGAGAGAGTGATGCAAATGGAGGAAGAGGAAAAGAAGGAGTTGGAAGAAAGGAAACGCCATCGAGATCCTCCTATCGTGTTCAAGGATTTAGTGAACATCAAGGAAGAGTACCAAGCGTTAGTCAAATTGTTAGATGGAAAGTTGAGCGAGGAGGAACGTGTGTGCATGGATGAGCTTCGGCAGTATATGTTAGAAAACGAAGGCTCTTGGGCACTTGGTGACAACTTCTTAAATTTCGTTGGTAAGACGTAGCAGAGAATACGATGTTTTTGGTTGGAATATTCGTTAGGTCTGGATTTATTAGATTGTTCGTGTATTTAGGACGAATACTCTATGACAAATCATTGGCAAGTGACGCAAGGGTCAAGTTACTGAACGTTCTCTCCGTTGCCGCGTTAAAGGACGATGTAATACTGTTGTTGCACCAGGACAGAAGGGAGCATATAATGATGAATTATGCTTTTGACATCGATCGTCATCCGCAGGAGGAGCAATTGCCCCTTGCACAATTTGTAAGCGAGTTAGAATCGTATGTCGGTGCCGATAAACTGAACGTGTTTCTAATTTTCAACTGTACGTTCCAGTTGGCGAACATGTTCGAAAACCTTAGCAGCTCAGAATGGCTGTTGTACATATCGGAGTGGCAGCATCAAACTCAAAATATCAGTAACATAAGGGTGACGACGAAAGTTGCAGTGCATTCGTTGCTTTCCAACTCGATCGATTTGCAAATCCGTGGCGCCGCTATTATTCACAACCTTGCCTGCAAGGAGGTAAAAACTGTGGTCTGTATCCTTCCTATCCAGTTAACAATTTCCCCATTTCGCTTGCCTTTGTTTCAACTTACATCCACAACTGTATTGCACATTCGAGAAGCAAGCCGGTGAAAAACAAAATAATCGTCCAGCGCGCAATTCTAAGGCGGGATAACACGATCCAGTTTGCAGTGCCATTTAACAAAACGCTTCTATCGTTAATCATGAGCAATGCAACAACGAAGGCGACGCTTCCATTTATTCACGCGAATAGAAGTGCTGCCTTTATTAATAAATCAGCTGTACTTATATAAAACTGGAACGAGGTTCTTAACCGTGTATCAAATTTGGTAACTGATTCACAGACAAGCAACGAAATCATCCCTGAAAGCAATCCCGATATCATTATAAATAGCAGTGATTCGAGAAACATATAAATACACTTTCTCGTTGCTCGTTTGTGTGTTTTTTGTGTACATGTGTACGATGTTGCGATGCAGTTGAAAATTAATGGATACCTATCGAGACACCGGATACTGTGTTTTCAGAAAATGAACAAAAGCAAAAATCTGCGGCGACTTTTACCAAAAGGCAGCATTTCTAAGGTACTTGTCTGAATTTACAGCATATCCATATGAACTGCGTAAATGCGCATTTCGCCAGTACAAATAATACAATTTAAATAACTGTACATTCATCATTCTCATCATCATCATCATCATTGTCGTCGTCGTCGTCGTCATCAGCTGCAGCAGCATCGTCATCGTCGTCGATTTAATTTTGCATTACATATCGAACAATCAAGAAAAAAGAGAAAGTAGTTCAATTCGAATATTGATTGATTTGCTATTATTTTTTTTTTTTTTTTTTCAAAGAGCAAAGAAATGGACTTTCCTTCATCGATCATCGATTTTTCTTTTTTTTTCTTTTTTATCAGGTGCACAACTAAACAATCATGATTTCATTTTAATCGTCTTTTGTTTTATGAAACGCGTATAGGTGTTCGATGACGTCGCTGTGGAATTGACAATGGCATTGTTGCAATATTTCAATGGCAGCCCCGCTGAAGAGCAGCTGTACGCGTGCATGAAGTCATTGGCACGTTTCACGCAGATCAGCGGCCAAGATGTGCCACAACTTATACAAATGATCGGGCCGGAACCAAACAAATTTCGTGGAACGTCCGAGAGGATCGACGAACAAATTGACCAGGTCAACAAGAAGTTGCGTTAATGCAACGATACAATCGCGTTAATAAGAAATATTGTTAAATTCCGGCATTGGCATTAATTGCGTTACAATTTAATTTATACATGAAGATTTCATCGAAATTATTTGAATATAGTATGTCATTGTAATTATTATTAGTTATTCTTGTCAGTTAATAATTATTGCTATTACTATAATTATATTATAATTATATTATTGGAAATTTTAATACCTTTCAGTTTCATCTGATTTTTATTGCGAGAAAAATAACATTGTACTTATCGAAATTGTTAGACTAGCGACTATGTAATTAATGGTTATATAGGAGTTTTTGATTAGAAGATAAAGTAAACTAAAATTAATTAGAAACTTAGATAAAGTAAATTAAATATTACTCCGTCAGAGTACAAAAGAATCTCTATAATTAATAAAAGGAATAGTTATTGTAAAATTGGGAGATAGTGACGATAAAAATATCTATAGAATTCAGTTACGTCAAACGACAGAATTCAGTCATAAAAATCAAAAAAAAAACAAAGAATATGAAATGTTACGTTGAGACAATAGAGCTTTACAAATGAAAACGTATACCTTTTGAAGCATGCGAGAAGCACGTGAAATATAATTCATTTGCAATTTTATTTTCATTTATAAAACGTAGATCTGCGAATGTAAACATATACTGTATACCATGTGATTAATATAGCACAACGTGAGCGAGTAGCGTACGCGGATCTAACATAATAGTTGTATCCTCCAACACGTTTCCAATCAGGAACACCTTGGGTAATATCCTTAATTAGGCAACGCAATAAAACGCTGGCACAAAACGCATCGCCTTTCCATCGATTTTTTTGAAATCCTCCCTTTTGTTTTGATCTCCAGCAAATTCTCTCGTTGAAAAATCACGCGCCGACGACAATTAACACGTTCTGTCTAATTCATCAAGCTTCGTCTGGGTTTAAAGATAGAGACTGTGTCAGGTACTCGCGTCGTGAGTACGCGCGTCCCTCCGCCATTTAAGATTGGTCATGACCGAACGCTTTTGTCCTTAATTGACCATTTTTATCAATGTGTCAACAAGCGGCCGCACGTGAAATAATAGTTCCGTGGCCAGAACAGAATCGAGGAAAGATTCTCGTCGGCGCCAAATGTTTGCTTTAAGATTTAACGAGAGACAGATGAATGATAACGATTCAAAAGCGATGAGAATAATGCCGATAGGGAGGTAGAATCGCGTAGAATCGCTCCGTGGATATAAGTGCCGCGAGGTGCACAATCAGTTCGCAACGCGGCTCCTCCAAGTCAACTAACTGTCCCTCGCCTTTTCCTTTCTTCTTTTCTTTTCTTTCCTTCTTTTCCCGTCCGATGCGATTCTTTGCTTTTCACAGTGCCGTGAAGTGATAAGAAAAGAAAGAAAGAAAAACGCACAACTGTCTGTCCGCACTGCTGCAGAGTAATTCCTGAATATTCTTCATAGTTCCTGTTTTGCAAGAAATCTGCAAGATGCCTGCTACCGTGAAAGAATCGATTCCGTTGGAGGTACCATCGACGTCTAAAAGAAGTGACAGCAAATCGAACTGTTCGATCGTTAAATACGTAACGGTGGTCAATTGGTTGCCGAAATACTCACGCCTGGACGCTGTATCGGATCTCGTGGCTGGATTTTCGGTCGGGTTAACCGTGATCCCCCAAAGTATCGCATACGCCGCACTCGCAGGCTTGACCGCCCAGGTACAACTCTTTATTTTTATTTATTTATCCAGTAACTTTTACTTACCGTTCATTCACTATTTCTGCACACCATTCCCCTAATGTTCCGCGACGATTGTCCAACATTTTTCCCTCGTTGAAATTAAAAGGAAATTTCGAAATAAATCGTAGCATCAGAAATACTGTCGATCTCTTTTTCCATTTCTCTCCTGTGCTCGATTTCTGTTGGAAAAATTATTCTTATTAATTACTTCGACTTCTGTCGTTTCTGTCATCGTTTTTTTTTTTATAATTATTAAATTATTAAATATATTAAATATTAAATATTTTATAATTTTTAATATTAAATATATATATATTTTTTATAATTTTTAATATTAAATATATATATATTTTTTATAATTTTTAATATTAAATATATTAAATATTAAATATTTTATAATTATTAAATTATTAAATATTACTTTGTTTTATTAAAATATAATATTGTTTTAAGGTAATTATTATTTTATTAAAAATAAAAAATATATATATATATAAAATAAAATATTTTAAGATAATTATTTTATTTAAAAAAAAAAAAATGATAGTAAAAATTTGTCGAAAACACGCTCGAGAAATTGTAAGAATTGCAAATAAGAACAATATTTGCGCTAAGTAAACCAGAGAGGAATTTTCGATTTGAAAACTGAAGGAGACACTTCAGCACAGAGTGCTACATTTTAGGTGCGTACATTTATGTAAGAGTCACGTTCTGCAAAACGATCTCTGAAATTGTCTCTCGTCGTGTAGATAGAAACACGACGATTACCTATGATTGATTAATGTTCGTTGTTTATACGTTCGTTATACGCCCGGTCGTAACGAAAAAATTCTAAAAGATATTGCACTTTTTTGCAGTATGGCCTTTACTCGTGCTTAATGGGCAGCTTCCTCTACATCTTTTTCGGAACGATCAAAGAAGTATCGATTGGCCCCTCGTCCTTGATGTCGCTTCTCACTTTTGAATACACCAGAAACATGCCAGTGGATTTTGTCGTGCTTTTTTGTTTTCTCGCCGGATGCATGGAGCTACTGATGGGCTTGCTACATTTAGGCTCGTATCGATCAAATTAATTTTCAAAAATCTCTTTCGAAAGTTTCCAGGAAAATGACACGTTCGATACGTACGTTAAATTGTTCTCAAATGCAAAAACAGTGGAACAACTGGATCAATTTTTTATATATAATGTATATCATACATTTAATATTATTTATAAAATATATATTTTACAATATATATATATATTTATAAAATATATATATTATAATACATTTATAAAATATATGTTTTATATATAATAATTAGAAAGTATTGTGCAAGAGAACAAGAAATAATTCGTTGTGAAAAAGAGATCAAAATTTGTGGATAGTAGTAAAGTTTGTTAATCTCAGACAGATAAATAAATATCTGTTATACGCATGTAAAATTGATTGACAAAAATTGGCAAGAATTGTTCTTTGTTCATCCTTGAATCAGTGTAAGAGGGGAACAATTTATGTAAGTGCATATGAATTTGAAAAATCAATTTTCTTGTGAAAAATGAACTTTATTCTACACTTGTCCTCTTGTAAAATATTTTTGGCTCTACTGAATTACGATTACAAACTATAAATAATTACACGATATGAATAACTAAAAATAATTATAAACTACAAAGAGCGATGAATAGATAGAAGAACCGTACAATACCGCAACTAGTTTTATGTTATAAATACTCTAGTATAGTAAAAACCGTACAATACCGCTACTAACTAGTTTTATGTCAGAGATACTCTAGTATAGTATATCTTGACTATCAGTCATTTGTCTCTATTTATTGTGGTTTTATTGCTTTCAGAGATATTAGATCCTCGCCAAAATTTGCAATTGGCAAATTTTTACATCGAGCTGCCTGAACCGATAACCCAGCCAAATATTAATTTTAGCAAATTGTTCATATCCAACAATTACCAGTACTTTAATCACTCGTTTCATTATTATGTTTGATATTTGGTATTTGACATTACTACTTCCTAGTATAATATAATCTAATGTAAAGTGACATGGTAAACGATAAATCCTGGATTAAAGTCCACTTAGATTAATTATCTCGGTTAAGTAAATAATCACGTAAGGAAAATACGTCACGAGAGATTATTTATGAAAGGTACTAATTCGCTAATTTCTTGATACGCGAAATTAGCGAATCTCCAAAATGTACGACGAGGCTAAGGCAGGAAACGAAAATATTCACAGTGTGAACAGATTTTGTAATAAATTACATCCTTTTTCATATCTTAACTAATTGTTTAACACAACAATTTAAATATTCGTTTATTACTTTAAATGTTCGTTTATTGCTTTCGAAGGTTTCCTCGTGCATTCTGGACAAATGCGCGATTTAATATATTATATATGTATGTGCATACACGTACAGTACACGCACAGATTGCTTTTCCTCTTAACCCCTTGCTTTATAAATCGAGTCATACTCGTGACAGCGATTATCCTTCTGATTCAATAAGGGAAGATAGTGTTCGTAACAATTTGCTTCAACTCGAAACTCCTTTAGTTTTTATCCTTTATATTAAGGATTATTCGTTGGGATTATTGTTGTACAAATATCATTACACATAAAACATTAAATAAGTGGCACTTCTAAATGAAAAACTTTGCCACCTATCATACTATATTTTGTAGTATTTTGCATTTTTGCAACTTTAAATTGTTCACAAATGCGTGAAAATCAATCAATCTAATTATTATACAACATATGAGGAAAGACCATTTCTTAAAAATGACTATCCTTTCTCGCTTCCTTATAGAAAATATTGCATTTTATAAATTCTCGATGTGGTTTACTGGTCTTTGACGAGCGTTACTGCTGAAAATAATCTGTCATTATAATGTCAATTGCAACAATGCAAATAAAATTGACACTTACGAAATTGCTCCAAATAACTTAAAAAGAAAAAAAGAAAAAAAAAACAAAGCAAATTGAACGTTCCACTTTTTTTACAACTGAGTTATACAACAACTATTTGAAACAAGTATCGTATATCATTGTTTGTACCGCCTTAGAGTATATTTTAAACGATGAAATTTCTTCGTACAGGCTTCTTAGTAGATTTTATATCGATGCCAGTCACGTCAGGTTTCACTTCCGCCACTTCAATCATTATAATCGTATCTCAATTGCAAGGGCTATTGGGACTGAGGTTCAAGGCGCACAATATTATTGGCAATTTGATCAAGATATTCCAAAACGTCAGAGACATACGGATGCCGGATTTCGTTCTTGGAATTTGCAGTATAGCGTTCCTTTTATTCTTCAAAGTAAGCCTGATTCAAGATGTTCCCATCGTGAGATGAAGGAATGCAGTTTCAGCTCCTTTTTTTTTTTTTTCTTTGAATTTAATAATAATTTTATACATTCTGTCTCTGTAGCAATTAAAAGACATCGATTGTTGTTTCGGGGGAGGCAATGGTAGGTCAAAGAAGCAGAATAATAGAAAGATGTACCTGAAGAAACTGTTGTGGTTTCTTTCCATCTGTCGCAACGCTTTGGTAATCCTGATCACTGCCACGATAGCTTTCTATCTCGAGAAGGCAGGATCCTCGCCGTTCATTCTTTCAGGTTCATATTTGTTTTTCTTCTTGTTCTTTTTTTCAGTCATTTACTAGCCCTGTGTTTCATTATTGACTCGATATTAGATGAATTATTTATTACATGTTATAGATATATAATATTAAAATATAAAATAATATTATATTAGTTTATATTATAATTTTAATATAAAATAATATTATATTAGTTTATATTATAATTTTAATATAAAGTAATATTATATTACATATTATAGATATATAATATTAAAATATAGTATATTAATATTAATATTAATATATAGTATAATATTAATATTAATATTAAAATATACTATAATATTAATATTAATATTAAAATATAATATAATATTAAAACAAAATTTATGATATAGCCACTGTAGATTTTAAGGTTTAAGAAACTTCCTAGAACAAAAGAGATGCCTATTTTCATTTTTATTTAAAGGAAAGGTTCAGTCGGGACTTCCTACGTTCTCTGTACCTCCATTCTCCTCTCAGGTTGGAAACGAGACATACACATTTTTGGACATGTGCTCCCATTTAGGATCGGGCATAATTATACTACCTCTTGTATCGGTATTGGCAAACGTAGCCATTGCTAAAGCATTCGGTAAACACTATGAATTAATCACATCTGTGAAGATCTGTATTCCAAAAGAAAGCAAACGCTTCTTTTCATCAAACACGTGAAACACGGCAGAATAGTCATCAATTTATTCATATACATAATTTTGAATAGATTATACTTAGAGTGAGTTTAAGTTTACATAAATTTTACTATTTTCTTTTTCTTTTTTTCAATATCTGATAATCTCGTCATATCACTGACATGTGACAAACTCCTTCAAAACTATTACGGCCAGCAACGAAATGCTTCTTCGAAGAGTTCAACAACGCAAGACAAAAAGAAAATAAACGCTCGTTTACGAGGGTAATATTTTCGCTACTGGAGCTCCTCCAAATTCGCATTAAATTTTTGGACGCGTCTCTCGCGTACGAATTCCGCACGAAAACTTGCAATTTGGAAACTTCGCGTCGCGATCGAAGTGTTTGGAGATTATATTCAAAAATAACGCGATCCAAGATGAAAGAACCGCCTGGTAATTCGAGGTTACGAAATGTTCACGCGTGTCGTTGAATACAGATTTCCACAGATTTCGTAGTTATTGCACATCGATGCGATGCACACCGTGCGAGACGAGATATTTGTATTTTTAGCAAGCAGCAGCGTAAATGCGACACAAGAAATGTTAACACTCGGTTTGTGCAATATATTCGGAAGCTTCGTGTCGTCGATGCCAGCTGCCGGAGCATTTACAAGAAGCGCTGTGATCTCCGCCAGCGGTGTACGAACGCCTATGGCTAGCATATATGTCGGTAATAGTTTTATTTCGAATCGATGGTCAACTTGCTGAATTGCAGAACGAACATTGACGAAATCATTTTTGGAAACGAACAATGAGATTCAACTCGATTCTCGAATGTTTCTTAAATTTTTTTCTTTCATCGAAGCATTCGACCAATGAAACTCGTAAGCTTTTTATTACGATCTCATCAATTTTCAAATTCGATTTTCCCTCCCAAAAAAAGGCAACTTTGCATGAGAAAAGTTTATCCCTGACTTATTCTTGCGCGAGGAATCACGTTCGTTTCCATACCACGATTTCAAGGTCATCTTATCTGTTAAATTAAATAGTGATTCAGATTCATGTACATGTGTCAAGTAGTTAAGTAGTTCCTGCATTTAGTCAGACACAAGGAATTCACATTTCTCGTTGGTTTTTGAGCAATGACTGCGAATATAATAATTTTGAATATTTTTGCAGGAGCAATGACATTACTGGCATTGAGTTTCTTGACACCGTATTTTTATTATATTCCACGTTCCACGCTCGCTGCGGTATTGATAAGCGCTGTGATTTTCATGATTGACCTGAAGATAATACGATTGCTATGGAAAGGATGTAGTGAGTTTTGTAACGTTACAGTATTACAATGTTAAATCGATAAGAATAACAAACGAACATAAAAAAAAAACACTATAAAAATAAATAATTAAAGTACTACAAGAATAAAAAATTAAAATAATTAAAGTACTGTGAAAGTAAATAAAGTAACTAAGTATAATTAAAATAATTAAAGTACTATAGATAAAATAAGCATATATAATTAAAATAATTAGAGTAATATAATTAAATAATAATATATATAGTATAGTATATAATTATATAATAGTAATTATATATTAATGTATATAATTATAATATACATAATAATATATATAATATAATTATATATTAAATAATATATAAATAATTAAAGTAAATAAAATAAGCAAGTATAATTAAAATAATTACAGTAAAAGATACTATAAAAATAAATAATTAAACTACTGTGAAAGTAAATAAAGTAAGTATAAATAAAATAATTAAAGTACTATAAGAATAAAAAATTAAAATAATTAAAGTACTATAAGAATAAAAAATTAAAATAATTGAAGTACTATAAGAATAAAAAATTAAAATAATTGAAGTACTATAGAAGTAAAAAAAATACTATAAAAATAAATAATTAAAGCTCAAGCATTTTTTCTTTGTCGTTCAACGTCTCGTCTTGTCAAGCGATGTATTTCCATGCAAATTTTGTTAGCAGTAGCCCGAGATAAAATGCTCGACAAGAACATCTTTCAATTAATTATCAGACAATTGCTTTTTCGCCTCAATTGCCTTTCGTGTACAAATATATATATATATATCTATATACGAAGATAAGATATTTTATCCACCGAAAGATCAGATATTTTACTATTAAATTTCAATTATAAAGACGGAAATCGATTATGACCTGAAAGAAATCGTAATTCAAAAGAATTACGCCTACGTTCGTTCGAAGACGAAGATTTAAATTTAGCAAATAACAAATTCGAGTAAAGTTTTTTTTTCACCAAAAACAAAGATATTAAAGATTCACGAGCGATTTATCAAATATTTGCTTATTGGTGCTTGTTACTTTTCTTTTTTTCAATCAAAAGTTTCACGTTTCGCGTCGAATAATTTTCTTTTTTCTTTGTTTGCAGAGAGAGACGCGTTCGCGGCGATAGTGACGTTTTTAGTTAGTGCGATATTTGGCGTCGAGTTAGGACTTTTAGTCGGTGCTCTGTTCAGCTTAATATTCTTTCTTCGACCACCCGCTAGGCCAAAAATCGAAGTGACTCAGTGTAAGGTAAAAGGTAGTGTTATATTATCAAGTTTTCATAATGGCAGTGCTAATAAAAATCTTTATTTTAGTTCATAATTAAATATACTTCATAAACTTCTATTTTGTCGAATGTACAAAATTTTGTGTTCGTACAGTCGGCCAACTTCTCACCAAATATAAATATATATATATATATATATATACACACACACACATAATCAAGCAAAAAATTAGCAAAAAAAAAATAGAAATTATACCATATTTTCTGAAACATCCCGTGTTTTACATCAATATCACTTCTCAATTTGCTTTTAGAGAAATTACGTTTGTTTCAGAAAAGTTACACGTAAAACTTATATTTACGTTCCATGTCTTGCATCGAGAATCAAAAACTATTCATTTTCAGACAGAATTCGGGAACAAGTACATAGTACTCAAACCGGATACTGGGATATTTTATCCCGCTGCAAATTACTTTTGCAATAAGGTGATGAAAATAATTCACAGATACGACGAAAATAATGTGCCGTTTATCATCGACTGCGAAAGGATACGAAGCATCGATTACACAGCGATAAAGGTGACAGACACAATGATAATTCAGTTCGTTTGATTAATTACATAAGATGTTAGACAAAAAAAAAATTTCTTTCTCTTTCAAATTCCAGGGTATTGAGTTAATATCGGCGAATATCAATGCCGAGAGGAAGAGATTATGGTTCATGAACGTTTCTTTAGAGACCCATAATAGTTTCGAAGCTTTTGCGAATAATAAACATTTTCACTTCGTCGATGAAGAGAAGATATCTTCGATCTTTTATGGTATACATATGGTGTTCTTGCATTTTTATTAGTATCGGTGTTTCGCAGTTCAATTATTTTATTAAAGAAAAACTTTATCTATATCTTATGCTTGTTTATTATACAGGCTGGTTCGCAACCAGACATAGGTTGATTCTACGTGAAAAAATAAATCGTAAAAGAAAAGAATACAATTTTCTCGTCCAGGGAAATCAACTTCAAAGTTTTATCTAGCATTTTTATTTATGGAGTCATACCAAATTAATTATAATTTAATTCATTCTATATCCAATTGAACCACCCTGTATAATACTATATCTTACGTATCATACAATTACTATTTATTATATAACACTTTTTATATCTTATTTACTACGTAATATAATATTTTCAATTTGCATACTTGAATGTACTTGTTAAATTTTTTTAGACGGACTTTCAAACAGCGCGGATGAAACGAAAGACCAACTCGTAGAGAACATGATAGGACATGCAACGTTCGCACGTGCCAATGACAAAAAGGAAAACGCAGAGATACGTCCGAAAGTTATGACAAATTCTGGAGATGGCGGAGAGGAAATTGAATTAATGTTGACGCCTAAGCAAGAAACGAAATGAACATGAAAGAAATGTCATCTTTGCACTTATTGTTAGTTATTTCCCTTGTTTACGTCAATAATTTGCAAGCGCGCTAACAAACATCAACGAAATGAACATGAAGCGAAATAGCTAAAGGTATGCAAAGGTACTTTTCTTCATGTACATTTGATGTGACTTTTTGTCGAAAAGTTTGGAAATGCACGTATAAACAACGGTAACAGCGTCGATTTTTTGCTTAAGACTGAAATATTTTTTATTGTTATAATGACAATAATAATAGTAATACACCGATAGCAAAGATACACCGAAGTTGAACTATGCTCGCTCGTTCACAATCAATGCTTATTGTTTCATCACTTTTTTTTTTTACTGCTTTAAGATTTGAAGGGAAGAAAGTAATATTTAAAATTAAACTATGTACATACCCAATCGATAGTGCATACTACAAAATACAATATAATCTTATTAGTATCAACGAAGTACGTGTACAAACTGCGATGCAACCAGGAAGAGTATTAGTCGGTGTACACAAACGTGTCTGCATTTATCAAGAATGAAAATACTTCCTTTGTGTATTACGATAAAGGAATTTCTAATCGCGGTGATTAATTTTAGTTTGCAGTTGTATCAATGATTAGATTCGAGATATGTAGGAGGAGAGATTAAATGAATATAGCATTACAAAAGTGGCGGCAAATTGTAGATAATGTATATAAAAGTTCAGCATAATAAAACATAGATACAACCTTCACTTTAAATATGCAAACCTTGTGTGTTTTGTTTTCACAATTACTTTGGTTGATCCGCGACTTGAAAATACTTTGAAGAGAAATATCTTGTAATTGTGACGGAAATAATGCGTTTCTATAATATTTTTATACATTAGTTAATAATTTTAACTATTTACTTACGACAATTGAATCAGTAATTTATTTTATATTTTCAAATTGTTTCATAGTTTCAATAATTTGTTTATGACAATTATTTTCTACACTTCTAAACATTGTTGGACAATTATTTAGCTTGTTTGTAACAATTAAACAAGTTTAATTTCTCCTACATTTCTCGTCTGTGTTTGTATCTTTTTATCTGATATAGTTCTTCAATCCACCGTTCCTTAAACGTAGAGTGCGCTAATGGTCATATCTTAGTTTAATAAGCCATGCACTTACTATCGAATGTCAGATTTAATTTAGCCTAACATTGTAAAAATAAAAGGTTTTTAAAGCTTGAGGTTAAAACAGAAATAAAAATGAATGGAATTGATATATCAGAGAAGAAGCGATTAGAATCATTAAAACGTAAGAAACAAATTTTTAGAGCCAAAGAATTGGCAGTACAAAATGCACTGAAGAATTTGGTAAATATGTTTCAATTAGTTCTATTTTGTTGATTTTTTTTTTTTTTATATCATGTTTATGATAGAATACTTAATTTTATAGGACAATAACAGGAATAAGAATAAAATAATATTTGATGATAATGACATTAACGACATAGAACAATTTCAAACCAAAGAAAAAAGGAAAAAGAAAAACCGTGATTTATTTGATGATGCTGATGATGACAAAAATGATAATGAACCAGTGTGGGATAACCATAAATTTGATAGTAATAAAAATTTCACAGAGAAGGTGAAGTACTTATACATATCTATGAATAAATAAATTTTATAAAAATTTTGATAATTATCATTAATTATTTGACTAATTTTAGTATCTTGGGAATAATATTACTGATGAACGGTTCAAGCTTGACAAACGCTTCATGGATGATGATCAAGAAACAAATAAAGATATCAATGTAAATGACAATGAAATTGATCTACAGAAGGAGAAGGAATTACAATTAGATATTTTAGAAAATATTTTAGGAGTACCAATTACTTCAAAGAACAAAGATATAAATAAAAATGTAAAATTTTCAAAGTAAGAATAAAACAAATTATATTTAAACATAATGTTAGAATTACGAATGAGTACTAATTACTTACATTTATATATTTGTATTTTTCAGAAAAGGAATGATTCGATATGATCCCACGGAAAATGATCATAAAGAATACGAAATTAACACAGAAAAATGTGAAATAGAAACTAAAAACGCTAAAAAAAAGAAGAAAAATAAACGTAATATCGAAGACCCAATTGAAAATCCACCTGTGGAAGTATCAAAGGATATATATTTTTCTGTATCAGACTCATTATTGAAAAGCTTGAACGAAGGAGGACAATTTAGTTTATTAAAAACATATGGCAGAGATATAACTAATGAAAATAGTAAATTTTCTTATAATGCATTAATCAAAATATTTATTTTATATCATTTGTTGCCTTTATCTTTATTCTTAGTTACAGATAATAACAGTAATGTTTCAAACGTGGAAACTCCAAAAATTCAATTAAATTTTGATTCAAAGAAATCATTTAAGTATGATTCTTCCGAAGATGAACACGATAGTAAACAAGAATATACAAATAATGAAAAATCTACACCTGATATAATAGTAAATACAAATAAGTTTTTCTTTGACAGTAATGATATTCGTTTCAAAGGTATGTACTTCATATAAAATATAAATATAATAAAAAATTTAAAATAATTATTACTTTATAAATATTCACGTTTAATAAATTCTAGAAGCAGAAAACTTTTTTTCGAAAGAACACGTGCCAACGGATACATTCAAAGAGCTTAGACAGAAAGTAAAACAAATTGTGCATTCGAAAATTCGAAAAAATATGAAGAAGAAGCAACATTGGGGATATAAAAAAAAAATTAAAAAATCGTCTTAACAATTCATTTATTGATATTTTGAATATATAAATGAGAATGTTAAGTTATAACAATTACTTTTAAATAAAAGAAATATAATTTTATATAAAAATCTATCATATACAAAACAGCATATGAAATATAAAATATATCCTCTACCATATAAAATATTTCACTTTTTTTAACTTGGAATTAGCATTTTCTTATTAACTGATTATTTGGATTTTCGTTAATATATTTTAATAACGAATTATTGTCTTATGATTTCACTTTATTAAGACAATTTATTTAATAGAAAATGCAGTTGTTACTAGACATTCAATTAATCGTAGTAAAAATCTGCCGTTTTGATTATACGATTAATCCTTCCGGCCTATTTTACTACACGTTCTATTAAGAGTCTTTAAGAAAAAATCATGTGGAAGTCCACGAGATATTTGTTGTATATGCGTATTTAACAAATTATGTGTTTCTTCTTCATAGATAGCGAAAGTATTTGGTATACCTATCTCCTGATAAAGTTGTTTCACACGATTTATTTTTTCTGGATCAGAGTCTCCATAGCATTCCTACATAACAATGTAATGCACAATATTGTATTGTTATTCGAAAAGAGAAAATGAATACAAAATATTAAATTAGTGACATCTATACCTCCAAAACTTTCCTTTGCTCTGGTGTAGCACGTTGTAAAGCTACAGTAATAAGCCACGAACATTTTCCTTCTGGTATATCCGTACCCACTTTTCCAGTGCTTTCCACATCACCATAAGAATCTAAATAATCGTCTCGTACTTGAAAAAGATGACCCATTTCTAGCAAGATTGTTTTTGCTTGTCTATACATTTCTGGATCTTTTATACCAGCCTACAAATAATACGTGAATAAAGTTATAATCCGAAAATGAAGAAAGGTTCTTAACTCATCCATTAGATATGATATAAAATTAAATAATACAATTGAACTTACAAAACTCATAGCAAGAGTGACTGGTAACACAAACGTATAGTAAGCTGTTTTATATTTTACAAGAGAATTATACCTATCCATAGTAAAAAGTCGTAAATTCGGCTTATTTCCAAAATTTGTTGATAATAAATCTAGACATTGACCCATTTCCGTTTTAAATGTAGCCTATAAATAATATATATATATATATAATAATATAGTAATATATAGTAATATATATATGTAAAAATTTCTATACTTTTAATTTAGCAAACAAAATTTTTTACTAATAAAACAATGTAAATGTGACATTTTATTAAATAACTGTACTGATTTTTTTAGATAGTATGAATCATATAAAAAATATTTTATTAGTTAGTATCGAATCAAAGTATTTTGTATATTATTAAATAAGAAAAATGATTACTTACTGATAAAAATTGTTCTATAAGATCTAAGTAACATTCTTTTGTCTTAAAGTATTTCTTAAGAAGTTCATATAAACACATTTCTATCATTATACTGTCATTAATCGCGGTCAGTCCAATATCATTGCATAGATACCAGCATGGTTGATTTCGTCGCATTACTGCATGATCTTCAATATCATCGGTTACGAGGAAGAACGCTTGTAACTATAATATACAACCGTATATAAGTAATTTCGCTAAAAAGCAATTAATAAGAGAAACAAATTGTGTATTATTATTATTAAAATTCTAAAGTGATACAAGTTAAAAAAGATAGAAGGAATATTACCAGCTCTGTGCACCAGCCTAGAATACGGGCTAAACGAAGATTTTCTTCCGTTAATTGATCCGGAGGAACAAAAGATTTATATGCTTGTACAACCATTAACGCTCTGTGCTTCCCTCCGCTAGGAACATTATATTGCAATACCTAGAAGTTAGACAATGAGAAATATATTTCTTGTTAATATATCATTTTAAATGTAATAAAATTTGGAAAAAAAGGAGAAAAAGAAAATACCTTTGCCAGCCATTTCGTAACATCTGACATATCATTATGACGATTAGCAGTGGTAAGGTCACGAAGAATATCAGGCCAAACAGCCATTAATTCACGACTTTCATCCTTGATTGATATATATGACGCATTCAAATGCACAGAATATGTTCGTATATCGACATTCTTTGGCCTAAAGAAATAGCATAATTAAAAGAATACATATATAAGAAAAAAAATATACATAGAAATATGCATTGATCTTTCAGCGTGAGATTATTAATAATAAACATATAATAACCGGCTACTTTTAAGAGAGTCTCTTCGCAAAAGACCGGCAAATTTTGTTAAGAGTTTACTGGCTCTTGTAGAGTTAATATAATTATTAATAATTTAAAAATATATCAAAATTAATCAAGAAAAATTAATTAAGAAATAATACGTCTATATTATCTATAATATCAGCTGAAGTAAAACTTTGATTGAGAATATGAAAGTACTGTTTGTCATATCATAGGCAAAACTATCAGCAAATTGCTAGAAATTTACATAGCAAGAATGCTATTATTTTCTAATTAAATATATGAAAGTATAAAATGTGAATAATGTATACAATATAGAATTAAACTTTTTTAAATTCTACTCCTAATTTCAAACTTTTCAACACTTCATCACTACTTGATATTTGTTATCATTAAAAAACTAAGTGTGTGTTGCTACGTTTATCAATTTTAACAGAACCCTTTTGTATAATAATTCACTAACTATAAATAATGTATAGCAATAATGTATAGCAAATTGATCAAGCAGTAAGTTATCAATAGACTCCTTTTCTACAATTTTATAATCTTTTTGTCGAGTAAGATAATTAAATAACTTACAATTTGTAGAATTTATACTTGTAAATTTCCATTTATTTTATTATCAAACTAATTAATGTTAGTGCAAGAATATTTACTAAAATATTAGTAACTAGTAATTTATAAACTGTACAAGAGTAATTTGTAATTTTACAAGAGAAAATCGAAAATGATACGTACTCTGAACTCATTTTTGCACAAGAGAAAATTTGTTTTAAACTATCGTAGAATACGCACTTCTATTCCATTGCACTTAATATATATATACATGTACACGATGAACTCTGAACTAAGTTCAGATTTTCAGTTTTTTGTCACGTAAAAATTTCAAATGTCATAGTTGAAATCACTTAAATTATATTTAACTTAATGCGACAATACAAAATGGCTCACGAAACGGTATTTCAACGGTTACCATTGAAAACTTTTATGAAAAATTTTATTGAAAACTTCTATGAGATAGAATTTTGGTATTCTTTTACAGATTTCTGCAAAATGATGGGTTAACTATTTTCTTTTTTCTTATAAAGCGCTGCTTCTTTATAGCATCGAATATGATAATCTTCTCTACAATTTAAGAATTATTGTATTTTTTATATCTCCGTACTTATTTTATATTCGTTTCAGGAATACTTCAAGTAATTTTTAACGTAATTTTTCTATTATTATCATTGTATGTACTTTTCATTGTACCTTTTTTTATTGCTATATTATATTATACGTATTTTGTTATTGTTGTTACTATATTACATATACTGTATGTTATTGAGCATCCTTTATGTATTATACACATACATACATAAACAATCACAAAATTGATTGAACAAAGATGAGCAGAGAATAAAAAAAGTGATTCCTTTGTTTCCATAGTATATAATGAAAAGTAAAATTAAAATGAAGCTTCACTTTAGTAATACAATTTTTATGTACAATAATTTTTATTTATATCTTCTTCTTTCTTTTATTTATATCTTTATTGATTTATATCTTCTTTAGATATTCAATAGACATTTCAATATAATAAAAAATATGTTTTTCAAATCACTGATTTACATATTAATAGAAATATGACTTTTAGATGAGACAGTTTTGATTTTCAACACAGTGAACTCTGAAATGATATCTTGAGCTAGTCGCTTGTTATGTAAATAAAAATATGATTCACATCACAGTTTCACATCAGTTAGTTTTGCTTATTTAATAATATGCTTGTAACTTATTACAATATGTCAACAGATAAAAAAAATATCGAATTAGAGGAAGTACAAAGTGATCTTCTACAGGTATAATTATATTTGTATTTATTCCATGGTAACTAACAAAATATAGTACTAAAATTCAGCTTGGTATTTATTTTAATAAATTCATGAATCTTAAGTTTATAAAATTATAAAGTATAAAATTTCAGAATGATGAAGAAGAAATAGACGCAGAAATAAGTAAATCCATTACAGTGATTTTAAAAGCAATAACGCATCGTGGAACTCAAACAATAATACATTGTAAGCCTAATGAGAGCAAAGAAAATTTTATCAATATGATCATTAATACAGAAATATAATTAAATAATACTATCTGAGCACACTAATATGCAAATTATTTATTTGTAACCAACTTTAACACTTGTTATAAAACAATAATATAATTAATTGTATTTACATATCAAAATTACTTTGATGCAGATAAAAATAATATCTCATATAATATAATATATAGTATATAAAAATATTTATTAAATGACTTTTTCAAATAGATTTAATATCTTATGACTTAAAATATTTAAAATATATACAATATTGTACTAATTTATACTACTTATTTTATTTTAATAAATTATATATATACACTCTGACTAATCTTCCAATGAATTTTAAAATTAGGATATATTTCATTCTTTCATTTATCCAATCTCACAGACATTTTGTATTATTTATGAAAATATCAGATGTAAAAAGTAATTTATAAAATATTTTATTCAAATGTTTTTAATATATATTATATTGCTGTTCAATAAATTATTTTTTTTTTAAGCAATAAATAAATATTAACTGTTAGTCATAAAAAAAATTTACATAACATTTGAATATCTTTACTTTACACTTCTAATTTAGATAATTATTCTAATCATTTAACCTTACTTAAAATACGATGAACAACATATATATTCACATGTACACAAGTATTATATTTTGGAAACACATACGTAACAACAGTAATTATATATTAATATAATTACAATTATTCAAATACATTGACAAATTATAATTATAATATAAATAGAATTAATAAAAACAAATTTCTGCTTACCTAAAGTATTCCAAAGAAAGTTTATTTATATTATAGTGAAAGTATCTTGTGTTTGAGTTTTGATGTATCCACCATGAAGCACCATTTCTTATATTTATAGCGTTAAAACTACTTTGCGAAATATTCCGTCTAAACAGTGATAGAACGACATATTTTGGAAGAATACAAGACATTTTTACATGTACGAATATAGTATATATTTATAATTTCGTTGTGTAAAATAATAAAGAATAAGTTAACCGCTCGTGTGTTCGTATTTTGTTCCTTATAGAGTATGTGTCAACGAATATTACGTACTCTTTGAATGTTCAAACAGAAATGTATGCAGTAAAGCGATTCCAACGTTCGTGGAAAATAAAATAGAAAATTTGAATTAAATTTACAATTCATAAGACATAATTCATTTTTACAATTAAAGAGATATGAAATGTTGATAGCAAAAATATGTGAAAAATATATCTATAAATATATTTATAAATATATTTATATTGCGCAATATAAATGATTTTTAAAAAATATATACATACATATGTATTTATGGTTATTACTTCTCATTTAATAGTTATATTTTAAGATGGCAATGTAACGCAATAATACACATATATTAATTATTTTATTTATTAGAAAAACACGTAATAACAAAAGAATTGGAATTATATTTATCCTAACCTAATCTAACCTAAATCTGTAAAATATTGAACAAAGCATGTCATTTAAAAAAAAAGTTACATAGGGCATAAATTTATGACAAAAAGTTTATTAATTCTACAATAATAAATACACGAATAATACAATAATGTATGTTGTTATTTTTTACTTTATTGACTTTATTAGACAAATTAATCAAACAATAAAAATAAATGAAATAAATTAATATGTTTTATAAATATATTTCTTTTTATATTATTACTGTATTTTATATATATATATATTTTTTTTTTAAATCATTCTGTTGATTCCTGTACAAAATAATTGTTCTACCTGATTCTTTTGGATTATTATTTATTGACTATATTTTGTTTTCTTTACTACACAATTTTTCTATGGAGGTAAATACAATCAGGAAATTATTTATTAAAAGGTACTTTATTAGAAGGAGCTGGTAATCTATATTTGGCTAATTCTACTTCTGCTTCTCCAAAGGTGTCTATATGATAACAAAAGTACTCTGGATTTTTATATTCTTTATCTTTAGCAGCACAAGGTCCTACAGCTGAAAGATAAAATTTAAAAACAATGTAATATAAATAAGATTGATGATACAATGGTTTTCAAGCAAATAATAAAAGTTGACTTTATGTAAAGAATTGCTTAAGATACATGGTGGACATTTTTTAATTTTCTTGATGAGTACTACAAATTCCTCAAGTATTGGGTTTTTTTTTTCTAAACATTATATATATATATATATATATATATATATATATATATATATATATAAAGAAGCTTATATTTCACACACACACACACACACATATATGTGTGTGTGTAATATAAACATTATATATATATATAAAGAAGCTTATATTAAACACAGACACACATATATATATGCGTGTGTAATATAAACATTATATATATATACATATATATAAAGAAGCTTATATTACACACACATGTATACATTATATATATATATATATATATATATATATATATATATGCATGTATAAACATTATATATATATACATAAAAAAGCTTATATTACACACAGACACACACACACACACACACACATATATAGAAAAAAAGCGCTAGAAAAGAAGCGTTCTTTATTCTATTTCAAATTTTTCCCGGTTCCTTTCATTTCCAATTACTTTATTACAAATTTCCATTACAAGTTTCGGTTTAGCGTTAATTTTTTTCAGAGATATCGACGAACGCGCTCTCGCGAGACAGACGACTGTACCTGCTACTGTTCAAGTGTCCGTAAGCGAGTACAATACGTTGGACGTGGTTCTCCTCGGCCATTCTTCTCACCTCGGCCGTTCAGAACGATACGTACGTATGTACGTACGTACGGCGTCACAAGTTGGCCGAGTTTCGAGATTACGTACGTACAACGCGCAGCTCGAGACCGATAGAAGGCGATCTGTCGTGTTTACGGACATTGCCTTCGCGAATGAATCCTCGGAAGTCGTAAAACGTACGAACGTTCTCGCGTTTCCTACCAGCCATTTTACGAGTAATTTCCCGCGAGTGTTGAGTTTCCTCGAGACACGACAGACACGAAACTTGCCCTCCGCTCCTCGGTCGTCGGCTCATCCCTTTCCCTACCCGTTGTGCCGCCGCGGCGCGCCTCGCTTCGTCTCGTTTTAAGAGACCGTCACTCGGTGAAACCCGGCTGCGGAAAGCACCTTCCTCGACTGAATACTAATTAGTATTTCAATTTCGCCCGCATTAATATTAAACCCCGTGCCGGGCAAAGGTGCGCGCCACGCCGAGCTGAGCGCGGCCAAAGGAAATATTAAAAACAAAGACGACAAAATCGACTCACCCATCGTTTTTAATGAATGCTCGCCACCCCGTCCGCGACAATCGTAACTCGGCCAATTAAAATCTCTCGTCTTGCGAGAGTGGCAGCCCATCTAAATTGTCGTTCTAATTGTCGTTCTTCGATTCGCGGAAAATACCATTCGCGGCGACGCTTGGCCTTTGAGCGAAACTCAAACCCAGATCCTCGAGCTGCCGTTTGGTTCCTACATCGACATAATCGCACGTACGCGGCTAATTAACGCGATACTCGCGTTACCGCCCAGGACACGCTCAGCCGCGGGTACATCCTCTCAATCGCCCCCCCCCCCATCCTTCTCTTCGTCCCCCCCAGTCTGCCAGTTACGCGCGCGCGTTCATTTCCGGAAGTACGTGTCCGTAATCCCGGCGAGATCGATGGTTTTAATCAAGAAAATGTCTCTCCGCATCATGGCTCGCGTGCAAATCTCTGGCGGTCATGTTTATTAAAAATAGAAAAAAAGGGAAAAGAAAAAAGGGGGGGGCGCGCGCGGTGGAAGGGGGGGAGGAGAGAGCAAAAAGAGAATAATGCGTTCCAACGGCAGTGGATTAATATTCGAACAGGTCCGTAACGCCGGTCTGTTTCGAAGCTGCTCTTAGCACCAGCCAGCCAACGGCAATGCCAACCCAGCCATCCAGCAAGCCAGCCAACCTGCCAACCAACCAACCAACCAACCAACCAACCCAGCCAGCCAGCCAGCAAGCAAGCAAGCAAGCAAGCGGTCGTTCCGCTTTTTTCCCCGATACCTATCAAGGTTATTGGTACAAGGAAAAAATTTCTTTCGACGCCGGGGAAAAAAAGAAGGAAAAGGATGAGAACAGGAGAGAACGCGGCGAGGAATTCTTCGTCGTCGCGTTGTTGTTTGTTTTTCGAGCCTGATCCAGGGGGACTAGCGTTGTTCCCCCGCCTGCAGCCCGTAGAGTTGAAATCCTACTCTCACCGCGGAACAATGCCTCCCCTCTGCCCCTCCTCTCGTTCTTGTTAATTAAAAATTTCAATCACATATGAGAACGAGACGAACGTCGAACGTTTGCCAGTCGCCAGCTTTCTCGCCTCGGCTCGGCTCTCTCGGGCCTGTTCCCTACTTTCACATTTCGTTCTCTCACCGCCCACCGTGGCGTTTTTTTTCGGCCATGTAACAACGTGCAATTATCGTTCGGGATAAGTAGCGGAATAGGGATATTACGGAGGAAAGATTTTCCGATTGGCGAGAGGGACGGGGTGAGACTTGTAACTTTGTTCGCGGCGAACCTACACCGAAAATTCACTCGACAGATTAACATCTTGCCTGCAGCGTTGGAGAACGGGGGAGGAGGGATACGAGGAATCTCCTGCTCGTCGATGTCGAGAGAGAGAGAGAGAGAGACGTCGTTGCGTTTCTCGACTCGAATCCAGCCGAATCCAGCCTCGGTCCCCGGCAATGAGTTCGCGAGCGTAACTCGGGAAACGACGCGGCAACAGTCCCGACGCGAGAACACGCTGGCGAGGATATTCCGTGGGTGTCAGCCGAGGATGTTCGTGTCACCGTGGAAAATGGAAAATCGCACCTTCCAGACAACCTAATGGAATATCCTACTATTTTCTCCGCTATAGAGTATCACACACGCGCGCACGCACACAGTGATCCCGATTTTCATCAAGCATCCCTTGCCGTCCGTTCGAGACCCGCATTCGAATCTGTCACTAAGACGTTTCAGACAATCGCGCACTCCGCCGTTGAAATATCGTTCGTATCCTCCTCTCCGCCGCCGCCGCCTGCTGATACTCCGCGGGAGGAGAAGATGGAATCGAGGCTCGATGATTGACGAGAAATCATATAAAACGGCAAGGTAAATGGAGAGGGAGGGAGAGGGAAAGAGAGACTGTTGAAATAAAACGAAACGACGGAGAGAATCGCTCTCGTGAGTACGTAAGATTCTACGTCTCTGAGAGAGGAGGATGCCAAGATATCGCTTCAACGATAGATATTCTCTCGCCCGGTGTATACGCATATACACAACCAGAGTTTATTACCGGAGGAGGCTGTTGCCTTTGAACGTTCTTAAATGCCTCTTGAATACGGTCGTCGGCGAAGAAAGCGCCAATACCGCGGAGAGAAGAGAAAAAAAAAAAAAAAAAAAGAGGAAAGAATTCGAAGAAAAGAGCCACTTAAGGCGACTGGACGCATGAATCGCGCTGCCATTTACGAAATTGGTCAAGCTGCACGGCCGGTTGGTCTCGCGGTTCGCGCGTTACTTCTTCCTTTCTTCCTTTCTTTCTTTCTCTCTTTCTCTCTCTCTTCAAAGGCCGCGTCGCAAGCAAGCAAGCAAGCAAGCAAGCAAGCAGGCAGGCATCGATCCAACGGGACAAAGTGCGCTCGATAAAGCGCGAGGCGCGCGAAGCCCGCCATTCGAAAACCGTCAATTTACATTTTTGTCTGCCCGCTTGGTCGTTACCGTTGCGCTCGCTCGTCGGGGGACAATTACACCGATTGGAGCGGTGCATAAAAATGCATGAAGTCGGCGCGGAATTCCGAGAAATTCCGCGACCCGGCCGCACAGGCGACACACACACGCAAACACACATACACACACACAATGGAATACCAAAGTCGAACAAGGTAAACGCGACACTTTCCTATCGCTCCGCTCCGCTCCGCTCCGCTCGGCGAAATTATTTCAGGGCTCAGGACCAGGAAATGGTCCCCTCTTCAGAAATCCGTCGAAAAACGGCTCCTCCTCGTCGGCTGTCGTTTTACCACGGCGATATCGCGTCTCGCCCAGCTTTCAAACCCGCGCAGCCGAGAAATAACACTTGATCCTCTTTCGTAATTTTCTTTCTTTCGTTTCGATATTCCGGGGGCTTCAAGATGGAGCCGGGGTTGGACCAACCGAATCTTTACGATTTATTTCAATCTCGCGTATCGGCGGAATCGGCGGCGACACGCGACACGCGGACTTTGCAGCCCGTAGGAAGGAAATTCGTGGAACGATGAAAATTCACGTTAGAGGGAATATGTATAAACGCAGACGCAAAGGATCCTCGGACATTTCAGCAACTGTGAAATGAGGAGTAAGGGCGCTACCTAGACTATAAATGACGATTGATAAACTAATAATGAAATATGAAATATAAAGGATGGAAAAAAATGAAAAGTTTGAAATTTATCTGATTGAAGAAATTAAATTAATTAATTTTCACATCTTCGATTATTATTATTATTATTATTATTAATAATAATAAATATAATAATATGAATAAAATTAAAAATATTAAAAATACACGTATGCATAACATATGTATAAATACACGCATGCTCAGAAATCAAAGTTGTCAGATATCTAGAATCAAACCCAAATTATCTCATTCAGCTATACAATCTCAAGACGTAAAATATAAGCGTACAGTTTTGTATGTGTGTGTGTGTGTGTGTGTGTGTGTATAAAGACAAAAGTTTCAACTACAAAAATGGTCAAAACGGCCAATTGATAATTTTTGTTAAATATTTCATAGATATAAAACAATGTGTTTGTGTGTATAAAGATAAAAGTTTCAACACTGAAACTACCAAAATAGTCAAAACGGCCAATTGATAATTTTTGTTAAATATTTCATAGATATAAAACAATGTGTGTGTGTGTGTGTGTGTGTGTGTGTATAAAGACAAAAGTTTCAACACTGAAACTACCAAAATGGTCAAAACGGCCAATTGATAATTTTTGTTAAATCTTTCATAGATACAAAACAATGTGTTTTTAGAGGCTTAAATGATTCTTCGTGAAATAAAATGAAAGTTCGTGTACCCTATTGTACATTACAAAGATTTTCTGTTTCTTTTACTTTTCATCGGATGAAAATTCCGCGCTTTACTCGTCGGCAGTTAGTTGCAGCGTTAAAAGGGCAAGAGTTCGGATCACAGAGAGGACTCAGTATCTCTTTGTCATCGTCGTATTCCTCCTTCACTGCTCAAACACTAATAAACTTTAATATTCCAAATCACTCGGTTTAATTGTCGCTTGCTTTCCTTTTTTCCTCCAACATCGAACATTTTAGTTTCACCGTGTCTGTCGGCCGTGACACGCGCGTTAGGTTAGGAGATCCAAAGTCTCGTTCTTCTCCGAGCATGATCTCCTCGTCGCTTCGTCGAATCAATTATCGCTTCGCGCAGCGAGACGGTTCTCGGCATCCATTCCCATTGTTGTACATATGTTTGGTTATCATGGTGTCGCGGTTGGGACGCATTAAGGAATGTCTCGGCGGCATAAGGGAATTTCGCGATAGATATACCAAGTAATAGCACCGGTGTACGTTTGGAAATTTGGCAGCGGTAGCAACGATCACCCCGTACATGCAACGTCTATATATATATATATATACATATATATATATATATATTCGTATACAACAAGATCTAACAATGGGATTGCCACGACGATTATTAGCCGTGAATATCAACGACGGGAAAATTGCACGGTAGGTAGGAGGTGCCTCGCCACGTCGCGCCGAGTAATATGATCCTTTCGACAGCAGCGAGGAAGGAACCTCCGACCTTCTCTCTGCTTCCTCCTCCTATCTCTCGATCCTTGTAACCTCGTTACTCCAACTCTCGGAAGATGAGGGACGAATGCTCCCCTCCCGAAGCGCGATGCGTCGCGGCTGATACGTGACGACGCCGGCTCACCTTCTTCGCGATAATTACATCGCGAGCCACGGCATGGCAATTCCTCGCGAGGAACAGCTCTGGCAGGACCAGTTTTACCGATATCGCATTGTGTACGTACGATACAACGTGCGCCAACGTACGTACAGCCAACGTGCATACCGTTGGAACAAACGCACGCAGGCGTAGGTGGCATCAGCAGGCAAGCGTGTTTGGCCAAGTTGCCTGTTATCTACTTGCTCCCTGTAATTACATTTTGACATTTCGAAGACTACCCCGGCGACGTAATCTAATACGGCGTAATGCAATCAGGGCGGCGCGCATCTTGCGCGAAAATCTCGCCCCCGGGATCCATAGACCGGCGATAATGGGTGACTCTCGAAATTCTGCTGCCTCGCGAGCCGACCTGCCTCTCTCTCTCTCTATTTCTCTATCTCTCTCTCTCTCTCTTTCCTCCCGCTAAATTAAAAGACACGCTCTCGGACGAAACGAGATTGCGCATTTCCTTTCCGTTTCATCCACGAGTCACCCGACACGCGTCCGTTCTAGAACACGATCTCTAATAAGAGATGGGAACGTAACGAACGATCAACCGCTTGCTCTGGCAGCTGATTGCGGACCGTAACGAGCGACCAGACCGATTATATACGATAAAATGCGTCGCTTTCTTTTCGTACCCGTCGGTTCGACATCACTGGATAGAAATTATCGGGATAAAATTGAGAATAAATATTAATAATGTTATCCGTTTTGCCTGGGTTCTACTTGAAAACTGCGGAGATATTGCGATTTTGGGAGAAAGAGAGGTTAAGCGATAAGCTGTTTCAACGTAACGGGACGTTAATATATGGATGACACGGGACCTGAAGGATGATCGGTCGAAAGAAATCAGTTAATTCCGTCGACTTGGAGCAGCGGCTCCGCTCCGGACGACGGAGACCGGCAGACTAGACTCTGGACACGATCTCGTCGTTAGCCGCCGAGGAATCCGAGAGTACGCCGCCCCCGTCGGGTGGTAATTTCACCGGGCGGGCACCGACGAAGGTGAAGGTGTCGAGGGACACCAAGGGGAAAGAAAGTTGGCGTACGTTCGACGAACGCGTAATGTATGCCGGATAATGCCTTCGTTCCTTTGCCCCGAGACACTTGCCTCTCTTGGCCAGCCAGGCCGCCACCCCCCTCCCATCCCTCCCCTCCCCCCTCCTGCCAACCCCTTCGGCTGCTCGCTCACGCTCTCGGTCTCGCATTAATGCAAAGCGGGAACATGCAACGGAGGCACGACGTAGCCTATCCAAGGATGCTTCTTGCAAGAATAAGAGAACAGGATCGCTGGGGATGTCCCGGGATTCTGTCCTCTATCGATCTCTCGCGTATATAGACACTAACTTGTGCCCTCCGCAAGCCGCGCTATGTATCTGCCATATACATACACCAATCTCTCTCTCTCTCTTTCTCTCCGTCCCTATCCAGTCTTCTCCTTTGCGTCTCTTTTTCTTCCTCGTCCCTCTCCGACCACCGCCGGTTCTCCTCGTCGAACTGCCGTTTATCCTCCTTTCTCTTTCAATCTCTGTTAGCTAGTCTTCGTCTTCTCCTCCTCTGTCTTTCTCTCGCCAATTTTCTCCGTCCTCGTCACTCGTCTCGTCTACGTTTCTCTTCGTCGCTCCTCGATCCTCGCTCGTCGGTCCAGGTGTCCCTCGTTTCTCTCGCTTTCTCCCTCTTTCTTCCTCTGTTTCCTCGCCTTTGGTTCACCCGCTCGTTGCTTCCCTCTGTCTCTTTCTCATTCTCTCTCTCTCTCTCTCTCTCTCTCTCTCTCTCTCTCTCGCGCGCGCGCGCGCGCGGCGAATTCCTGGCACGCATACACGTGCAATTCGAACGTGTACCGCCCCCCTGCTCGTGTCCCTGTCCGTTTGCACTCGCCGAGGGGCGAAAGAGGGACGAATTGGTCCGCGTATAACCACGCTCAGCGCCGAGGAATGTGTTATGTATACATAAACGGACGCGCAGAACGGACGGCAGGAATGTCTTTGTGTTGTTTACTGCGTTTATTGAGAGAGATATGACACGGTTCCGGAAGTCCATCAGGATCGCGGTGGCTTTCGTCGTTATCGAAAATCAGCGGTCGCGAAAGATTCACCGCACGTCACCGGATCTCGTCCCACTTTCCCGTGCTTAAATGCTCAATCCTTGTCAATCCGCGTCCATTGGCGTGACTTTCCAACGTAGAAAAGTTATTACGCTCTGCCTTCGGTATATACACTGCCCACAAAAATTAGAGAATACTTCGAAATGAATATGAAGCGATAAAAAAAAGAAGAAGAAGCATTGGATATTTTTTTCATTAACCTGGCAACTGGTCCGCGGACCATAACGAGTGACCGAAACCGTACACAATAATTCGTCGATATGATATCACTGGATAGAAATTACTAAGAAGTAATGAACTTATCATTCGTTTTGCCTGGATTACATTTAAATATAGTATAGAAATAATACTAATAATAATACTATGATTTAATATAATACTATATATGTAATATTATATAATGTAATATATAATACTATATAAATAATACTATAATACTAATATAACATATTTAAAACTAAGAAAATATTGGGACAAACAATTCTCGACGTGCCTGGCTCGTTCCACCGTAAGAGGTTAACTGATTGCGGACCATAACGAGTGACCGAACCGTACACAATAATTCGTCGATATGATATCACTGGATAGAAATTACTAAGAAGTAATGAACTTATCATTCGTTTTGCCTGGTCTACATTTAAATATAATATATAAATAATGCTAATAATAATATTATAATATAATATAATATAATATAATATAATGTAATATATAATACCATATAAATAATACTATAATACTAATATAAAATATTTAAAACTAAGAAAATATTGCAATTTGGCACAAAAAATTTTTGACGTGCGTGATACATCATTCCAGCGCTACGTAAGAGGTTAACCCCTTGCGCTGGCAACTGATTGCGGACCATAACGAGTGACCGAACCGTATACAATAATTTGTCGTTTTCTTTTTGAGCCCATCGGTACGATATCACTGGATAGAAATTAGTGAGAAGTAATAAATTTATTATTTCTTTTGCTTTTCTTTACACAATTACATTAGTTTATATTAAACTAAACAAAATTATGTTAGTTTATATTAACTTTTAATCACTTGCGCTGGCAATTGATTGCGGACCATAACGAGTGACCGTATACAATAATTCGTCAATTTCTTTTTGAACTCGTCGATATATCACTGACAGAAATGATTGAGAGGTAATATTTATTATTCGTTTTGCCTGGGCTAGATTTAAATATACTTAAAATAGAAAATGTTAAAATTTGGGAGAAAAAATTTTTGACGTGCGTGGTACGTCATTTCAGCGCAAGAAGTTAAACAGGAACATTAGAAATTATCACGTCATTCGTTTTTCTGGATGCTTCCATATTCATTTTGAAATATCCCCTAATTTTTGTGATTAGTATGTATATATACGTACGAACTTGCTTGTTTTTTTTCTTCTTTTACAATATTACACGCTTGTTTTGTGCGACGTCAAAGGCAAAGTAATTTCTCAAGTTAACTTAAATCTTTCGATCCGTTCGAAAAGAAAAGTTTCGAAGAAACCACAAAGAGGCGGAGATCGTTTGTAATCCTTCGGTTGTTCTTTCGACCAAAGGAGAAAAATTGGAACGCACTTGACCCGCTACGCGACTCGCTACGTACGTACATACAAAGAGGTCGTACGCAATTATCTCCGAAAGTTTCTCCCAAAGTTGTTCCCCGATGGAAACTTGTAGCAAAGCTGTTGTGCTCACCGGGGACCGGGTTGTACCGCAGCTCGCATCACCGGTAAATACGACGCGAAGTCGCTCCGAACTTGCCATTGAAGAACACCAACCGACACTGGAGCATCAGAAAATCCCGTCCCGTGAAAGATACGATCAAAGCGAGTTTCATCGAGGTTGCAGCTCGAGTTTTCTTTGCGAAAACAAACGTGCCGAGGACCACGGATTAGAGGTTTGTCGCTCGCTCGTAATTGTCAAATTAAGCGTTGAAAATCCAAACGCGACGAAGGTATGTAGCTGGTAATTAAGAGGGGCTAGCGTGGAACGAGTAGTACGGGACGGGATTGATCCGGCCTTACGGACCGGCCATCACGTGAAAGGACCACTCGTTCGCCCGCTACAGACTATAGACCTGCAAACAGACTATAGAACGTGGGTCGGAGCAAAGAGTGGGGAATGGAGATTTTCTCCGTTGACACGACGATTTGTACGAGCAACAGGCAACTTTCATTAAGCCTTTTCGAGCCGGTATACCCTCCTCCCCTGTCTCTTTCCCTCTTTCTCTCTGTTATCCCTTTTTCCTTCCTCCCCATTCTCCCTCCGTCGTATTCTGCTCTTTACTAAGGCAGTCTCCGTCGTGTCGTCGCGTTGAAACCAGCCGCATAATCGGCGCCGTGCAACGGTTGACTGGGGAAAAAAAAAAAAAAAAAAAAAATGAAAGAAAAGCATCAACGTCAACGAGACACAGGATCGGACGAACAAACGGTGGAGAGGAAAAAAAAGGGGTAACGAGTTTTACCGTTGTCGCGATCGTTTCGTACCGAATCGAATTCGTATCGCCTCGCGTCTGTTCTCTGTACGAACAGAGAACAAATCCACCGCGCGACGATATGAACGGTGCAGATTGGCCTCAGTTTCTGAAGTAACCCCGCCTACACAGCGAAGAATCACGTTCGCGCTGGCGTTCGTGTGTCCCTCGGCGACAAAACGCGTTTACGTGGCGCAGCGGCGTTGCGACGTCGGGTCATCGGAGCGAACAGCGGCGAGAGTACGCCGGAAGCGTATTGGATGCACGAGGATATCTCGCGCGCGTTTCAACCTCGTTAGCATTCTATCCTTTAATTCCGCTCGCGCTGTTCTCGCTTCTTCCTCTCCCCCTCCCTTTCCCTCCTCCGTGTCGCAATTTCCAGCGATCTCTATCGAACCACGTCGCGTCACCGCGTGCCTTTAATCGGCCAACACACTCGCCCTTTCCATCATGCGCGCACACACTCGCTTCGAAAGCTATCTTCCATGCTCGAGCGTCTCCCTTGACTCAATTCCCCCTACCCACCCTCCTCTTCCTCCTCCTCCTCCTCCCTACCCGCCCTTTTTAATTCGTTTAGTCTCTGGCAGGCTGTGCCAGTCGCACGTTAACAAAACGCCCCGCGCCTCGTTCGCATTTACTCTAGTCGTGACCGAATTCGTTCTTTGTTAATGAACCGTAGCAGAATCGCGATAAGAGGCTTGCGCATGCATCGCGTGATTGACACTGACGTCGATTACCAGATGAATACTACTTTGATTCGCGATAGCAGACCGCTCGATACTCGAGTAATGAATACTCCTCGATATTCCACCCTGTCGACGCGTCCAACCAAATTTATATACCTTCCATATTTTCCGACGGCGGCGAGACGCGACGACAGAGATCCTCCCCCCGGCCCCCTCGTCGTGGTTCGATCGAATCCAACTAAATCTCGATATCCTTCATCCACCCAACCACCCAACATCCATCGTTATACGTTGACGTATCGCATAAATAATATTGCGAGTCGCTGCTTGATTTTTCACCGCGTCTCGCCGCGTCGTCCAGTTCCCGAAGGTGAAAGTTTCTTGTATTTCTGACGACTATCTATCGCGTCAAACTCCTGTCCCACGGACACAGGTACACAACCACGGCTATCTACACGGTGTAGATAAACGGTGGGGGAGGCTTTTATCGCGGAGAATTTCCCTCGAACTTTGTTTCTCTCCTTGTGTGCGCGTAAATATATAGGCGTGTACGTGCAACGACATTCAGTACGTGCAAACATCACTCACGCCGCACTCTTGTCAATCTTGTCCTTCGTAAACTTCCCTTCTCAACTTTGTTCCGTTTCTTCTTCCCCGTCGTCCTCGTTCCTCCGCGTTTCACGTTGCATCGCGTCGTTTACGGCGTACAGTCAAGTGTACGTACAGGATGCAGAGAAAAGTTTACCCGTATCGTACATGAATTCTACACCTTGGAAAGACTGCCGCAAAATTGACCTTGACCCTGATTTTCAGGGCATTTCCTTTGACACTGTATTCTACTCATCACCTAATAGTTCTCTTGAAAAATGATGAAAAAGTTTCGTAATTCAACACTGCGTACGCGCGCGTGCTAACAGCGACTTTATGGTTCTGGATTAACATTGGATTTGTCATAGTTGTAGCATCAGTGCAAGTTTAAATAACATAATGGTAAAACTAACTATTAACATTATCGAAAATATAAACGTTACGTAATGTAGATATCCACGCGTCCAGAACCATAAAGTCGCTGTTAGCACATTCTAATTATGGTTCTGGATCAACATTGGATTTGTCATAGCTATAGCATCAGTGCAAGTCTAAATAACAAAATGGTAAAACGAACTATTAACATTATTCAAAATATAATATCCAGAACCATAAAGTCGTTGTTAGAACGCATTTGTACTGAGAAGAGAGAAGTTTATGGCTATCATAGGTGAATTCTAGACTTTAATATGTACCTGTTTACTTACAATGAGTTTAGAAATGATAACAAGGCATGTCTATAATTTCAAAACTTTCGTTGTTAATGTAAAAGTTATTGAAAACGCGTGCGTGCTAACAGCGACTTTATAGTTCTGGATTAACATTGGATTTGTCATAGTTGTAGCATCAGTGCAAGTCTAAATAACAAAATGGTAAAACTAACTATTAACATTATCCAAAATATAAACGTTACGTGATGTAAATATCCACGCGTCTAGAACCATAAAGTCGTTGTTAGAACGCATTTGTACAGAGAAGAGAGAAGTTTATGGCTATCATAGGTGAATTCTAGACTTTAATATGTACCTGTTTACTTAGAATGAGTTTAGAAATGATAACAAGGCATGTCTATAATTTCAAAACTTTCGTTGTTAATGTAAAAGTTATTGAAAACGCGGGCGTGCTAACAGCGAATTTACGATTTTGTATTAGGTTTCACTAACATTGGATTTGTCATAGTTGTAGCATCAGTATGAGTCTAAATAATCGATAAAACTAGCTGTCAATATTATTCGAAATATAAATGTCACATCCAGAACCATAAAGTCGCTGTTAGAACGCAGTGTCAAATTAAGAAACTTTTTCGCCATTTTTCAAAAGAACTATTAGATTGCTACCTATGGCTCGCGACAAGTAGAATACAATGCAAAAAACAAAAATTTTTTAACCTTGAAATTTAAGATCAAGGTCAATTTTACACGTTCTTCACATATATTTCCATCCAAATCGAAAGTGTAGAATTCATCTATGATAGCCACGAACGATCTTTTCTTTCCACCACGTACGTCTATACCTATCCGGTGCTTTTCTACCTGTTCTCCATCGGATTGGTCTTCCTTTGCTGCTGGTCGATAGAGTCGTGGAACGCTGATCCCTGGAAGACGATGAGCCGCGTACCGAAGCAAAGTCAGGCAGTTCGTTCGCGATCCTCCTGCCGACGTTTTAACGACACGGTGGATCTGCTTCGAGGAACGAGTCGGTCGTTCCACTGCGATCGTATAACGGATTACAGAGACGCGAGCGAGGGTCGCGACCCGCTGAGGCCGCCCTTTCTCCTCCACCTCCTCTGTTATTTTATTGTTATGCGAGAGAGAGGCAAGCGTTTACACGTATGTACGTCGCGAGACGTTACACGGAAAATTATACTGCCAATGAGACTTTTATCCTCCTGATCATGGTGACGCCGCTCGTACACACGTGTGGTTCCCACTCTTCATGGTTTCTCCATTTCGTGTCGTTTCTCCTCTTTCTCGCTTCGAAATCACGCCTGTTTCTCTCTTTTTCTACAAAAGAGCGTATCGTCGAGAGCGTATCAGACGCATATTCCCGCGTAAACTGTTATTTACTTACCCTTTGCTCCGACATCGAGCTATTTGACTGCTCGCAGGGTAAAGTCGACTGCCGAATGAGCGATAAATTCGAACCGGGGAACGCGCAAATATACATGTATGTATGATCTATGTACACACATGTATGTACATACCTGTATGTCGTCTATGAGGTACGGAGAAAACAAACATTGATTCTCGGCTCCCACCGACGTGATTCAATATTTGTATTTCCCCCGATGAAAGTGTATCATCGCGCATCAATCAAGAGGAACAAACGCTCTGCCGAAATGTGCATCGCGCGCCGTCTCGATCCCATAGATTTCCCAGCTCCGTCCTATATACACTCGTCCAATGGTGGCCCGTTCCATCTTTCCCCTCCCCCCGGTCATTGTTCCCGATAATTACGAAAAACAATGGCTCGCGTTAGCCCAATAAAACTCGCTGTTACCCGAACGAAGTATCCTCGAGGCAAGAACGCCGGGAAAATTAACGGTTCTCTCGTCCGAAAGGAAAATTCGTGGCCAGTCATTACTGAGAAAGCATTGTAACCTACGCCGGAGGAAATCGACAATACCTGCGATAATAATTTCTGCGAAGGAAAAAGTGTTTAAAGTGTAACGGAGCAACGATTCGTAAGTTGATATTTCGCAGTCAGTGTAAACCTAACCTAAAACTTTTTCTTTTTTAGCCAACCTCTGCCAGTCTTCGCGGACCATAACGAGTGACCAAATCGTATACAATAATTCGTCTTCTTTTTTAATTCGGTATATATCACTGGATAGAGATTACTAAGAAGTAATAAATTTATTATTTGTTTTGCCTGGGTTATATTTCAATATACGTAAAACTGAGAAAATCTGCTATTTTGGGCCAAATATTCTCCTCGATGTGCGTGGCACGTCAAGAGGTTAACCACTTGCGCTGGCAACTGACTGCGGACCATAACGAGTGACCAAACCGTATACAATAATCCGTCTTCTTTTCTAATTCAACGGTATATATCACTGGATAGAGATTACTAAGTAATAAATCTAGTAGTTGCTTAGCCTGGGTTATATTTCAACACATTGATAATTAAATGGACAAAATTAGAATAGTCAATGAATGGAAACCTAACCTAAACCTGATCTATACCTAACCTATGTAAACCTAATATAAACCTGATCTATACCTAACCTATGTAAATCTAACCTAAACCTGATCTATATCTAACCTATGTAAACCTAATATAAACCTGATCTATACCTAACCTAAACCTGATCTACCTAACCTGTATAAACCAAACATAAATCTGATCTATACCTAACCTATGTAAACCTAACATAAACCTGATCTATACCTAACCTATGTAAATCTAACCTAAACCTGATCTATACCTAACCTATGTAAACCAAACATAAATCTGATCTATACCTAACCTGTGTAAACCTATAATCTGTTCCTGGTAAGAAAAGAACCATTATCTCAAGAACGTGAATAGTTTTGTACTTGAGAGAGGGGAACATTATTTTTTCGATGTAGAAACGATGGACGTCGAATCATAGTAAACTCTGATAATAAGGAAATAACATTCAACGCAGCACGTACACTCGTACACAACGTGCAAACGATGTCAGACATCAGGCTAATTGGCTTACGTCGGTCAACCACGCTTTGATTCGACCGCTGAAATTGATCCCGTTAGGTGGAAATCGACGACTAAGCATCGATCCGAGACCTAGATACACGCGTGCCTCGCGAATAAACGATAACTACGTACTGCACGTGCAGATAAGTAATATCTACGTGCAAGTCCCAACGCCAAGAAAAAAAAAAAAAAAAAAAAGAAAGATTCTCGCATTTACACGCAAATTTAATACACGAGGAAATTAATTTGATCTGTCGCGGTGAAATTCTGTCGGGCTCGTAATATCGCGCGCGCGCGCGTTCGTATTCGATGAAAACGAAGCGGAACAAGGGGAGGGAGAAAAATGCGAGAAAAAGCATTTCCCAGGAAATGGAAACCGGGAAATGGTTGAAATTAGAACTAAAATCGGCAATATCTGCCGGAGAAGCTCGAGGCCTCCGTAAATTCCTGCATTCTGCTTGCGTACATATATAATCGGCTGATTAATTATTATAATCGTCGACCGAGTAATTAGCAACTTGTTGATCCGGCCTCGTTGTTTCTCTCGACGAAACAACCGGGCAAACGTGGTTCGTGCCACGTTTACGACATCGTTCGCGAGATTACGTTCCCGTGGTTGGGTCATCTAATTGGAAATCGTCCTGCGTCGCGTCGTTCGGAATAAGCATTCCCAAACGGCGTGCCGGCGTTAGAGCCGCGTTGCGTAACGCGGACTTTCGTCGGCTGGCTGGTAGAAAGTGAAACTTTGTGTAGCGTCGATTCGTGACGCGGTGGTTAAGTAGGGGAGAGCCAGCGGAACGAGCCGAAAAATATTCGTGGAAACGGGAATATTCCCCCGTTCCACGACCGGAGAAATTCAGACGTTATAAAAGGTGCTGCTTGCATAAAGTTCCCCGTTATAGTTTACGGGAATAAAGCTATCTATTGTAATACAGCGAAATTGAAACCAGTCGAGACGCCGGAATAAAATATAAAATACGAATCCGGCTTATTACTTTCCCGCTACTTGCATCCACCATTATTACTGTCCCCCGCTTCTGACGTCACGCTCGTAGACGATCTTCCCACGGCTCTTTTCATTTTTATACGCCGCTCTCGATTCGCGAGTGTTCCTCGAATAACATTCTCCCGTTAAACGTTGCGAATACGATCAATTCCTACTAATGTAAAAGTATCTGTGCACTATACTCGTTACTATTCGGATTTGAACCGAGCAAATACACACACACACACTCTCTCTCTCTCTCTCTCTCTCCCTCTCACTCTAAAAAATAATTCTATTCTATATTTTGAAAAACAACAGTTTATTACCATGTATATTATCGTCTCGTATTATGTGCGTAAAATACTGCTTACGATTAACAAACAACGAGAGTGTAAGCGTGTGCCCGGTAGAGAAGACGAATCTCGCGGTGTTGGGAATAACGCGTGCCGTAGAAACAGTGCGAATACGATCGTTTTTTCTTTCAGCTGTGTGCGCGTACACGGAGGAAAAGGATAATAATCATTCATAGTCGCAGGTATAGGCGCGACGTTGTAAGATCGTTTGAACGACTATTCTAAACAGACGCTCGCTCGCTCGCTCCTCTTCTATATCTTTCCTCTTTTTATCGACGTATCCAGCCACCGTTTTCCCCTCAGCTGCCCCCATTATACCCAGTCTTACGAAACTCCGGCGTACTGCTGCACTATCTTGGACCACTCCTTTGGATAGGTTCGTTGAATGTGCGAGAGGACCTTCTTGATCTGTCGTGTTTCCTCGGGGCTACATTGCGGGCAGGAGCCTCTCAAAACCAGCGGTGCTAAACCTGGATAACAACGCCCGAGTTAAATCGAATTCCCCGTTGGTAACTTTATAGAAATTTATCGGTAAACCGGTCGACGTGGAAACACACGGCCCTCGAAAATACGGACATATAAATCGGATCTGAGCGATTCGACGACTCGCCCTCCCGGTGGTACGCTCGTCAACTTTCAAACGGCTTGAAACCCCGATTAAAATCAAGATTAATCGATCTCTAAAATCGCCTTTCCTCCGACTCTCTTTTTCTCATTTTTTGCGATTCCCGACTCCGCGCCGCTCCTACTTTTGACCACGTGAATCTACGGAATCGAATGGAAGATTCTCTCTTAAAAATTTCTCAAGTCGTTTCGACATTCCGTGCGTGACGAACGTAGCTCGTTTATCTCGGGCCTTGATCGCGCAAGAGGAACGAGGTTGTATTGCATTTTGGCTGGAGACTTCGACTGTCCGCGATGACGTGAACGTACATGCACGTACTTTTTAAACGTCTTCCGACAGGGTCGCAGGGAGCTTCGCCCAACGCGCACTTGAGCTGCCTCCTCAAGTAACGTTGGTCGCTCAGGGCCGTGTTCAGTTGTTCGTCGGAGACTCGCGATCTTCCAGCTTGCGCCTCCTCCGTGCTTTCTGCCGTGGCAACGTGGACGAACAGAGCGCAAATGACCAACAGCTGCTGAAACACAGTTAGCAGACTGGTTAAGCGCCGTACACGAGGCCAGGTAAATGGACGTCCGCGGTAACTGTCTTTAAAAGGTCGTGCCACTTTCCGCGCATCTGGCCACGAAGCAATTAAGGAAATTCACGGTTAACGAGATTGAGTGGCGTCCATTCAATACGACCGGATAATGATACAATTCCGAGTTCCTAGATCGATCGATGCCGTTTACTTAATTGACGCGCATTGGCATAGAAATGGGAACGTGAAGTTACGAGCAAAGAGGAAATTTTCACTTAAAAAAATTATCGTAAATACACACGAGAGGCGAAATGGGACAAGAAATGGCTAGCTGTAGAACTGTAGACGATGTTCCAGCTACACGCTACCCGGAAGCCAAAGCTAAATAAGCAGCGACCATCATCAGTAACGATGACACGACTTTCGTCTGTTCGCTTGTCTTCGGCTGTCGATCCATCTCGCTTCCTGACTTTCGTTGCATTTCGTTGCACTGTGCACGTCGACTGACTAACGAGCTTCCTTTTAAATTATGTACCTCGTTCGCCTCTGTAATACAATTACTCCTAGAGAACGCCATTTCGTAACGATATCGGCTCCGACGATAAATACTTCATGCGCATAGCACGTGTATGCTCTACGCGCGAAACAACAGCCAAGGAAATCGTAATCTGCGTTTCTTGATGCGAAAAAATTCAAAAATATCGATAAAGCAGCAGCGTCACTGTATTCTTTGACATCGTACGAGACTCCTATTGAAAGCTGTGCGTTTGGCTGGCCAATAGGTGACTGCGTTTCCCTGTGTGCAAATGAAGGACGAATTTTTAACAGAAACTCTGTCAATATATTAACCGAATTTTGATCGATTACCTTTCAGGCAACTTCGTTCGACTCCGCGTTCAAAGTTCCCATCTTTTTCGACAAAAAGAACGATTTTGACGTTCTCGTCGGCAACGAAATTTAGCAAACCAATTCCGGACACTGTCGTAGTTTGAAAGTTACTTCGCCATACACGTCGGATAGTTTTTTTTTTTTTCTTCTTCTTAAACAAAATATGACGAAAATGTTCCTTTTCGATTTTCCACTTTGAAATTGCCAGGACGCAAAAAAAAAAAAAAAAAAAAAAAAAAACAATCTTCAACGAAATCGTGCATTTTCTTTTTGTAAAACGAGTATCCGCGGTTTAAAATGAAGTTTGTCACATTTTAAAATATACAGGCACGTTCATCTGCTAGAGAAGAAGGTAATTACTTTTTGGCCTACGCGATACAACAACTCAAGATGATCTTGAATTCATGAACAATTCGTTATTTTCAGAATTAGAACACGTTAAAAAAAAAAAAAATTAGCCATTTTTCACGTAAAGCAATTTACCCGTCATTTCGTCACAGAAGAGAAGAATTTTTTCTCGCGAAAACTGTACGATTGCTTGTTCGCGCGAGAAACGAAGGGGAGAAACGTAAAAAAAAATATTTCCTGTTAGATCGCAGCTGCTTGACGGATGAGTATACTTTGGTAGTAGATATTCGGGATCGAATACGCGACACACCTTCTCTTCGTTCGTTTTTTTCTTTTTCTTTCGTTTTTTTTTTTTTTTTTTTTTTTTTCATTTTTTTGACACCGGTCGTGACGAATATTTCAAAGTTCGATTTTTATTTTCGTCGCGCTGTACCTCTCGATTCCATGCACCACCCCTCCACGATCGAGCTCGTTTTTAAACAACTCGCATCACAATCCGGAACACGCGGCCCTTCCCTTTTTTTTTTTCCCCTCCCCGCGGTCATCGTTTTTTTCATTTCCTTTTTTATTTCCAATTACCCTCGCCCGCCTCTTATCCTAAATTACTCGCGAATTTTCGAAACGCGTGAATCTCCTCTTTCAAGAAACACTGGCTTCTTTTTGCAGATTCCGCGAGGGATCGTCGCCGAGGGGCAATGTTTCGAATGGAGTGGTCGCATTGTGGTGGAAGAAAGTTTAAAGTCTCCAAATCAACTAAATACATTTTTAGCACGTCTAGATTATATTGTACATTATATTATATTTGCCACAAATATAACAGAAAACATCAGGATTATTTACTCAAATGAGGCCACTAGTTAAACCAACACTAATAAAACAAGTTCTTATTTTATTGGAGGAGGGTAGTTGATAACTACCAGCTACAAGTAAAATATTTGTTTAAATCATTCAGGAAGTAATTACAATTTCAGAATAAATCAAATTTCACAGATTTCGATTATTTTAAAAATCAAAGTTGTGATTCAGCCAAAAGTGAATATACAATATAAAATCAGAATCCTGAAATGTTGTACGAACCAACCTAACCTCAACCTTTGGCGACATGAAAAAAATTCTTTTTCTTCCCCGGTGTTATCAGTTGGAGATAAGAACCTCCTTCTTTCTTTTTTTGACTCTGTCATTGTGAAACAAAGAGAAAGATTCGGTTGTGCAGTTAACCCTAACCTAAACCTAACCTAAATCGAGGTCGAACCTGAATCGAGGTCGAACCTCGCGACCTTTCATCAGTTCCATCAGTCTCGGCTGATAATCGGCCGCGAATACCTCGGGAGGATCAGCATCGGAGCCTCCGATTTTCCCATAGGCACGCTAATAATCGCGACGGTTCGGTAAATCACCAGGTTGCCGTCGTATATACACGGCCGTGGGATGATTTGTGGATTGGATGCGGGCTCCGGTACGTGCACGCAAACCGCTTACTTCCGCAAATCGATGTGGATTATAAGAATTATTGGCCGCTCTAAATGGCAAATGGCTGTGATATAGATTTTATTGCTGTCACGTCGGCTGTAACGATAGCGACGGTAACGTTGCGGGTTATTACCGACCGAGTTAGACGCTGACGATTCCTCTGGCCCTTGTACATTCCGCACGAATTCTGTACGTACGGGCCCGTTAATTGTCGTCACAGTCTATGAATGATAATTCACCGCTTAAACGCGGCATGCCTGGAAAACTCGTGGCTGTTCGTACGCGACGGTAATATTCCGTAGCAGTTATCGGGCGCGCGTACGCATGCGCACGAGCACGCACGCACGCGACTTGCCAAACTCCCCGCGATAAATAATAATTTATCGTTCGCGTACGACTGGCCGAAACACCGCGCCAGTTCCCAGTTATTAAATTAATTTACAATCGTCTAGTTATCGGCTAACAACAATTACACGTCTCTGTGATTCCCCGATTCGATACTGACAATGCGCCGAATAAATTACAAATCGCCGTTAAGAGAGGAGAATGCCCGGCCAGTGTAAATATCGAATTGCGGCCAAATTAACGGCACCATTGTTGCCAACTCTCGCGACCAACGCGCCCGACGAATCTGACCGAATTTGCCCAATATTCTTCAAAATTGCTCTCGCGTCGGTGTTAACCTCTTAGCTGCGGTATCATTTTTAAAACTGTGTATCTACATTGTGTCGTTAGAACGGCCTGACGACGATTATACTCGTCAAACACAGCTGTGCAGCTGCTGTGAAATTTAATTATAAAAAAGAGTTAACACTAGTTTTTTTTTTTTTTTTTTTTAAGAAATCAACAATTTAACTTAATTGATATCATTTGCAAAACTTAAACATTCAATAAATTTTCTCGTTAGCAAAAATAAATAGAAATTGGAAATTTAATTTATTCTTCCAGAATGATATTTCTTGAAACTTTGCACGTCGAGGACCAATATCTAGATTCTTTTCGTGCATAATTTTCTAACACGGACGAACATCTTCGTGTGGGTTTAGCTTTTGAGAATGTATACTTAATACGTAATCTGGAAAGTAAAACGTGTAGGCTTCGTTGGAGATTGCCGACCAACTAATGTTGTGAATTTATATCTTCAACTGGATGTAATTCAATGATTTTTTCAATAGAAAGTTTACACGCGTTAATTTTCCATTATTCTTTATATATATAAATAAATTTAAACAAATAACGTCTGAAAGACAATTTTTCCAGTATATACACAGAAATTATATATGCATCTAGATGGATTTATGCTTCAATCGTCTAGTGTTAAATAAGATTTACGGAGGACCTTTGTAAATTCCCTAAATTGTCTACAGAATCGTGAAAGATGTGTAAAAATGTCTCAAATTCGACAAGCTAACACTTATCAATAAACATAGTGTAACTATTAATTAATACACTGCTGATTTAAATATCCGCCGGCGACGAGAAAAATTGCAATTACATTTCTCGCATTCTCGTCGTTGCACGAAAAAAATCGTCGTTCCCTCCTGACGAGTATACTCGTCAGTTGGCGGTTAAGAGGTTAAACGACGAAGAAGCACTTTCAATCGGCTTATTACTCGCGTGCAGCTGCCGTTCCCACGCCATTATTCGCAAACGTACGATCGCTGCACGCGTAAGTTAGAACGTTTCCGCGGCGCTCTCGACAAATGGATTTCGACTCGGTCGTTCGATTCGAAGGCTGAGCTACGTGCTACAGGAATTTCCGTCGTTTCCGGCGTCGACGGGGCGAGGAACGTGACAGAATCAGCTTGCCGTTTCTCTCATTTCCAGGGGAAATGAACGTTAAACGCGTTACAACGTGTTTTCAGATTGCATGGAAGTTGTGCAGCTATCGCGAAACAAACGGAACAAACCTCGGCGAGGCGCGCACGCGCCCACCCATCCGATATCCTCCTTCCGGCCAAATAACTGGAAACTCGTTGCCTCTTGACGTTTATTGGTTCTTTAATATCGCAAGGATTTCCACTGTGCTCGGGGGCCCCCGTCTCCCCCGGTTGGAACCCGCCGCGGACGAAGAATTTTCTCGAGAGAGCTCTTATCGCTCCGCGAGACTCGGATAGATAGATACAGGTATACGTTAATCCGCACGATACGCGGTCACGCTCTAGAAAACTGCATTGCAACATGCATTGCACGTATATGCAAGCGACACTTTCGATTCGCATTGAGCGCGACGACGGTGACGCAATTGCCTCGCTTCGAGCAACATTCAGAGCGAAAGACAAGGCGGGAAGGAAACTCGTCTCGGGAAGAAGGACGGAAAAACTTTGGACGTAACACGTTACACGTACGTGTAACACGCGCGTGTAACGTTCAATGGCAGCCGATAAAACGGAATCCGAACGAAGAGATGATCGCCCGCAATAACGGGCCGTTTGAGGCAGAGTGCGATCGGTATATAAGCTCGGTACGTAAGCTCGATCGGGAAAATCTCGAGATACGTGACGTTTGAATGTATCGAGAAAGTCCTGTATCGTCTCGTCTTCCAAGTATTCGGGATAGGGAAGGAGAGAAAGATCGGTAAGCATAGGTGTCGAGTTGGTTGGTCGCGTACAGGGGGGAACAACCATCCCTATGGTTAGGGAAGCAGCCAGTGGGTCCCGTGGCGACGACGCGACGCGAGGGATAACTAGCTAGGTATACGGGGAGAAAGACAGCGTCGGACCAGGCAGAGAAAGCCCCTCCGGATACTGCGAAACTTTAAATCACCGGGCGTACGTGTACACAGGGGTGCGCGTGTATATCTCTACCTGTTGCACGTTCGTCACCCACTCACCTTGATTGCCGAAGCCATGTCGGGACTCGTCGCGGTGCGCGATGGATTTCCTCTGGAATATCGTGCTACTGCTCTTCCTTCAGCAACGACGCGACGCGGAGAATCTAGCAGAAGGTAGCGTGTGTGCGAGTGGCGGCAGTCGATGATGCTCTCACCGCAAAATCTCGGAACGCACTGGTCCCCCCAAGCTACCGTCCGTCGCCTTTCCTCCCCTTCCTCTTCGGATAAATACGAAAGTGTGTATAGTGGCCAACGCCAACGACAACGACGACGACGACGTGATGATATATACCGGTAGTTCTCCGTCTCTGGGTCTCTCCGGACACCTCTCTGTGTAGCGGCCGGTTGTACCAAAGTAGTAGGGGGAGCTGAGACGTGCGTGAGTATGCGCCGTACAAGTCGCACTTTTCTCCCCTTGATTCTCGCTCTTGCACTTGGCTCGTTAAACTCCTTCCGAGCTGTTGCGCTTTCTTTGCTCGGCCGCTCGAGTCGCGCCACTTCGCACACCACTTTCTTCCCAAACGTTTAACCTCCTTCTCCACGCCTCCTCCGTCTCTCCTTCTGCACTTTGCGGGTTCCCCGTGGTGTTCTGTCACTTTTTTCTTTTTTCTTTTTCTTTTTCTTTTTCTTTTTCTTTTTCTTTTTCGCCACTGACTCGAACAACCTCTAAAGTACAAAGTGTTTGTATCTTGTCTCGGCGATCTATTAGCACGTGCCCGTGCCTCTCCCGTCCCCTCTTTGCCGGGGGAGTTTATGGATTTCACTTCACACAGGCGATGCCCTCGCCTGTTATTCTCCTCTTCGTTATTAATTATTCCGTTATTAATTACTCCGTATATCGTCACCGAGGTGACCCCCTCGTATCGATCATCCACCGCTCGTTAAAACCGATTGTATCTAAAGCGCTATAACTAAATTCTCCAGCCGTGTCCCGGCTCGTTTGCTTCGGCCGCGTCTGTCCAAGAGGGAGAGCAAGATCGCTGTGGCATCGATCGTTTCCGCGATAACGTTAACGCTGTTCGCAAGCAACGGGGGGAGCCGGTCCGTGTGTATATTCTTGAAGCGACGCGACGCTCGGTTTTTCCAAGCCGAAATCGGGGAAACCAAGTCGCGAGCGAGAGGGAGAAAGAAAATTTCCGATAAAGCCACGGATTTAACGGGCGATCGAGTCGCCCGACGCGCAGCGTGCGCTGCAGCGGCGTTCGCGCGTTTCCAACGTCCGTGTGCCTGTCCGCGACGATAACAGCCAGCGAATTGCTGCGAAAAAAAAAAAGAAAAAAAGGATAAAAAAAAAAGGAAGATAGGGTGAAACAGAGTAAAAAGAACGGCGGGGCGAGCTGCCGTAAAATACGATTAAGCTGTTCGCCGAAGGTAGACAGTCGGAGCGAGACAGGGAGAGCGCTAACGAGAAACTGACGGAGAAACGAAAAGAGCGGCCGGATCAGCGGAAAGGTCCTGACGCGTTATCAAAAACGGAGCGATGCGAAACGATAGAAAACGCGCAGATGGGCCGGGAGGTGAGAGAGATTGTGCCTTGTATCGATAAAGATTACAACCCGGGGCTGGGATTCATTCCACCGATCTACTTTCGATCGAACGAGGCACCGAAATTTCGAAGCTTTTGCGGCGTCAAGGGAATTTCTGGTCGACGCGCGTCTCACTCCCGGGAGCCTCCCCTTTTTTTTCTTCCCTATTTTTATCTCGTCTCCTCTTCTCTTTCTTTTTTTTTTTTTTTTGTTTTTTGTTTTATTCCCGGTAGTCACCTCTCCGTCATTGGTCCCGTCCCTTCCTCTATTTTTTTTTTTTTTCCTTTTTTCCTCCTCTTTTCGGTGATCCGTTGTCGAGTGATCCGTTTGAATAGGCGGATCGTTTTCCGGGTGATTCGATTCCATCGGCCCAACGAAACGAATCGGGAAGCAGCCGCGCCGCGCCACCGAGGAACCGAACGAGAAAGAAGGAACGAAGGACTGACGTGGTTCATTGTTCCGCGAGTCACGTATCGCGCCCGATTCCTTGTCGGCTGACTTGGTTTCGCGGCGAGATCTCACCCTTTAAAATCGTAAACGGGCCGTTTTTTTTCTTCGTTCGCCCCAACGAAGGGGACGAAGCTGGCTCGTGTCGTGGCGATATCGCATGTTAAATGGCAATTTTATCGTCGTCGAGATTCAGCAATCCTCTTGACTCATTCCGATCCCGACAAATCACGTGATCTTGACTGGCGAAAGGTGAAAGATGAAATAAGGTAAATCTGAAATGAGATGAAATGAATTTACATTGACGATCGAAGTAAGGAACTGCGCGTGTATATAAAGAGGGAAGGATGAGAATTCAAGTTACGAATATACATATGCAAATTTCCGTTTACGATCCTTGCTTTCCTCCATCTAGTAGGCTACGGTTAGTTTGAGTCACGAGAACTTTACGGATCAGTGTTTGCTCGCTTTCTCTCGGTGCGTGCCAGAGACGGGAAACGACGACGTAACGCCTCTTCGCTAGTATTATTACAGGTGAAAATACGATAGCGATGGCGTGTGCACACTGGCCTCCGCTCCAGCGTTGAAACTCTTGCTTTTTCCCCCAATTCCCCGGGGAATAATAATTAAACGACGAGAATTTAAAAGCAGATGACGCAGCCGAGCTCCTGTTTAATCAATTTCGCCAAGCCTTGCCGCCTGAAATCCAATACCCACATATTTAGGTCGATTGGCGATGGCCCGTGAAAATTTTCGCACGTTATACGTCTCCAGTCGCTAATCGGTTCATCGAAACGAAACGAGCATCGCTGACGGGATTACGTTACGGTTACAGTGAACGCTACAGAAAGTTTTGGTCCCAGATCCCTTGACACGTGTGAAATTTCAAGTCAAGATTAGGAAAATTCTGATCGAATGATTTTCTCAGCTGAACGCTCGAAATTGGACATTTTTCACGCGATGGTGAACCTTGTTCGATTAGAAATTCCAAGATGAAAGTTCACTGGAACGCGTCACGGTCCGTCAAACACGCGCACGTTCACACAGTTATTCACGTAGATGAGTAGGCCTCTACGAGAGAAAGTAGAGAAAAGTCTGGATCGTTGAATGACCACGAAAGAACATTGTTTCTTTTATTTTTTTTCTTTTTTCTTTTTCCTGGAAGCGTGCAGCGATTGTTCCAAGCGGCAAAACACGTATCAACATCGAGTATATGAACTGCAACAAGCTACAATCATTGGGCAAACAACCTCCATTCTTTACAGTTCTGGTTAGGTGACGTTGATCGAGATCACGCGCAGAAAACGTATTTTACTATGCTCTCAGAAGAAGTACAATCGAACGCAGACGATGGACACTGACACGGAACGATGACGCGTGGAAATCGGCCGCAATGCTCGCCTTATTCCTGCCAGTTTGTACAATCGCCACTCGTAATTTCGCTCGATCGCGCTCCAACTTTATTGCCGTCGCCAGACTAACTCTAACGCGATCGACAAAAATTATCAATCTGCTCGGTACCAATCTTTCTTTTCCTCGAATCGACAGACACCGTTTCTATTTCTTACCTTAAACCTGTCGTGCATTTGAAATTTCACACGAAAATCTGTATATAATTCGTATACTCCCCTTACTTGGAGTAAAAAGATAAGAAGACATCCGTCTCCAAAATCTTCGACGATAGTAATTAAAATTGAGGCTGAACCGCGGCTTTTTATAATTCACTTCCTGAGACAAGAAGATTAGAAAACATCCGTCTCCAAAATCTTTGACGATATTAATTAAAATTGAGGCTGAACCGCGGCTTTTTATAATTCGCTCGTTCGTATTCAAGACACAGCAAATTGATTGGCACGCCATATTTGCGTATGGAAAATGCCGTTGTTTGTGCAATCCATTTACGTCGCGTTCTTCGATTGCCATATCTCGTGGACCACCCCCGACCGATTCAATCCTTTGTCCTTTATCCTCATTCTTCTCCCTGTTATTTTTCTTTTCCCCTGCCTTGCGATCCTACCATTCTTCTTCCATTCTCTCCACGAGTACTTTCTACAAGTCAGGCGTCTTTTTGTCCTGCGCTTCTCGCCGATATTCTCCTCTATCCGTGCCATTCTTAATAAACAACATCCAAAGCCCTTGCTCGAACGTAAATCTGAAACGATTAAACAATTAATAAATATACATAATAGACTGTTAATGTTGAGATTGCGACGGTGATTTATATACTTGTTGAAATAAAATTCGGCAATGATACGGCACCTTTATCGCAGTTTCGCCAAACTGTATTACGAGGCACCTAACTACGAAGCAACTGTCCGCAGTGGATATGCGCGAAACCCATTTTCCAGCTGTTAAACCCCCGCTAACTTGCTAATGTAACTCAAATAATTAAAGTGACGTGTACAGGCCCTACTCTGAGGTTACAGGGACAACTCGTGGATTCTAATGCGAATGGAAGATATAACGCGTGAAACTGCCGGATGAGAGAGCCGGAGAGAGAAAGAGAAGGAGAATTTCGAGCACACGTAATAACGCTGTCAAAATAACGTACGTTTTAAACGTACGTTTTAAACGTGTGTGTCCATCAAACGTGTTTTAAGTCCATCATTCGACCTTTCTCTACCCTCGAACTTTTTCCTTAAATTCTGAATTCATTTTTGTTTTTTTTTTTTTTTTTTTAATACATTCCTTTCCACTGCAACTTTTGTTTGAACGCGAAATAATTTTGAAAGAAAGATGTATACGCGTGATTCTGTTCATCGATCGATACTTCTTCGATAGATCAGAAGGAAGCATCGTGATAAAATCAAACATTCCTTAATACATTGATCATTTTAATGTTACACGAATGTAGTTAGTGGCGCCATCTGTGATAATATCCTTATACGAAGAATACAGCCATTGTATAAGAACAAAATAGATCTGACACACAGTGCTTCTCTCTGTCCCACATTTCCAAGATTATCCAACTTTCTTATCATTTTTCTCTCACATGTTGTTGATTCAATATAATAATAATTTGAATTAAAAATATATCACAGATGAGGTATAGAATAGACATAAGATGCAATATATTTGGGAGACTCCAGTTCTTACCATTTCCGTGTCACGTCCTACTATATCGATTAGACAGGTTTTGCACCGTAGCGCTATTACTAACAGCAACTAAAATCAGAAAATACGAATATTTTCTGATTGTTAATTCTGAATGTTACAGTTGCACCGAAAATTATTTATTAAATCGAACGTAAAAATTATTTATTGAATTTTCTCATTTGCACGACTCTTGAGAAATGACCAACTTATTTTTTGACTATAATATAATTACTTTCTACGTAAATTGGCATTACATATCACAAATTTATAAATTAGCATTTAGTATATATTAAAAGAGTTATAAGTTAAAAACCAACTGTGCAAATGTAGTTTCAATTTGCGAAAAATGTAGAAATTATAGCATTTATTATTACCTTAAATATTAATAATACTTAAATATTAAATATACATATATGTACACACACAGTATCTACAAATATTTTTTAATGTAACTGATTTGCAAATACTCTGAACATCCATAATTGCTTTAAATATACTTCTTACTAATCAAATATAGCGCGCTTCTTTATTAAGTACAAAACTGCGCAGTACACAAACAACACGATGCGCAAAACGTATTCAAACCTGTCTGTATTAGCGTTTCTTCCCGAAAAGGTCCATCTCTGTTAGAATAAATGAATTATTACTTTCATAAAGAGAGATATTGGATTTCTTGAATTTTTCATGAATCTCCACAACATCCCTTTGAATTGCATAATGTCCTCCTAACCACGAAATTTTCTTTGCAATCTGTCAGTGATCTGTGCAAAAGAAGATCAAAAGTTTCAAAATAAATGTATAAAAGGAACACATTATACAAAAATGAAACGATAATTGTGATCAAGTGCCACGAAGCTCGTAAGTTATGAGTTACCAGCAAATGTAACGAAAATTGCAATCGAAGGGTAAAAATAATTAGAATAATAAGAAAGATATCAATTATTTCGCTTAATAAATTACTAAGCAACGACGTACGTTGATTAAACGAAGTCAAAAGCTGGTGATGAAACTATATACATATTGCGCGGTTAATGAACGTCAAGCAGATACGTCTTAACACCACAATTTTGGACAACAAACTAACCCCTCTCCACCGCGCAACAGGTTCGCGTCGCTAATTCGAGGCTCGAATACGCACGAATAAGAGTCGAGTGATTTACGGAAAACAAAATGTCCTACGAAAATGTTCTGACCATAATCTAAATCGCCAACGTACTCGACAATGCAAAAACAAATTTAAAATTTATTGAGTGTAGTGTTCATCTTCTGCAACTTCTAAATAATGCTTTTTCTTGTTATGCTTTTTCCCGCCTAAAACCGGTACGTTACATTCCAATCCTCAATAGTTCGATTCTGAAAAATAATCGATTAAGATTTGACAATAAGTAATTAGTTGTGTATTTCACTGTTTCGTTGATCAAAAACTGTAATCTCCTTTTTCATCTATTAAACAAGGCAATTGAGTTAACAAAGTGTCTGTAAGTTTATCTTTTAAACGTTGGTTAAAGTAAACGTGACTTGATTTTAAACCTTAGATTTAAAATTCATTAATTTAATGAATTCAACTTACTTAATTTAGTAGAACGTAATGAAGTAATGCTTCTTAAAGTGTAACTTTATTTCTCGAAATAATCCACGTTACATTCAACAAAAGTCTTTCTGTTCATCGTTTTAATTGACCGTGTTCCGTAACAAAACTGACATTGTGACATTTACTGACGTTCTGGTCTTGTGTTCATAGTAACAAATCGCAAAGGACGTACGTTCCGACTTTTTTCGAGGTCGGTATTTCAGAACACGAGACACAAAGTTCCACGTAACGTCGTATCTGTTCTGTACTTAGTCAATGACACAACCACAGGGACACGCGTAACGCGACAATGGCGACCTGAAACATTGGCGTGCGCTTCTTTGCTCCATATACTTCTGACATCTCGCCAGTGTTTACTGTACCGTTTCTGCATATTCGTGAATGTGAAATACATTCGTGCTAGCATAAAATATGTGACTGGTGAAGAAGAAACACTAGAAACAAGAAATCGCGCGAATCCAATCCGTTAAAGCTAGCTAGGTGTACGATATAATTCAATGGTGTTAGTCCTTGCCGAAAAAACAGGAAAGCCATGTATACATCGATATCTTGCCAGCTATAATGCGCTAGTAAATATACAAATTGTTTCTAGTATGCCTGCCATTTATTTTCGACCGCGCACCTTTTACATACTGTTGAACATAGTAAATGATTTAGAAAAATGTGTAGGTTAGGTTGGTCTGAGAAACTGGCATCGGCGGATTTTATTTTACTCTTTTCTTAAAGTGTTGTCTATTTTTTCGCATTACTTTTATCACTTTGAACGTGTTGTCGTTCAATGTCACGTATGATTTACTTGAATAGTGATTATTTAAGCACAACATATTGAGATATTTTGTATTTATACTGGTATACAAAGTGTAGCAACTATCACTTATATATGTACTTGTCCAATTGTATATATCTCAGAATGTAAAAGTATATTCTAAAAAGTAATACAAAATACAAAGTAGATGTATATTGTAGTTTTAAATTGCAAGATTTTTTCTTTTAATAGGCATAATTGTGCTGAAATTAGATATATGTTACTATTAATAATGTCACACAAATATTTATCTGGCAATTTATTAACAGCTGCATGGATCTTGTATCTTTGTGAATTTATATAAAGTATGAGTAAATGAAATTGTGTTGTTGACATAAACAAAATATATATATATATATATATATAAAATTATGTTACAATATACTAAGACATGATATTTCTTTAATTAAAAATACTAGTTATCACCAAAATCTACTGTGGTGCTGATACGGCATGTTAAAATAAGGCAAGTTAACGAAGGAGATGAGCCACAATATTGCAGGCATGCCACCCTTCGCAAGGATGCCTTTGGGGGGTATGGGTATGGGTGTGAATATGGGTCCTAGTGCCCCACATCCTGAATCTTCTGCTCACCCTCATCCTCCACCACCACCACCGACTGGTGCCAATCCAAAAAAGAAAAGACGTACAAATGCAAATGTTGCTCAACCACCTCCGCAACAACCTCCAATAGTGCAGGTAACATTTTACATTGTAGTGTATCATCAATAATCTCCATGTTCATTATTGTATAATATCCAAAAAATATTCTCAGGATTTACTACCTCCACCTTTAACTGGCTATGGGGACACAATAGTAGCAAGTAACCCTTTTGACGATACACCGCCACAAACTACACAAACGCCAATGATGCATGGTGGACCACCCCATATGCATCCTCATCATCCACATCATATGAGTGGGCCACCTATGAGAGGCATGAGCCCTTTAACTTCTATAGGTGGAATGAGTCCTATGATGCCTCACAACATGGGAAGTATGAGTCCAATGGGAAATTCGCCTATGACAAATCACATGAACCATATGGGAGCAATGTCTCCTATGAATCATGCACCAATCGGTGGTATGAGTCCGATGAATAATATGGGACCTAGTATGCCACCTGGTCCAATGAATACTATGAACAATCATATGAATATGAGCCACATGGGTAATTCTCAACTTAGTGGTCCACCTATGGGTAGTCCAATGAATAACATGAACAGCGGCCCAATGGGTAGTCCAATGAATAACATGGGACATAGCATGGGAAGTCCTATGGGTGGTCCATTAGGATCTCCTATGAATACAATGGGTGGATCAAATCACATGCCTAATGGACCAATGAATATGAACAATATTAATAGCCATATACCACCCAATAGCCCACTAAACGGGCCGTCTATGAACAGTGTAAACAGCCCGTTGGGACATAACGGATCTCAACCACATCCGAATCATATGGGAAATAATCTTAATAACTTAGGAAGACCCATGAATGGACCGATGACTACCATGAGTTCTATGGTATCCAATAATATGAATATGAGTGGTCCAAATCAAATAAATAATATGAACATGGCTGGACCACCAATGAATAACATGTCCAATATGAGTATTAGCCATCATAATCAAATGAGTCATATGGCTGGTCCAATGGGTACAATGTCTAGTAATATAGGCGGTGGTCCACCAATGGGCCATCCCATCAACATGGGAGGTTCCATGCCACCTCATGGTTTTCAAGGTCCTCCGGGAATGGGACCAAAACCAATGCCCGTTTCTGCGGGAAAGGTGCAATTAATTTCTCATTATTTTCGCATCATAATTTTACAATACAACATCTAAATGTATGTCATTTTAATATTACAGATATATCCTCCTGATCAGCCAATGGTGTTTAATCCACAAAATCCTAATGCTCCACCTATTTATCCTTGTGGAGTATGTCACAAAGAAGTGCATGACAATGATCAAGCGATTCTTTGTGAATCGGGCTGTAATTTTTGGTTTCATAGGTATTTAGAAATCCGAAATTTCCTTCTTCGTACATTGTCATATGAAAGAAAAAAACTACTTAACATATGCACTATGAATTTGTTGCAGGGGATGCACAGGATTATCGGAAACTGCCTATCAATTATTAACGGCAGAAGTTTATGCCGAATGGGTGTGTGATAAGTGCTTGCAATCGAAAAATATACCTTTGGTTAAATTTAAACCATAACACTTCTTGACTCGTCGTATATGCGACACACGAGTGACTCTTTGTTAGCGTCTACACCTTGTACACGCACACATGCGCGTGTAATTGCACACACATAAACATATACGGCATACACTAATGCACGAGCGAAATCGTGCATACAATATAAACATGCGCTGTTTGTTAATATCTTAGCTTTAACTTGTTGAAATATTAGGATATCATTATGAGTCGTATTGGTGAATGAGATAACAGGAACAACATATGTTCAAAAGTTACATTTGCTGAGTCTGTTTATAGACAAGTGGATTCATCAGTTTAGGAAGTTATTTATCTTTTAATTTCTCATATTATTGATTCGTTTTTGATCGTCAGATATATATGAATCCGAGTTCAGAAGACACAAATTTTAAAAATAATGTAAGTATTAAAAATTGTACAATCGTCCCTGAACCTAATTTGATTTGTTATTTCTAATTGCATTTAATACAAAATTAGGAAAAAAAAATTATACAAGGTGCGTCACGCAATTAGGCGAAGCTATTTCTTTGAAAACATAATTAGAGATGGAAAAATTTATCAAAAAAAACAAAATTGAATATTGTTATGTATTCTAGATTGCTGCAAAATTTTAATGTATTTTATGCATCAATATACATAACACTATTTAACTTTATCCTATCAAACATTTTTCTATCTCTAATCACAAAGTGTACATAGTAATCCCGACTTGCGTGATACATCCTATGTACACAAAATGGAAAAATATGTACGTATATGTGATAAACAGTAAAGATCGCCAATCTGCATATGGATAAAATTATGTTCTGTTTACTTTATTTAGGTTTGGGTGAACGTTCCTGATAAAGTGTAATTGATATTCAAAAATAATCAACAACGTGTGTTACTTCATCAATAATTGTGTCATTGCCATTTATCATCGGGTGATTAAAGAAATCCAAAGTGGTACTTTTAAAATTAGATACTGCACATCTAACAGAGTAATATGAGTTTGAAACAATGTAAATTGTTCTCATAACGCGATTGTAAATGTTCATATCTACCTTTGAGTATCAGAACATCGGTAAATTTCTATAAAACCGTTCATACAATTACAATATTACCGAAGTATTTTGGGTTTGCAAAAAACGCGTTTGAGTAAAACAACGGTGCACCAATAAAAATAAAGTATTGCTAGTACCTTTAGGAACTCAATAGGTATTCTTAAACGTTGTTTTTCACTCCCAAATGTTACAAATGAAAGTACTGCGATTCTTGTATTTTTATATTTCAAATATTTTAGTATAAACCATGGTATAAACCATCTGTTATATATTTTCAAAGTATGTTAGTGCTATAGTTTAGAATCTATTCAAGATGTAAATAGAACCGATACTAACGAGAGGTTTTAACACAGTATGCATAAAAAATAATTCTATCTGTTTACAAAGATTCAATGGAATTTACGTGATAACTCAAAGGAATTTACGTGATAAGGATAGTGGCTTTAAAGATCGAATTTCTTTTCTTCGTCAAAGATCACATATTGTTTCTTATTGCCATGGTTTATGCTGGAGTTTAATTCGGTACATATTAATGAATTTGTTGTTGTCACATACAACGTTCAACTAATAATTTACAGAATCTTTCAGATAAACAAATCACTCAAGCAGGAAAGTTATAAGAAACTTTGATATTAACGAAGTTTAGAATACGATTATCGTGTAAAAGAAAAAGAACGTGCAGAATGAAAACGATGAATCCTATTAGACTACAATGATAAGCATGATGTCAAAAATGTGTGGTGCATTTATGTTTTTTCGCAGTTGTTTCCGTCTTAATGCAATAACTGTAACTTAATGATAAATTCGTACAAATATGAATTAAAACTCAAGATACTTCGTATATATACCGAATGAAGTCTCGTATTTAGTTGCAGTAATAAAATTTGTGCACACATACGTACACGCATACATATATTACATTCACACTCTTCTTCGTCAAGTTAAAGTTTATTGTTACATCTGCCACATACATTTGGTGTCAGTACATACTAATATATATTGAAAAAGAACTGACTATTATCGACAAGAGTAATTAATGCAGTGAAGAGAAAAAGAACAACTGAATTCCGTCGGCAACTAACGAAAAACAATTAACGAGTCCACGGATTTTACAGTTTTATTTATATGTATATATATACGTATATATACATATACATATATGTAGCCAGTTATCATTTTACTATTTGACGCCTGCATTATACGGAGAGAACTAACCTCGCAAACTTGTAGAATGTCTCAGATCAACTAGTTTCTGTATATAACAGAAAATTTAACTAGTTACACTTCTAAACTTTTACCCAATTCTCAAGTTTCGCTCCGTGTAATCCACGCCTTAAGCTTGTTTTATTGTAATCCTTTTTAACAAGAAAATATTATACATGAATAACGTACACAGGATCCTATAATTACATAATGCTCATAATTAGTATTACAACGAATAGAATACCATCTTCACATATCTTCATGCTATATTTTGTCATGTCATTGAGGAGGAGGGAGGAGTCATATTGGAGATCGCGCGCGTTAACATTGCTTCTTTTCTCTATTACGGAAAATTATATTGCGGGAACGCAGGGGATTAAGCAAGTAACGAGAGGAAAAATATTATTTAACGTGTGGCAGGGAAACGGTCAGGCAACCTGGAACGATGCTGAATATTTCAAGGACAATGGTTTTTCTCTAGTACAAACGAATGAATTGTAATTTAAGTAACTACTAGTGTTTAGTCTATTTTTCAGAGGTAATCTATGTAAGTTGTATCGTTTACGAATCGTTATGCGATCACCAAACATGACGCACGCCTAAAGAAAGACAGAAAAAAAAAACGAAACGTTCGTGTCTAAATGAGGAGAAAAGGTTCTTTAACTTATGTTATAGCTTAATCCCTGTAACAATTTGTTCAAAGCAAATGCATTTCTTATGTGTCCGAATGTTTGTCTCATTGTACTACCTCCAAAATTTTTCTTCTGACATTCGAAACATGACGATCTATGGATCAATAATTTCAAGGAAATAAACACCGCTTGTGCGATACAATATTAAACAAATGACTAAATATTCGATTTCTTTTTTTTTTTTTATTATTATTAATTTTTGAACATTTGTAGAACGTCTATCGAATATTTACCCGCTCATTTATTATTACCCGCATATTGTACATACGACATTTACACTGTCTAAAGGTAAATGCGGTAGTGACGAAGCAATACAAAATGCACATATAGTAACTATACCTGTATCAGATTTGTAAATATCTTCGTGTTAAATCAAATCAAGAATGCGTCAAATCCGTTGATTGTACTATTTTTTATCTTTGCCTAGATGCATGCAATGAAGATAGAAAAGAGAAAAAGGTAATATTTTTTATTTTTTCTCTAGACCATTGTATATCTAAATTATGGACACGATGTTATGATTTCAGTTTTAAGAAACAGTTGAGCTAAGTGTTCCGACATACAATTTGAACACAGCACTTTATTACTATTACTACCACTACTACTGCTATTATTATTGTTATTACTATCATCATTATTGTATTATTATTATTTTATACAAAATCAATATTTGCTATTGATAATTGAATTTTTATTCATTATTAGCTTTAACGCATCTTTATATGTTGAGTAAGCAAAAAAAACGTGCCGCGACGATAATTTTTAATAGGAACAATTAAAAAGATGGGATACAAGTTAACAACAATATTCTATATTAATAGGAGAAGAACTGTGTATGTGTTTATTATGTTATTATTTGGAAGGTATACATATATTACGTCAAAATTGTTCGCAGATTGTTTTTTATCATTTGAATAAATATATATTTGCGTACATATATATACACACATCGTAAATACATGTCGAACGTCGATAATTCGAATAAAGGAAAAAAGATTTTCGTCTTGTGGATATTTTCGAAAACAAAACGAAAATCCGACTTATAGAGATTTTGTTCAAACTTCTTTAATTTCCGACTTATGAACGGGTAATAAAAACCCTCGTTTTCTCTCCCCATTTATGAATAAATAAAATTATTAGAACATGTTGATTTATGAAATGAAAAATGGGAGATTATTCCTTTAATTTTCCAATTAATGTTTTCTTGTGGAAATGACAAGTATAAACAATTGACAATCACTGGCCATTGTAAATCGATTAACTTCAATACAAAAAAAGCCTGATCTCTGCACCTCTGATACTCGCACAATTGAAGAAAATTTTTGTCTTACGGAGATTCGAATTGCCGAGGTTCATCTGTATATACGGTACGCATGTGTATATGTATGTCGCACCAATAATGAAAATTATTATGTATACGTATTGGGGAAACTTTGTATATCACATTGATATGTTTACATATGTATATCATTATTATTAGGATATGCATATCTACATACAATCGAGAGATGTGCGGTGAGATATTTTTGATTTTTGAAGCGTGTATATATATATATATATATATATATATTCGCTCATTTTGCGTTTGTGTGTGCATCTGTGTGTATGTACATATTTATATGGCACTTTAAATAACAAATCCATACCATGTTGATTTTTAAATTATTCTTCTACATATCTTACAAAACGTCGTCTATTCACTGAAACACAGTTGAAGCTTAAAATGATTTTTCTTTTCTTGTAATAATTCAAAATGACAGTTTATTTTCATAGTTTAACGTATTAAAGCTTCTGAATCTTGTCAAGTTATTTATAAAAAAAATGGGCAGATACATAGTTTGGTATTGACTGGATTCTTGCAGACTGCTTAAAAAAAGCAACTATAAAATGCAAACGTTTCTAAGTTTATATTAACATCGCATTTATTTTTTTTTTTGTCGCGATATTTGTTAAAATTTTAGCTATTTAAACTCTCCACGGTTTTCAAGTGTGTGAAGACGTACAATATTCGACAAGATACGAGCCACGTGGGCCTTGGTGACTCGACAACTTCGATCGTTCGAATTTAAATCGTTCATCCAAAATTTGTCTGGTATTCTTGGTCGGATGTAAACCGGTACCTTGTTGCAAATTACCTTGAAATCTGTAAATCGAGAGAAGAGACGGACTTTGCACTTTGTACACGTGAAATCCAAACGTATACCTCACCTGTTATCGTATATGTAAGAATTTCTTATTTCTTTAGATTCGTAAATAGAAAATTATCGTCTGGCATTTTACCCTGTGGAAAACAAACAATATTTACAGAAATGCTCGCGATACAATAGCTACAATTAAATTCGGAACAGAGCATTATCTACTTCACTTGCTTTCAGGCAAAATTTCGATGACTGATTCGTCCACGATTCGACTCCAGTATGCTGATGAAGATGACACTTGTGCCTACAAATAGACGCACTTCCGCTCACGTCGTCCGCGTGCCCGAGCCTCTCGTACAGCCCATACTTCTTCTCGTCGATGGCTCTCAGCGTGCCGTTCTTTTTCATCGCCATGTATATTTGCTCCAGCATTCCGTAACTCTTAATCAAGAAGTCTCGTTGCGCCAGTGCCGTAACACGCTCCCTCTCCTCGGACTCGCAAATGATCTCTGGCTCGAAAGAGTGTGAAGTGTTGGTAGTTGAAGTCGTCTGCTTCTTCTTCGTCTGTACATACACGTTTGGAAAATTGTTTTTTTTCTTTTTTTTTTTGTAAAAATTCAGAGTTTTTAGTCAACGATTAATTATTTCTCGGGAAACCGACATTCGAACAGGGTGGACTTTTCTTCGATGCAATCGCGGACTTGGCCCTGTCCTGATCCTGCGTCGTCGTAGGCTTCAGCGTTACGTTCGAACCCTCTGAATGCAATTTCGTCTCACTCCATTTACCATTTTCAGGAATCTTCTTGCTCTCTTGTTCCTTCATTTTCATCTATCGATAAAATTCGCATGATTGGTGTTTTACGGTCGAGGATCGAGCCAAGTTGTTTACGTGAAGCAAAGTAACACCTCGTTCTCCTCCTTTTGGATCCTCGATGCTTCTTCCCGAGCTCTGGATGCTGCCGTGTCTTGGTACACAGAGATGCTAGCTTGTCTAAAGAATGGCTGGTACTTTTCATTGTCAGAGCACGGATAGACTCTCCGGAAATTGCCCACATGCTCATCCTCCCATTTAAATTGCTTCTGCAGGTAATCCTCCTCCAGCTTGTCAGGTTTCGCCGTTCCGTTCGTCGACTCATTCGTGCTACATCGAATCAACAATTTCGATCATTCCTTCATCCGAGAACTTCCTTGTTAATTTACCTGCCGTCCCTCGAATTTATCCCCTGAAGCAATCTGTCCCTGACTCGCTTTCTATCTTCTTCGATGATCTTCTTCTTGTCGCACTGTTGCAAGTTCAACATCTCGAACGTGTTCGTCAGCAGACCTTCCTTTATATCCTTATCGATTTGCGCGTCCGTGTGAAAACTCGGCGAGTGATTAACCTGAAATATATATATATATATATATATATATATATTCCTCAATATTAACTGAGAACATTACATTCTTAATATTATACATATAATATATATAAAATCTTAAAATTATATATATGATTAAAATTAAAATCTTAAAATTATACATATTAAAGTTAAACTCTTAAAATTATACATATAATTAAAATTGAAGTCTTAAAATTATATATATAATTAAAGTTAAAATCTTAAAATTATACATATAATTAAAGTTAAAATCTTAAAATTATATATATAATTAAAGTTAAAATCTTAAAATTATATATATAATTAAAGTTAGAATCCTAAAATTATACATATAATTAAAGTTAAAATTTTAAAATTATACATATAATTAAAGTTAAAATTTTAAAATTATATATATAATTAAAGTTAGAATCTTAAAATTATACATATAATTAGAATAAAAATTTTAAAATTATACATATAATTAAAGTTAAAATTTTTAAATTATACATATAATTAAAATTAAAATTTTAAAATTATATATATAATTAAAGTTAAAATTTTAAAATTATATATTATATATATAATATATATAAGATCTTAAAATTATTTATATTATATACATAAAATCTTAAAATTATTTATATTATATATATAAAATCTATAAAATACTAATTATATATAAGTCTATAAAAATAATAAGATCATTATATTCTAATATTAAATTAAACTCCCCAATGAAAATACAAAGAATATTATCATTATAGTTAAAAATACTAGGGATATTATTGTTATGGTTAAAGCCGAAAGCTCGATCATTACTTCCAAAAGATACGGTCTCAACTTCCAATCGAGCAACACGTCGAAGCCCAGTAGCTCGAAGCACGCGTATGTCTTGTCGTGCGTTGGAAAACACGTGTGATAACTGTGCTTGAGGACAGGATACGCCGCCAGAATAGTTTTTATAATAATCTCGTCGATCTTACGCCACAGTTCGTCCACGTCAACGTCTTTCATCTTGAACCACTTGTTCAAAGTCGATATCTTCCTGCACCCACAGAGATTTTCTTTTTTTTTTTTTTTTTTNTTTTTTTTCGTCGTACGACAGTGAAGTGATAGTCGAGCGACAGTGACGATCAAAAGAATACGCACCAACCTTTTGCTACCGATTTCATCGTCGATCACGTACATTCGGCTGTGCTTGTTCACGGCGTAATTCGTCAAGTGCATGAACACGTTGGACGTATTGTGACCGGTTGGTTCCTTGTATCTGCTCGTGGCGAATCTGAAACATGGCATGAGTAAGGCAACAAGTTACTCGTGCGCGCATCAATCGATCTTTATGGTCGTATGACTACGAAAAAATTTTTCTAATTTTTCAAACATTATAGAGGAAAAATGTGATAAGTGATAATTAATTCTCAGATATCGTTTACAATTGGCGACAAAGAGAGAGAGAGAGAGAGAGAGAGAGAAGAAGTTTATTCAGTTCAAATAAATTCAACAGATTCTGGCGAGAGAAAAAGAAAATTGGAAAGAGAGACATCGTTATTTAAAACGAAAACGAATTCCAACTGAGCGATACGACCGTAAAGGATTTAACCTCTTGCGCTGGAATTGACGCACGTCGAGAATTCTTTGTTCCAAAATTGCAGTGTTCTCTCAATTTCACGTGTATTTAAGCAAAAACAAATAATAAATTCACTACTTCTCAATAATCTCTTCGAAAAGAAAGCGACGAATTATCGGTATACGGTTCGGTCACTCGTTACGGTCCGCAATCCAGACGTTGCCAGCGCAAGAGATTAAACAAGGAGAGAATAGCGTGACCCTCGTTACCTCGCAAGGCCGTCGTTGTAAACGTAAATCCTAAGGGGGTCGCAGGAGGTGAGCAACGCGTAGATGCGAAGATCGAATTTGTAGCCGTCCACCAGGAAGGGCTACAGACACGAATGACCTTCACGAAAGGAAGAGTAGAAAACGAGAAGAGGTTCAAAGTTGAAAATGCTGGCATACCCTGGCCACGTAAACCTGGCAGATCATTCGCTCGGTGGGCTTCACATCCCTCAAGTTTCTCGTCAAGTAAATGCCACGCCCTTGGCAGCCGGTGTCAGGCTTGATGATGAAAGTTTTCGAACGCCTTAGCTTGGCGTAGGCAATCGCCTCTCCGTGGCTGGACATATTTGTGACATCGACGTGAATCGACCGAAACAACACGGTCACTTACAAATGGCAAGCGTTCTTACTCCGCGGGGAAACACCACGTCTTCGGGAAGAAATTGTAGTCCTTCGGGAAAAGCTTCAGCATGCGATTCAAGTTCCGCGCGAGCAGGTCCTTTCTACAGATCTCCGTCATCCCTGGGAAATGATTGACCTTCTGATACCTCTTCATATCTTTCGCTCGCTCCACGCTCACGCTCAGGTCTGTCCAGTAGAGGTTCCAGCTGCTATCCTCGGTGACCTCCTTCATCCCGAAACGTGCCGCCACACGTCTCACCACGTCGTACTTGCAGTTGCTCGTGCATATCGTCAGGTATCTGCAATCGAAAGGTGAACAAACGGGACAAAAGGAGCGAATACGAACGATCACACCCGGGTCTCCTCTCGGTGGAGGAGACGGCGAATTCTACCTCCGTTTCTTCTTTCTCTTCGTCTTCATCGACGTTCCATCTTTTCGCGATTCCACGTCGGTATCCACGAATGACATCGTATCTGTTAGATAGTAGATCGTAAAATATGTATGCATAAATACATTTCGGATGCACACGATGCGAAAGCTTAGAAATGGATCTGTAACCTTTGTCGTCCTTTTTGTTTGCGAAACGTTCGGGGCCAATCGGTTCCCGATCATCTTTACCCGCATCGATAAACGAAACGACGCTCAACGAGGTATCGGATACCACGAGCTTTTTACACCGGTTTCGGTACACTGTTTTACATGATCGCACCTCGGTACTGGAATCAGACTCGCCGGTGACCTCGCCGTTTATCGGGAAACTCTTCTTCGCGTCACTGGCTTCGATCTCGGGCACCACCATCAAAGGACGTTTGTTGCTGCGTTCGATGATGTTCATGACGTGTCATCGCATTATTCTGAACGATCGGTCGGTCGCGTGGCTTTCAATCGAGATCATATGCCAAGCCAGATCATATGTATATATATGTGTATGTGTGTGTGTGTGTATATATATATACTTTATATACGTATATATGTACTTTGATCCGTCAATTTTATCAAACCGAAGCAGTCACCTAAGCGAAGAGGGGAGAGGCTAGTAATATTCTCGGTGAAGAAAGGCTCGACTGTGATCAATTTAACGCTACACGGGAAACCGAAATTCGATGCAGATTTACAGAAATGCCCTCTCTAAAATAAATCGTGCCGTTTCGCGCATCGCCCCTCTCGCCTCCTTCAATTGTTTTTCCATTCGCCGAGGCAAGAAGGCAGACTCGTGTCCTAATCTCGATTCCCGAGCAGTTTGCAAAAACCTTGCAGGCAGTATGCGTACAACGACAACGCGGGTTGATCGATGGCCACTGCGGTGGCTGCTCCTGTAAAAACCAAGCTCGAGAATTGCTTCGTCGCTTTAATTGCTATAACAGCGCAACGTTACTGCACGGAGTTCGTGCAGTCGAGCAAAGGAATCACGAGAGCTTATTATCTACGTAGGTTGCGTAGGATTGGCCATGCCTGTGTCTGTGTTGGCAATAAAATTATCGCGAATACACGCAGTACTGTCCAACCGTAATAAACCTGACGTGATCACCGATTAGAAGAAAAAAAAAAAAAGACAGCAATCTTTTATTACTATTCGCTTATCTGAGATAAGTGTTTACAGGTTTGACTTCAAGTTCATCAAGCTCTCGACAATGTTCACAACGTTCATAGCTGAACCCCAGGATAACGTCACGCCGCTTCCCCCGTGTCCGTAATTGTGTATCACCTGCAAAATGATCGCGTGAATGTCGATCGATCGAAAGTATCGTTTCACGTTTGCTTTCTATACCGTGACTTCTCTGCCTTTGGGAGACTTGCAAGCTTCAGCCTCGATGCGAACTTGGTGCCGTCCAGGTCTAAGGCCGACCCACTCTTCCGTTACTTCGGCGTTCTTCGAAACAAAAAAGGAAACAATTAGAATTAACAACTAAGTCACGTTGATTCGGTGAAGTTTGAACAAAAGATCGAAGAAAAGCTGTACTTTGAGACCAGGTAAAATTCGGTGACATCCATTGTAAATAAATTCGGAGTCTTCCTTTCGTGGCGTGCGATCGAAATCATTCTCTTGGTGCGTGCCGCCCAACACCACGCTATCAGTGCTTTCGGAAAAAAGAATCAATATAAATAAGATAAAAATCGTGCTGTTATGCTATTAATTGAAGTATATATATATATACAGGGTGGATCACCACATATTGCCACCTATATTCCATATGCACCTTGATACTCTTTAGAAAAAAGTATTAACCTACTTATGTCAAAAAGTCATTAGTTTAGGAGATATATTAACTTTAACGTTGTTAGGAAATAAGGTGTATGCTGAGCCTCCGACTATAATGGCCAATATGAGAGATCATCACTCAGTGTAATAAAGTAATACCAGATGCATTACACAATGTGAGTGAATTATTAATCTATCGATTGAGAAAATGTCCTGATGCAAATGGTCGTCACATTGAACCTTTTCTGTAAATAAAATCATTACAACATTAACAAAGGGATCGTGATTTCCTAACAACATTAAAATTGAAATATCTCTTAAACTAACGACTTTTTAACATAAATAGGTTAACACTTTTTTGTAAAGAGTATCAAGGTGCATCGACTGATGCAATAAAAAATATATGATTCCATTTAAGAAAACGTTAGTGACCTTCGTATGTCTTCTACACGTTCACTTACAAGAAAACTAGTATCATCAAAATGTGCCCCTCTCGAAACCATTCAACTTCATCTGAAACATCTTTCGCCACGCGTAATAATAATGACGTAAATCTAGGTGGCAATATGTAGTGATCCTGTATATGTGTATATATATATATATATATATTTTTGTCGATCTTATAGTTCATTATACTTCGGTATTATATAGTTCCCGTCGTCGTCGTCTGCCAAATGCGCGTGCATTATCCACGGTGCCCGCACCTTGAATCATACAATAAAAAGTGAAGAGATTCGATACGAATATGCGATGATACGCACGTATCATTTTCAACCAACCCTGGCAACTTGACCTCTGATACACTTGACGGTATTATCACCCGCGAGTTCACGTGCACCGAGGCCAGTACAATTTATTATCAAATCGTATCCGTCGTCGTCGATCAACTCGTTCAGCGTGTGAATTTTTCTGTTTCGAAGATCCCCGCCTGCCTCAAGGAACTGTCTCGTTAGCCAAGGCAGCAAACGAACCGGCTCGACGGTATACGTTAGGAACATCCATCCGTGTCTGGAATCGGCATGAATTATCTTCTATAAAGGTGTTTCGTAACTGCGAGAGCTGATCGTTGACGCCTAAAAATAATGAAAAAAAGTCATGTAAATGAATGTCCTATCTGTCTTCGTTTATGAGATGTAATGAATTTTATACACAGAGCAAACTCTAGTAAGCTAGTTTTACCAGGGATGGTACATTCAATTTTCATAATAATCATAATTTGGATGAAGAAAACCCACGTGTTATTGTGCATTCAAGACATCAACACCAGTTTAGTTTAAACGTACGGGCAGGAATAATTGATAAATTTTTAATTGGACCTTTTTTTTTCTTGATGGGAAACTAACAGGCACAAAGTACGTTGATTTTTTGAGCAAGCGTTTACACGAAATATTAGAGGAAATTCCAGTCGATGTTAGACTTCATATGCGGTTTATGCATGATGGAGCTCCGCCGCGTTTTAGCCGAGTGGCTAGGCAATTTTTCAATCAACACTTTGCAAATAAATGGATTGATCGTGGAGGTCCAATTGCATGGCCTGCACGTTCTCCGGATTTGAATCCATTAGATTTTCATTTGCGGGGACATTTAAAAATCTATCGTATACGCAACATCGATCGAAAATGCTGAAATACTACGAAATAGAATAGAGCAAGGCTTTCGACAAATTCAAGAAACACCAGGAGTGATAGAGAGAGTAACCAGGTGAATGACAAGACGCGTGCAGGCTTATCTTCAAATGCAAGGTGGTCATTTCGAGCATCTTTTGCAAAAGTAATTAAAACAGAAAATTCATTATATCTTATAAACGAAGACAGATAGGACATTTATTTACATGACCTTTTTTCATTATTTTTAGGCGTACAATCAGCTCCCGAAGTAGATCCCACAAATTACGAAACACCCTGTATAATGAAATTGTGAATTACATTGACACCGTACTTGTAAGTAGTTTTACACTCTGCGTTGAGTTTCTCCAATTCGTTGAAACTTAATTTACGTGCCCCGTACACTGTCTTCGTCCAGGTTGAAATATCAGGAAAACCATCGGGATCGCTGGTGACGCGATATACCGGTACTAAGGAGAGTCCGATTTCAGGGGCCAAGCCTGCTTTCCAAAATTTTTCCAACCATCGATGCGTGATATCACCCCATCGCCTGTTACCCGCATTTACAATTAGACGCAAAGAGAATATACAGGGTGTCCGTAAAGCATCTTTACAATTTCAAAAATTCATTACAAAGGCAAATGAAAAGACAGATAAGTGGAAATTATTAGAAAATGAGAAGTATATATTTAAGTTTTTTTTCTGCCTCATTTAATATGCCTCTATATAAGTACCATTAGTTGCACGAAGCACATCAAGACAAGTACTTGATTTCTTGCCATGTTCGCTGTAGCATACTCTCATCAATGGTGACAATGGCATCAGTGATCCTCTGCTTTAGATTAGTGCTGTCTCCTATCTTTGTTCGTAATACGATATCTTTAACATAATCCCATGCAGGTGACCATAAAGTCTCTTTACAATTTCAAAAATTTATTACAAAGGCAATTGATGAAATATCTTCGTCAGATTTGTTTTATGTACTCAGTGGTTATCAAGGTTTTTATCACATTGCGTTTCAGGTATCCTGTTGATAAATAAGATACTGTTAAATAAACGCCTTACAAAATGGCTACTCCTCAAGAGAAGGCACAGTGTGTATCATGGTTTATTGAAACCAAATCGGATCTCCAGACTCGACAAAACTTCAGAACTAAATATGGAAGAGATCCACCGTCACGTCCATCAATTCGTGCATGGCACAAGAAATTTATGGAGACAGGGACAGTGTTCGATAAAGGGAGGAATGGACAAGAACATCTGAGGGAAACATCGATCGTGTAAGAAATCGAATACCGTCTTGATGTGCTTCGTGCAATTAATGGTGCCCACATAGAGGTGTATTAAATAAGGCAGAAAAAAACTTAAATATATACGTCTCATTTTATAATAATTTCCACTTATCTGTCTTTTCATTTGTCTTTGTAATAAATTTTTGAAATTGTAAAGAGACTTTATGGACACCCTGTACGTTGTGCTTGAAGCTCGTCGACAAAAGTTGCATTATTATCGAAATAGCACGAAATACTTAATCCTGTAACGAGAGTCAACTGACAGTGAGTCAATTGAAAAGACAATTTTTGTGACAACTTAAATTAATTTAAAAAAAATAAGTACAGGATGGACCAAAAAGTTTCTCGCGGAAGATATAAGAAAAAGGACTAATTTCGTTAATTTTAAATTATTTACGAATTTTCACAATGAAAAATGTTACGGATTTATTTTATCAGGAAGTGATTTTTCGCCCACTTTGTATAAAACTCGAAATGCGCGTTTCGAATTTTTCGAATTTTTCGAATTCTTTCTCTTCGACATTACTTCGATGGGTATAATGTGCTCGAGGCAGACAAGATACTTACGTATAGTCCTCTGTTTCAACTAGAATGCTACCTCGGAATGCTAGATACTCACAGTATTTTGTCAGAAGGTGTATTTCCGAGGAGATAAGGGGACCACAGGCCGGCACTTCCGTCGGCGGTGGTTGCTGGCGAAAATTCATCGGAAATTACGTGCACCTCGAATTGCGGAAAATTGGTTTTCACCGCCAACGCACTTGTCATGCCGATCACACCGGCGCCCACTACTGTCACACGCATTATTTCGGCAATATATAACCCGGTATGTAACTCTAACCTGTTGCTGTTTTCCGCGGGAAATCTTGAAACGCAATTAACGCGAGAACAGCTTCTCTCCGCAGCAGTGTTTATCGAAAATTGAAAGCACGACTTTATTATTAAAAAACGGATAACCCTCGTCGCATTAAAGTTATCGTAACTTGTAATCAGCAGTTTACTGCCGTCGACTTTTGAGTCGATTATCGAGCGTGGATAAAGAAAAACAAATCGATCGACTGGCTACCAGTGCATTCTTTCAGATTTCTTTTCGATCGACGATCGCAGTGAACTTACGATACCACATATTACTAGCATAATGCCTCTATATTGCCCGGCAATATTATGCCAGAATATGGGAATCGCGGAAGTCAGCGGTCGAATCAGATTCTGGGAAAACTGGGAGAAGTCGACAAAATTTTCCGAGTGTCCAAGTCCAAGGCGATGCTCGTTTCGCGGCGCACCAACAATAAACAGAGCATAATACTTTAAATCTCCCGTCTCAAAGGTCTTATACTCTGCTTACCGATAGTACGACACACGATTTCCATTTCTTTTTTTTTTTTTTCACACAGATGCGTCATATCGTTTTTTTCTTTTTTTCTTTTTTTCGTCGAGGTCGCAAGCTCAACCGAGAAACGTCGAGAAAGTGTTACGAAGGGCTAGCGAACGTAAAACGAAATTTTTTTCAAGCAGTCGTTTACACGCGCGATCTATCGACTGAGGCTTGCACACAGTATACATATTTACCTCCCACAGGATGGCTGACTGAGGTGCTCGATGACAGTTCACGATACCGGGGGTGTTTGTTTACATCGCGTACGAATATCCTAGACATAACAGAGCCTGGAAATGCGATAAGAGGTAAATGTCGGAATGGAAGCCTGTGTTCCTCAGTGTTCCTCGTTATATTTTACTCGCGTGATATTACGCATGGTACAATTATGAAGACGAAAATCAAGTCGAACAAAATCTCTTCCCCAAGTGACTGGTTTCTTTTTCAGTTTTTGTATTCTCCTATCAGTTCGATGAAACACGTGATAAAGACAGATAATAATTTCAACTTTATTTCATTCAAGAGTTGAATCGTAACAAATATCGAGCTACGACTTGAGAAATTGATCGCGATCCAAAGGTACACGATTGCGAACGTCGCCGGCCCAAGCGCAAATACGACGATTGTCAAGAGAGACACTCGATCGAACTATTAGAATACGTGTTATCGCGAAACACCTGACTCGTTCCTCGAGATCGTCGCCAGGGTGGCCCCAAGGATCTTTCTCGACTGCTTTCGCGATGCGTTCGATAGGTTTCGGATAACGGACACCTATCGAAGAGTCTCTGTTATCCGAGAGGATTATCGACACAGTGCATTGATATTACATCGTATTCTACGTACCAATATTCGCTCGAAGCTTAAAAATAACTGTGTAATTTGGCCACCGATTTGATCTTTGCGATTAGAATAAAAAAACAGCGTGCTCGCCGATAAATGGAAAATGATTCATTTAAAAGTAATTAATAAAACGAAATTATTTAAGATTAAATTAAAACGTCTTATTCGTTGAACGCAGTGATGATACGATTAAATGGAATGTCTGATGAAAGGAGGAGTACAAAGTAATTGACGATGTACAAAACGTTGATGTATTGTAATTCACATTATATTCAAAACTTGTCAACTTTTATAATCGTACGTATCAAATGTTCTATTAAAACGAAGCGTGTCTATTTTTCACAAATAAGCAGGTTACATGATAATTCTACTATTCCAAATTATAAATAAATCCGTGAAAATTATACGCATCACGCATCTACTTGTGCTCACATATAAAATATACATTTTTTTTCTGTATACACTCGCGTACAGAATTTTAAAATTGTTTTTATAATATACAATCTATTCGAATGAGTAATATCATGGTAAAAAGATGTCATGAAAAGTTTCTCGCACTCAATATGATTTCAATTTTATACCAAACCAATTCATTTATCAAAATTTCAATTTTTTTTTTTTTAATTTTACTCATCTTTGAAAATTTAATTTGAAAAATGAAACAGGAATCGTATATACAATTTAGCGACAATAAATTAGATTTATGCCTATATATAACAACATCAAACATTTTATAAATTAATATGAATTAGCATATAGAAATATACAACACTGGTGTTTCTTCTTTGTATATAAATTTATCGGAAAATAATGTCAAATCTTTTGTCGCCTCCATTATGGTAATAATATAAAAACATAGAATATAAAATTTTTCAAAAAATGTACACAACTATACAAAATTGATTTATGTTGGACGATTTTCATAATATCTTATTGAACCTTACAAGTTACAGTCTATTTACTTGTATAAACTTACTAATCAATATTATTTTTATGGATAGAATATATTGGTAGTTAGGTTGATAACAATTTTGATTAAAATAAAAATACATTTTAAAAGGCGAACTATAATATCTTAAATTTGATATATAATAATGCATATATAATAATAATAAGAAAATTTAAATGTTTCACGAGTTCAAAAAATGAAAGTTTTTTTAAAAACTGAATATGCTATTATATACTGCTTTAAAACTGGTACAAGAATCTTTTCTATAGACAAAATATTTATCACAGATAGAGTTATCATTAAAATCGCAATAAAATAATTAGATGAGATTTGACATCTTTGTTTGATTTAATCAATATTACATATCGCTAAATAATCTCTTGACAATATCAAATTAATTATTGTTAGAAGTAAGAAGTATAAAGGAGATTACGCAATAATTTTTATTGCGATTTTATGCCATATTTTAAATATAAATATAAAACTTCTAAATAATTTATACCTGATATAAACTTATTATAATCAAAGATTATATAAATCAATTTGTGTGATGTACTTTACTAAAGTAACTTAATCATATGATTAGATATCCTGCTATCTCATCATTTGTCTAAATTTCTCCAATTCAAAGATACTTTCTGATAATCTGTAAAATTAAAAAGTAATTATACTTTCTGATAATAAATTCCCTCATTATGTATTCTACCTTAATAATTATGTTTAAATTTAAAAAGCAATTAGTCTGCAAATAGTCTGCTTACCTTCCAAAAGCATTTATAAGTGCAACAATTTCACTTCTTTCTAAAAAGAATTTCTTCCTATTAAAGTTATGTAATGTTGATTCCCATTTATCGAATTTTCCTGAGAATAGAATTTTCAGTGCTGTACCCAAACCATGCGTTTGAAGTTTCCCCCAAAGTTTACATTTATCGCATCCTACGCAATCCATAATACGAGATATATTTCTAAAATGCTGTCTAAATTGTTCTTTCAATAACTGAGCTTCAGCTCCACCAGTAAACATAACGCTTTCATTAAAATGATCAGGAAACGACCTAAAATACATTCATCTTGAGTCTATACGCATCAGATTCGTCGTTGATGAAATTAATTAATTAAAAATGAAACTTACTTAACAATATTTAAAATATCATTTATCGCCAAACGAGTATCTTTATCTTGTACTTTATTACCAGTATAATATTCTTCTCTTTCTAAATATGGTGCAGCTTTTGCCAAAGCTCTTAATTCAAGCAGATAAGTAAAATATAAATTTTTTAACCAATTTGGGCCTTCACCTCCTGTTGCCTCTGGTGAAAATCTTATTTGAAACTCTTGTAAATTAGGACCCCATCGACCACCGGGTACTAACTCTAAATTATCTTTTGATGATAACAAATATTTTGAACATAAATGAATATTAATACTAGCATGAAGACCTGATATAACACGATAAAACACTCTTTTCTCCAAGCACATGCCTGCAAGTAATAATATATTACAATGAAATCAATATACTATCAAAATGTATTATTGTATCAGATTAAAGTTATTTACCATTTATTTTTGAAGATTGAATAAAATTATGTGGCGAATTTTCAGGTCTGAAATCAAATAGATATACAAAATACCAGAATTTTTTATATCCATTTCATTTTTTATCGTTAACAGAAATTTTTACCTAAAACAATTTTCCTTATAAATACTGCGCCATATCCTATGTGCACTAGGTCCTTTATAACCTGTGTATCTTTCAGGATTTAGCAAAAGATCCACATATTCACCAGGGCTAGACTCTTTCACGCAAAAATTATCCTGAGCATCGTCATATTGTTGCCATAACTCAAAATCTTTGTAGTTTTCTGAACTGAACATAATATATCAAAATGAATTTGGACAAATACATACACCAAGTTCACAAATGATTCTATTATTACTTACCTAATTGTTGTGTTGAGATAACCAAGTTCTCTATTATGATCTTTAGCACTATGTAAGCAATCATTGTATTGCATTGATGCTTTATATTTATCTATGGGACTTTCATTAAAATGAATGTTCCTTAACATGTCTCCTTTTAAACCATCTGGAATGTCTTCCTACAATTACAAAAATATCAACGTGTGCAAGTTTCAACAATTTGTATAAAATAAAATTTGCATATTGATCGAACATATTAAGTTACTTACTTCTTGACAAGGTTGCACATGGCAATATCTTATAGCACATTTGCTATCATCGGTCCAGAAGGGGCATTCTTGTTTTAAGTTTACTTTATAAAAACGAAAATAATCCCTGACTAAAAGACTCTGAACTCTTGGATAAATTTTCATATTATTGAAATAATCCACTGTATCCACACTGCAGCTGCAGTCGTCGATTGATCCCTTCAACTAGATTTTTTAAAATGCAACTTAATCACTTAAAGATAATCATATTAGATAAATACATATACGTAAATATATTTTTAAAAAATGACAGATTCGATAAATCGTAGGTTATGTTTATTTTTTTTTTTTTTTTTTAATGAAAAAATTTGAATAACGAGAAAACAATGAAAATAATACCTTACAAAAGCATTGGTCGTTCTTCTCACTGTTCGTTCCGAAATAATTAGAATGTACAATAGAAGGTAAAAACACCGTAAGCAGTATCAATATTCTGACCATATTTTCACTGGGTTCGCTCGTCATGATTAAATTCACTGGTATACCTTTCGATCACGTTCTCTTATAGACAAATTATTATCGCGCGTCACCGCGATACTAACTGGTGTTCCCTCTTTTTACAACATCGACAAGACTACGTGCTGCCAGAAACGTGCATAAATTGTCCTGTCAAAAGTAAACTTTATTGACGCTTTCATCGTATTGTTCACCGATTAGCTATTTTCCGCAAGATATACAGAAATTCACTTCTACTTATGCAAGTGTTATAGTTTTCGGTCAATCACATATTCGAATCAAGTTGAAACGCAATGATTTATCAAACAGCTGGAATATTCATTCCATTTGCAACAGACGATATGTAATCTCACGTACGTGACTACAATCACGCTGTCACAGATACGTATTTACTTACTCTCCTTCCAGCTAGTAATAGTAATATTGTTTAACCATTGTAATAATAGTAATATTGTTAAACCATTTATTGTATATGTATATTATATAACAATTGTAAAAATAAAATGAAAAATATAGAATTAAAGAAAGTTTGTAATAATACGTTCAAATGAAAATGTTTGTAGATTTGAAATTTGTCACTATGATTGCTTAATAATAATGAATATGTACCTGATTTAAAAATGCTCGACTTACATCCAAACCCGGAATAACGTTAATAGAACTTCATTTCTATGAATATATATTGTTACATGTACATGTACATATGTAAAACAATGTTTCCTCCCCTCTTCCCAGCCGACCACATCCAAATTTAATTCCACGTGTGCTTATAACATTTGTTATTGATTTCAAATATCAAACATAGTTCTATTATTACATCATTTTTTCATGTGACATTTGATATAATTATTATTGAGATGATGTTTGCCTTTTATCCGAAATTTTTTAACAAAAAACTAAAAATTTTACACAATGTTTTAAATATTAAAATATGAAAAAAACTAATGTGAACTTTATTTACAAGTGTTCTTCCCTTTAAGAGGATTGTGTTTTTTTTTCTTATTTTTGACTATTTTTTTATTTAAGATTCTTATGAACTGCCTATCTATGTATATATGTTTTATTATATTATATATCGTTCTAGTACTTTAGAATGCACTATATTACATTCCTTGAAAAAAATGTGTGCTTACATATATGTATATTTTAATGTATGCGAACAATAAACAAACATAAAATCCATTTTAATGTTAAAATAAACTTGTACAAAAATATAAATTGATATTCAAACCAATTCTTATTCTAATTAATCAGTACCGTTCATGGTATTGTTTGTATTCATTGGCGTAGACTTATTGTGGTATAGGACATGTCAAAACTTTATGCGAAGGTGCCGATGGTTAGTTGTCGTTAAATAACAATATTTGTAGTTAAAATCAACTTGCATTGAAATATAAGTTTAAAAATTGTTTTCAAAGTCTCTCAAATCTACAAGATCTTTTGTTGTACTCTATTATTATCATGGACATCGTATAAACTTTAATAACCTATACAATATTTGAATTGTCAAGGAACGTTTTGAAATTTACCATGTATATAAATATCAATAGGATTACGTATTAAAAATATTTGAAAATATCTATACAATGGTACTGTTGCTTCAATCTACTAATGATAAATATTGCTATTTTTCAACGATTAAATACCAATTTTTCAATTATGCAGTAATAATTTCTTTCTATAGCAAATTGTAAATTATTTGTTGACAAGAGTATTTTCATAGATAATATTATCGCATGTTTAAATGTTTTAGTGTATACTGATAACATAAATAAAAAAGTATTTAATTATATACATTATATTATTTATGAAGAAACAATAATGCAATAATTATAGTTAATAATAGTATAATTGATAATAATAAGACTTTAGCATATAAGCATCAAGTTTAAGTTAATATTTTGATAAATTATATATTTGCACATACAGGACAAAAATCAGTTTATGTTTGAAGATAAATGGCCATGTATGAGACCAACTATTTTGAAATTATTGAAACAAGAACCTGTTACTCAAGCAGAATGGCAAGATTTATTCTTCTCAGTTCATGCAGTATGTATGTGGAATGACAAAGGTGCTCTTAAATTATTAGACGCACTCAAAGAAGACATAATGGATTTTATAAAACAAGCTCAACAGGTACAAGCTCGAATTATAATTTCTAAATATGTAAATAAATGTTTTTCAAAATGTCCAACAAAAACAAGAAATCATTGTTTTGTATATTTTTTAGAGAGTTTTGGCACACCAAGAGGAGCAAGCTTTGTTGAAAGCATATATAGCTGAGTGGAGAAAATTTTTTGCACAGTGTAATTATTTGCCAACGCCATTTAGACAATTAGAAACATCTCTTGCTGGAAAGGCACCATCCAGTGTTCAAAAGAAAAGTCAACCTGATGATATTGTTAGAAAAGTAAGAATTTCCTTTCAAATTTTTCTATGTATAATTTCATAATATACTTTTTTTGTTATTACAGTTAATGTTGGATAGTTGGAATCAAAGTATATTTGGAGAAATAAAACAAAAACTTCAAGACTCAGCTATGCGACTTGTTCGTGCTGAAAGAAATGGTAAAGCATTTGATTCACAACTTGTTATTGGTGTTAGAGAATCTTATGGTAATGAACTTTCTTCTTTTATACAAATTAAATATATCATATATGTATGTATCATAAATTCAAAATTGTGTTATAAATTATGTTACAGTAAATTTATGTTCAAATACAACTGATAAGCTTCAAATCTATACGGAGAATTTTGTAACAGCATATATAGAAGCAACACAAGCTTTTTATTGGGTTAAAGCACCTGAACAATTATCATTACATGGTGTAGAAAATTATATGCGTTATGCTGATGCAAAGTTACAAGAAGAAGAACTTCGTGCCCAAAAATACTTAGAACCAAACAGTGCTAGTGTACAGCTTTTAACTGATTGTTGTGTACGTGTGTTAGTAGCAACTTTTAAGCCAGCTATATTAGCAGAATGTCCAAGAATGATTCAGCATCGTCAAACAGATAGTAAGTGTAATATTATTTGAATTATATTTCTAACAACATTATTATAATAAAATAAATTATAATACAAAATAAATTGCAATTATAGAACTTAGATTAATGCTAAAACTAATGGATAGAGTTCCTGACGGAGTTGGTCCAATGTTAAGAAATCTAGAAGAACATATAGCAAGTGCAGGTTTAGCTGATATGATGGCAGCTGTGGATGTTATTACTCAAGATTCTGAAAAATACGTTGAAAGATTATTGGATCTTTTTCGGCGGTTTTCAATTCTTGTTAAAGAAGCATTTGACGATGATCCTCGTTTTCTAACTGCTAGAGACAAAGCTTACAAACTCGTAGTAAATGATGCAACGGTATTCAGATTAGAATTACCTGCACGTCAATGTTCTGGTATTGGTACAACGATTTTAAATAATAAATCTAACAACAATAATAACGGGCAACCAGAATCAAAGTGTCCAGAACTTCTAGCTAACTACTGTGATATGTTACTTAGGAAAACACCACTCAGTAAAAAATTAACTTCCGATGAAATTGAAAGCAAACTAAAAGATGTAGTACGCATCCTATCTTACATACATATTTCTAGTATTTAACACCATTTTATCTTGTACTTATCTAATATTGGTTTTATTTTAGTTATTAGTATTAAAATATGTTCAAAATAAGGATGTATTTATGCGCTATCATAAAGCTCATTTAACAAGGCGTTTGATATTGGATACATCTGCTGATTCTGAAAAAGAGGAAAACATGGTAGAGTGGCTTCGTGAGGTTGGAATGCCAGCCGATTATGTTAATAAATTAGCACGAATGTTTCAAGACATTAAAGTATCACAGGATCTCAATCAACAATTTAAGGAACAATGTAGAGCTGCTATAGCAGATAGTATCAACATTAAAGTACGGGCTAAGCGTTATAACAATATTTTGACTTATGTATCGTTAAATACTATTATATTCTAAAACAAGCATTAATATAATTTATTATAGATATTAAATGCAGGTGCTTGGGCTAGAGGTAGTGAACGTGTCACTGTAAGTTTACCACTGCAACTAGAAGATTATATTCCCGAAGTGGAAGAATTTTATAAAAAAAAGCATAGTGGAAGAAAATTACAGTGGTATCATCATATGTCTAACGGCACGGTAAGAAAAAAACTGTCTTGTCAAAAAGTACTAAAAAGAGATACTTTTACGTATTGTATTATAACCTACTATGAGAAGCCTTTATCCAATCTAATAACATTGTTAGTACAATTTTGTCTATAATATAAATTATATGTATTTATTAAAACAGAATAATATACATTTTTCTGATGCAGTAAACGTGGGTATACAATAAAATTTTTCAAAAAATTCAATATCTCGATTCTAATTTTCAGCCTCACCTTGCAACCAATTTGGATGGTGTTCCAGATAACATTTTCTAATCAAGTGGGACGCTTCGATGTGGATGTAACAACGTTTCAAATGGCAGTTTTATTTGCTTGGAATCAGCGACCGTTTGAAAAAATATCATATGAAAATTTACGACTGGCTACGGAACTTCCTGATCCTGAACTGAGACGAACTTTGTGGTCTTTGTGTGCCTTCCCGAAACTCAAACGTCAACTTCTTCTAGTTGAACCACATGCGCATAGCCCCAAAGATTTTGCAAATGATACAAGATTTTGGGTGAATCAAGAATTTGCTATTGTGTTAGTAATATTTTTTAAAAAATTATACGCTAATTCACATTACTTAAACCATATATAATCAATTCTTATTTTTAATTTAGAAAAAATGGTAAACTGCAGAAACGAGGTAAAATTAATTTAATAGGAAGACTTCAATTGTCAACAGAACGAAGTAAAGAAGAAGACAACCAATCCATCGTACAACTTAGAATACTAAGAGTCCAGGTACAATTTTTATTCAAATAACTTTCTTCCTTTATCTTTCGATAAGTAAAATTAATGATAAATGTATATTTTTTAATAGGAAGCAATCATCAAGATTTTAAAAATGCGTAAAAAAATCAGTAATGCTCAATTACAAACTGAATTAGTTGATATCTTAAAGAACATGTTTCTGCCAAGTAAAAAGATGATAAAAGAACAAATTGAGTGGCTTATCGAACATAAATATATACGCAGACACGACGATGACATTAATACCTTTGTGTATATGGCATAGGTCGGGATTATACATACATGTAATACTATTCAGATTCTTATGATTAATATTATATTTTTATAAAAATTCAGTTTTTGTTTATCAAAATGTATGCTCAAAAATCCCAGTGTAATTGAAAGATGTTAATGTTGTTTGTAACATGTTCACAGAAAACACATTTTTTAAATGAGAACGTAACGTCATACAGAGTCATATCATTTATAATTATGATTAAATATGATATCGCCCTTGATCATGAAAATATGCATTGTTAAATAGGTAGTTATTATAAATTATAATATTTTTAAAATTCAAACCAATATTTTTAAAATTCAAATTTTTTTTCTCAAACAAATGATGAAGTTCACTTAAAGACATCTGTGGAAAAAATATACGAGTTTAAAAGTCTTTGATTTATTATATTGATGTTATTTTTTACTTTCAATGTAACTATAATTTCATTAGTGTATTTTATATTTTTTGTTTCATTTAAAGACAAAATAAAATATTTGAAATGTTATAAACTCGTCACAGATGTATTTAATTCTGAATGATAATGTTTATGTATGCAGAATGTACATTATACATTTTAATATATGTCTAAACGTAAATGCATGCATAAGTTTATTTACTGCAAGTGTATATATTTTCAAAATATGATTGTTTTTCATTAACTTGTTTGAACTGTAAAAAGTAAAAAGTACATAAATTACAAAACTTTTTTATACAATATTTTTTGCGTTCTGTTTTTATCAACTACGATATAATTCTTTAAACCCATGTAAAATCCATGTATTTTCAGTTGCAAAAATTGAAAATGAACAAAAATTCATACAAAAAGAAAACATAAGAAATGGCCTATATCGTTATATATAAATATAAGATTATAAAATTTTAATTCTTTTATATTTTAATAATAAAACATTGTATAATCCCTGTACTGAAAAAATTTTACACATCTGTATTGTGAACGATAAAATTTTAATCCAAGACATACATTACTAAACGTTTATATGTATAAAGCTTTTATATTATTTCAATGTGCGATTGACAAATGTAAGAATGAATAATTTCAAAATTAAAAAAAAACAGATTTTTATATTTTTCCATGTATTTTATTATATTTTTCCTAAAAATATTATTTTAAAGTATACAAATTTTCACGAATAAAATATACCAAGCTGGAGCAAACATTTAAAATAACTTAAATTAAATAATTGAACAAATAAATTCAAAAGACATTTCTTTATTTTATCTATAGACATAAAAAACAAGTTTTGAGTAACATATTTATTCACACAAAAGTAATTTGCTATAACATATTTATAAACTTTCAACAACTCTATATTACGATAAATCTTACATTGATATGAAATATTTTATGCAAGTGGGAACATTATATACATTTACATACACGTATGCGTAACATTGTGTAACATCACTGTTACAAAAAAATAATAGTAGCACTAATGCACTTTGAACAATATGTAATTTTTTTATTGTGAAGAATTTTTTTGAAATGATAATACTATCTATAATTTTACAATTTTATTAATTATATATATCCTAAAGATTAAAAAATTTTTTTTTTAATGGAAAAAATCATTAACTTTAATCTTCATTAATTAAAATATGATAGAAAGCAGTATCACTGATCATACAGTATCATTTCATATTACATGGTATATTCATATAATCACATCTATGTACATTAAATATACCAATGTTGCTTAAACTTATCACACACACACCCACTTTGTAACAAATTATATTTTTCCGAATTAATCTTGCTTGAAATTCTGAGATAATTTACCAAGTATTTAATTCTAATTGCCTTTTCTAAGATCATAAATTTTATATCTCCTTTAAAAGTATTTATAACATCGATACTTCGAGTAAGACATTAATATCACTAATTTCAATATTTTTTTATCCTTGATATTTTAATATTAGTTTTATTAGTTTTTATAATTGTAAGCATCTAATATTTTAAATTGTGTTTTTTAAATTAAAAGAGAATAAGAATTGGTGTAAAGTTATTCCGAAATATTATGTAGATTTTTCTAATACTTTATTTGTACGTTAGTTAATATTCGATGATTTTTTAAATTATTTCATTATATCACGTATTTTTATTTGTTTATAATGTCAGCATAAAATATTTTTTATCTGCAAATGAAAACATAATTTTTAATAAAATATTTATTACGTATTTATTATCTTTTCAAATACTTACATATATTAGTATGAGCAAAACACATTTACAGATAATTTTCTGCGAGTCTGTGATCACAAATTAAAGTATCAATTTTGCAATATTGCAATACAAATTTTTGAATGTTGAATATCATTGCTTGTAATGCCACTAATTGCTTCTTGGATGGATAAATAATTCATTGTCAAAGAATGGACAACATTTCTAACAGAGCTGCTTTATGAATGTTCTGGACAACGCGTATGTTGAATACGTGGAACATTTTTCATAGGATTTGTTGTTTCACAAACATGCACAACTATACCAGGTTGTCCTGAACCTCCAGGATGCAATTCATGACTACCTCCTGTAAAATTATTTACATACTTGATATATTTATATAACACACACATATATGTGTGCGTGCGTGCGTGCGTGCGTGCGTGCGTGTGTGTGTGTGCGCGTGCGCGCGCGCGCGCGCGCGTGTGTGTGTGTACATGTAAATATATATATGTCACACTACAAACTAGTCAAATGATAAAACCTGCAGATAAATTCGCAATAGCTGCCAATAAATCATGATTGACTAAAGGTTCACTTTCTTCCCTAGGCTGCCATCCAACGGGTGGTGAAGCAGGTGGTGAAATTAGGAACTGTTTAGTTAATGCTGGTGGGTGAAGGTGTTGATCTTCTACATCTAAAAAATATATTAATAATATATTATACTTAAAATTATAAAGCTATCTATTTAAGATCTATTAAGCTATCTATCTAAGCTAATAATTCTTGTAAATGTAAAAAAACACTACTATACAAACCTATCGGAGTAACAGGTTGTGCAAAATAACAATTGATATTGGTCTCACCAAAGTGAGTTTGATGTAACTGTATCCTAGCATTTGCAGCTGCATTTGGAGAACTATAATTTACTCTCATTCTTCTAAATGATCTGAAATATTGAAATGTAGCATCTTCCCCAAACTGCTTGAAGAGATTTTGTATTTCTTGCTGTAGAGAGAAAAATATGTAGAGACATACATACATATATTAAACATTGAGTTTATTACATTGAATTTCATTATATATTTTCATCACCTTTAGTTCATCATCTTTAAAAACTCTGGAATCTACATTAGTTACAATGACTGACGTTGGTAAATCTTCATCATGTACCAAATCTTCGATAGATCTTGTATTTGTATCAGAATGACTTTTTTCTACATCGAATTCTAGGCCCAATTGTTGATAATTAGGATGCAAATTTGGTAATCCATCAACTTCATTTATAATTATATTTTCTGATTCCTCTAATTCTTCATCTTCCACTACATTAGAACCATGTTTCTTCTCCATATCTGTTTTATGCTACAAGTATTGAATTGTAATTTATTTTAATTTATCACACCAATGTGATAACTTTATAAATAAAAATCATTCGTCTTCTTATGAATTTTTTGTATAATATCTACCAAATAAATATCCTATACACATAACTCTCATTTACTTCTATATACTTGTCTACAAAAAGATAATATTGCTTTATTATAAATGTAATTTTATGTGTTAAGTTAATATTGCAGATAAGAAAATATCATCTTTTGTTATAATTATTTCTGTTATTTTTTTACTCAACGATTTCTAACTTATTATTAACACTTGAATAATACTGCAGTCTGTCTACCAAGTATGCACACTGTTAATTAAACTATCATAGTACATGTAATTTTTAAATCACTTGAATATTGTATATTTCTTACATAAAAAATTGGGTTTGCTCTTGCTAGAAATAATTTATGAATTATGAATAATATATATATGTATATTACAAAATTACCACGAACCACGAATTTTCTTGTAACTAACACTAGTTGTTAATCCTAGTTGTTACTTACAAAGTAAGGTTACGTACTATTACATTAACATAATATGCAGTATCATAATCATAATGTGCCAAAGGCAAAGTAATCGACTGAGAACAAATAATACTTACCTGTTCTATCTTAAGCGGCTAAATCGAATGTACGTCTTCTTAATATTTATTCAAATCGAGAGTTATTTACCTAGTTATTTATTTATTTATTTATTTACGCTTTCATTTATGTATATATATATATAAAATTCTTCATTGTATTAACAGTATTATTAATCATTTACACAACTTTCGACGTTACATGTTGCATTCATTACTTTATTATTATCGTAATGTAATCTTTTATAATCGTAGACTATAAGAAGTAACTAGGAAGATAAGCAAATCGGTACAGACAGGCCTTTTTCGGTAGAATCATCTGTTGTTGGAGCAGAATTTGATCTATTTGTTATGCGCAACAAGTAGAGATGAATAGTTTTGTCGTGCAGAACATTTGATCCTTTTTGAATTCATAACAAAGAGTTTAGAAATTATATTTTCTAAATACTACACGAATTATTCGAATATTCGTCTTATATCAATCTTCTTACCGAGTTACCTTTCTATATACGTTTAGAAGATGTGTTTGATAGCCGGATGTATCACATGACATATATATGATATATATATATGTATCATATGTATATGTATATGATCTATATGACTGTATTTATGTATACACATACACTCATAAATAACAGTGAGCAACAAATAACAATGTCGACGATGGAAGGTTCACTTAGTAAATGGACAAATGTTGTTAATGGTTGGCAATATCGTTGGTTTGTTTTAGACGATAATGCTGGTCTTTTATCATATTACACGGTAAGAATTTCTAAATATTGTAATTGTTGTACTTAACATTCATTTATTCATTAATAGGTTACACCCTACTTTTTTTTATAATGTATATTTTATATAAATTTCCTTTATGTTTAATATTATTTATGTGACATTTAATTCAAAATTAATATAAATTTCTATGTATTTCTATATCAGTAATTTTTTATTTTATTTACTGATTAAGTATTATTATCTGTTACCTATTATTTCTATTTGTTTAAATATCTTGCACATCTGTCATAGTCAGCTGATCTTTAAACATCTTTTAACAAAATACTTATTTCATTTATTTCACGTAAAAAGAATTATTGTCAATATATTGTCAAGAATTTTGTCAGTTATGATGATATTTTTAATATGTAGTTTTTAAATACTTAGATTGTATTGATTATATATTACTGATATTTAAAAATACTATCAATATATTTTGAATATAATAATTTTTTTACCATATTTTAATTACATTGCAGAGTAAAGAAAAAATGATGAGAGGAGCACGTAGAGGATGTGTACGTTTAAGAGGGGCTATTATAGGTATCGATGATGAAGACGATAGCACATTTACAATTACTACATCATCATATAAAGATGATCCAAAAACATTTCATTTTCAAACAAGAAATGCAGAGGAACGAGAACGGTGGATTCGTGCTTTAGAAGACACTATATTACGTCATTCACATACTGTATAATCATTCGCATATTGAAAACAAGAATTAGATTTATTTTGATGTTTAAATAAAATTTAAATTATTCTAGAGATGGGATCCTAAAAAATCTCCTCCAAGGCAAGACTTTGATCGTAAAGTGGCTGAAGCAGATGCTTATCTTCAATTATTGATTGATCAAATAAAATTAATTGAAACAAAACAAAGTTCTGTTGCTGTAGAAGATGAAGAAAAACAACAAAAATATGCAGCTATTTTAACTCAAGCCAATGCAATGCTTAATTCCGTTAAACATACAATTGTTCAGTTACAAATTGCAAAGGTAAATATTCAATATAATTGTGAGACATACATTATATTAATAAATTCTATTATATTAATAATTAAATTAAATACATTTTATAGTTGTAGTATGTGCATGCTAAATATAATAACTTTTAGAATACAGCAATACCAGTAAATGGAATATATAGTGGACCCACTGATTCAACACACGTTCCATCATCTTTACCTCATGGTATGTATTTAAATGTGAATATAAAATATATAATAGAAAACGTATAATATAATAAATTTTAGTTGCTGCTAGAGAACCAGAAGCAACTGTACAGACTGGTATTGAATTAGGTTTTGAATGTGTAGAACTAAGAGTACCTGCATTGCCAAATGGTAACTTATTTTTTCTTATTTATGTATATTAAATTTAAAATAAATGTCAAATTACTGAGCTATAATATTTTTAAAAATAAAATTATAAGTCAAATAGAGAAATGAATTAAGATATTCATTTTCATTAATTTTCACTTATAAAGCGGTTGTGGATAGAGATCTCCCTGTACCCCAATTTTCTTATTCATCTTCGGATGAAGACGAAGATTATTATGACGCAGCAGACGAAATATCACCTCCCTCTGCAATGCAAAATCATATCAGTATGTAAGTATTTATTAGGGTTTATTGATGTTTAACTAGGGGTGTGCGGGTACCCGACTGTTCGGGTCGGGCGGGCTCGGGCAGGTAGCCCGACTATTTCGGATAGTTCGTCTATTTCGTATCGAGTTGGAAAAAGTTCAAATGGGATATGATATATCCCATGGGATTATATTGCGTTATCGAAATCAATTATTCATAATATTTAATATACATATATTTTTTTTTCTTCAAATGTAATAATATACTCTAAATGATAATGTAAGAAAGATAATCAACATTTTGTGGGAATCTGGTTGTATTGCATTTCCACCAACTAATGTCTATATTTCTAGCACTAAAACCATCAGCGAAATACATACAGTGACTCTTATTAATATTCGGGCATCATGCTATTCAAAATATTGTTGTGGATTTCGATTGTATCTATAATAGTAAGTTTGGATTAATTTTTTAAAAATATATTAGAACATCCGTTATAGTTTATAGTAACATAAATTTTATTTATTTATTGCACATACTTTTCTTAATATCAAACAATAAACTGAATTATGTCGAAATATAGTGTGGCATAAATATTTAGACATTTGAAGAACTATAATATTTAAACCTGAAAATTGTTAACATAAACAATAATTAATATTTTGTTGGGTAGCCCTTAACTTCAATTACATGTTGCAGACGTCTAGGCATATTTCCAGTAATTTTCTTTAAGTAATTGAGCAGAATATTCTTCCGTTCTTCAATTAATCGTTGTTTTAACTCGTTTTTCGATTTATTGATGTATGACAATTAGTTATTTTTCACCAAGAAAAAGGAAAAACGTATCGAGAAATCGGTCATCTTTTAAAATTAAGTAAAAGAGTACCGTGGCTGATATTGTATGGAGATACAATGATGAAGACCGAATTGAATCAATTCTAAGAGATATTTTTCTATTTCTAAGAAAAATAAAAGTGAATCCTAGTTTAACCCGGGATTGTCCACGTGGGAATCTAGTGCCGGGATTGTCCACGTGGGAATCTACTGCACTAGACCCCGAAGTGGGTAATCCCGGGTTAAGTGCTCCTAAGTTAATTTCTTCAGAAGTATATTTATTAATACGAAATACATTGGATAATATTGGGAGACAGTTGGATATGTCCCCCTTGAACTTTTTCCAACTAGATCCGAAATCATTGGGCTACCTGCCCGAGCCCGTCCGACTTTGTGTTAGCCCAACCCGAAATGTCGGGTACCTGCACACCTCTATATTTAACATAAAATTTAAGAAATATGTGATATATTTTGTAATTCAGTAGAAGGCAAGATAGCGAACGTTCACAATCACATGTAGATGTATTGAACGAAAATCGGAAGCAACCTCCGTTGCCACCTACAAAAGGTGATGGGTCTGTTGATTATGATGGTAAGTAATAATTTATAAGTGTTTAATAGTCTATATGTTTCATATTGTTTAGTGGATATAAAATCAAGTTTTTTGTACCCTTTTCTTTTCTCAGAGTATTTGGTAACTGTATTTTATTTATTTTCAGTTTTGTATTATACATATTTTTATATATAATGCAATATTTAAGTATGTATGTGTTTTAAATTGGATGAAATTCAAATAAAAAATCAATACATAAATATTTAATCAAATTAAAGTAAAAATATATTAAAATATGTTATAATTATTGTTAATTATTTACAACAAATATATTTATATTATATATTTAAAATAACAAATAAAATATAGCAAGAAAAAACGAATTATATAAATATTAAAAATCCATAATAAATTGCAGTCGATAATACAGGTTCTATGTCAGACGACATTACCCGCAACTACAATTACTATACACGTGAATTGTCGTGTCACTCGAACCTAGTAGTAAAGCTATATTAAATTTGTAGTTAAAATCAAGTGTGAATATTCTTTAGTATGACACAATCGCAGAAAAGAGAATTTAATCAATTTCAACTAGTTTTTGCCTCTTGGAAAACTTTATTTCTTAGAAAAAGACGATTGTACTGCGTATAGTTGACATCGTACGATCGTATTTAGGAATGGAATTTAGTTGATATTTTACAAAAAAAAAAATATGTTGAGTGCGGATTCAAGCAGTGAGTCTTTAAATTACGCTAAAATATATATATAACAAAAGAAATTCTTTTGTATTTATGCGAATATTCATGTTATTATAGGTTGTATTTTTTAACTATAAAATTGACAAACAACATATTACAACTATTATTAATTTAAGAGAAATATTAAAACGAATCACAATAGAAGTTATTTTTTTCTTATTTTTTAAGTTACTACATCTCGTTTTGTTTGTAAATTATTATTATGAAATTTTGTTACGTGTTACAGCCCTTTATGAGGAGGAAAGTGAAACAGAAAGTTAGTAACCATTATATTAATAATGTAAATTATTCCATTAAGAACAAATTCTTACCTTCATGTTATTTTTTAGTGGATTCCATGGAATCTCATGGATCCGTAGTGACTCACCTTCTATCTCAAGTAAAAATTGGTATGGATTTAACAAAAGTAGCATTACCTACATTTATTTTGGAGCGCAGGTCGCTTCTTGAAATGTATGCAGACTATTTTACTCATCCAGATCAGTTTGTAAGGTATATTCTATGCAATGAATAATACTAACAATATTTTCCAAAATTTTTGAAACTCTTAATACATTATTATTTATAATATTGGATATTTCAGCATAGCAGATATGCCTACTGCTAAAGATAGAATGATTCAAGTAGTTCGTTGGTATTTATGCAGTTTTCACGCAGGTCGTAAATCAGGGGTAGCTAAGAAACCATATAATCCAATATTAGGTGAAATTTTTAGGTGTCATTGGGATATTCCTAATGATACTGTAGATAGTTCTACTGATACAAAACTAGTTGTTGGAGGTCCTGTACCTTGGTGCAAAGAGAATCAGCTTTCATTTATTGCTGAACAAGTTTCTCATCACCCTCCTAGTAAGTTTGCTCATATTTATTTGTTATAATTCTTTAATAAATATTCTCCTGGATAAACTAATACGTTTTATATTGCAGTAAGTGCATTTTATGCTGAACATTATGCAAAAAAGATCAGTTTTGGAGCACATGTATGGACAAAAAGTAAATTTCTTGGACTGAGTATAGGAGTACATAATGTTGGGAAGGGTTGGGTAAATGTATTACAACATGGAGAGGAATACGTATTGACTTTCCCAAATGGTTATGGTAGATCTATTCTCACCATACCATGGATAGAATTAGGAGGGACTGCAACTATCCATTGCGCACAAACTGGTTATCACGCTACTGTAGAATTTTTAACAAAACCTTTTTATGGTGGCAAACGTAATCGAATTACATGTCAAATTACACAACCGGGAGATAAAAAACCATTTGTTGTTATAAACGGAGAATGGAGTGGTGCTATGGAAGCCAAATGGGCTGATGGAGTTTGTATAAAAGATATTATGAAAGATATCAATCTTTCATTTTAGCTTTTTCATTCATAAATTCAATTTTTGCAGAGAAGTGAAATATTTGCGGATGTAAAAGAACTTCATACTCAAAGAAAATTAATAAAGCCAGTATGTGAACAAGAAGAACATGAATCGCGAAAAGTTTGGCGGGATGTAACTGTTGGATTAAGAATTAATGACATGGAAAAAGCAACAGCTGCTAAATGTACAATTGAACAAAAACAACGAGAGGAAGCGCGTACTAGGAAAGAAAATAATATCAATTGGCAAACTAAGGTACATTCTTCTCTCAGTGTTATATATTTTTTATTTCAAATGATTATATAAATCTTATTTTTTAATAGTTGTTCAAAGAAACTAAAGACGGTGGTTGGATATACATAAAACCCCTTGCTGAGAGATTACATTCTAGTTTCAATCAAAGTACTACAACATAAACTCGCAATATGATATGTTGCAGTTTTAGACATTGCACAGTACTAGAAATTTAAGGCCTAACACATATGATTAATTATATATTTACCTTCTTAAATTTATTGACTCTGAGTTATACAGAAGAACAAAACTGAAAGGTATTATCAATGCTTTTCTTAAAATTTTTTTCTTATATAAACCTGATTAAGTACAATAGCAAATATTTAAATGCTATAATATTAAGATTTCATTAAAGGGTATTTCATACAGAGTGTTTCGTAACTTGTGGGACCCACTTCGGAAGCTGATTGTACGCCTAAAAATAATGAAAAAAAGTCATATAAATATATGTCCTATCTGTCTTCGTTTATGAGATATAATGAATTTTATATAATATATATAAAATATATATATAAACAGAGCAAACTCTCTGTCCGGCCTCTCTTTCCATAGACCGCGATAGTTCGTAAGCAAGAATTCGCACTGTTTACAAATAATACTTACTTGATATCTTCCGTGTGACTATTTGAAGATTCAGCAAATTTCGCAATACTCTCTAATTCAGTTCTTAATAATTGTAATACATGTCGTTTAAGATCGTGTTTGAAGTGATAATGGAGCGTTATTCTAATTTAGAAATGACAGATATGCATCTGATGTATGGGCTCGCTATGTGTAATGCAAGTAAAGCAAGACGTTTATACGAATATTTTCCCAATCGGCGTATACCAAACAAGAAAACATTTCAAAGAATACACGAACGTCTACGAGAGACTGATTGCTTCCAGAGAAGAAGTTCATACATTGGTAGACCGATTAATAGAAATTCTAGATTTGAAGAGCGGGTCCTCCATCATGTTGAAAGGAATTTTGCGAGAACAGCAATTATACCCGTACCATTTTCAGTGAGTACAAGGACTTACTGAAACTGATTTTCAACCTAGTTTTTTGTACTTGGTTCCTGCGAATGTGTGAACGTGAAGAGAGTTTTGTATCTACCATACTTTTCACTGATGAAGCTAGTTTTACCAATGGTATATTCAATTTTCATAATAATCATAATTGGGATGAAGAAAACCCACATGTTGTGCATTCAAGACATCAACACCAGTTTAGTTTAAACGGGCAGGAATAATTAATAAATTTTTAATTAGACTTTTTTTTCTTGATGAGAAACTAACAGGCACAAAGTACGTTGATTTTTTGAGCACGCTTTACACGAAATATTAGAGGAAGTTCCAGTCGATATTAGACTTCGTATGCGATTTATGCATGATGGAGTGGCTAGGCAATTTTAGCCGAGTGGCTAGGCAATTTTTAAATCGACACTTTGCAAATAAATAGATTGGTCGTGGAGGTCCTATTGCATGGCCTGCTCGTTCTCCATTTTTGAAACTATTAGATTTTCATTTATGGGGACATTTAAAATCTATTGTACACGCAACATCGATCGAAAATGCTGAAATACTACGAAATAGAATAGAGCAAGGCTTCTGACAAATTCGAAAAACACCAGGAATTAGAGAGAGAGTAACGAGTTCAATGACAAAACGCGTGTAGGTAGTCATTTAGAGCATCTTTTGTAAAAGTAATTCAACAGAAAATTCATTATATCTCATAAACAAAAACAGATAGAACATATATTTATATGACTTTTTTTCATTATTTTTAGGCGTACAATCAGCTCCCGAAGTGGGTCCCACAAGTTACGAAACACCCTGTATGTATTTTGATAGCAGGCAAATTATTTTTTATAATATATTACCACAGATGGCTATTGTATTGAAAAAAACAAATTCGCATAATATTGTGCTATATAACATATGTCATCATCGACATACAAGCTTATGTACTGTTGAAAAAATATACATAGCTATAAAAATTATATTCCTTATAATAATTTATGATTTCTGTTAACAAGAATTGCAATATAATTTTAACATAATACAATATAAATAAAAATTAAATTTAATTAAATAGTAATAGACCAAATGCATAGCTTCTATTACTATCAAGTAGTAATAGACTAAGTGTTTTATCTGTTTCCACGATATAACATTAACGAATTATTAATGATATATTAAATGACTAATTAAATGAATTTTTTTCATTCCGTAATAATTATGTATATAATTTGGCTTTTAATATTTTTAAATAATTACTTCCAGATAATGTCTAAAATGATTTAGTTAATATATTTAAAAAATGGACAACTGTACTTGTAACTGTAAAAATAATATATATGATGTACATTACATTTATGTACATAATTGGTTGTTCTTAACTTCCATGAAATGGAAACAAGTAGCATTTTAATAATGTAAATATTTATAAATATTGTTCGTAGTTCTTTACGCATAAGATTTTACATATATTTTAATTGCTTTTTAATTAACCACAAAGTATTAAAATATTTTAGTGATGTTAATTTCATTTATTTATGTTACAGTGTTTACATATATATTGAGTAAAATTGTGATTTATAATCCTTTAAATTTTACTAATCATAAATAGCACATTGTAAAATATTCAATATGTAATATATAGAAAAATATATGTAAATTTTTGATAAAATAAACATTTATTTATTTATCGAAATACATAGACATACACAGTATAAATTCCAAATTATAAAATTTGTATTTTCACTTAAAAATAAATTAAAAATATATAAGAATTAGCTATGCAAAAATTACAATTTTCAATATTCTAAAAGTAGAAAAATATGATCAAGTATTGTCTATAAAATTGTCTAAACATATATATCCGACATTGTAATCAATTGCAGTTCTATAAACTTGTGGAAATCGTTTTGTTGATGTTAATAGATGTTCCAAACCTGCCTTTATTACTAAAAAACTTACTTCACAATATGTTTTATTTACAGAATCAGGAGTATTTTTATTTGTTTCATATTTGTATAATACTTTAACAACTGATGCTCTTTGTAAAGTTACAATATTATTGCATAAAATATCCTTAGGCTCAATCATTAAATTTAAATGCCAATCCATTGGTTTTATAGTGAGAGAATGAGTTTCTTTTCCCATAAAGTATTGCAAAATTATCTCTTCACCAAGTATACCAGTCATTGAAGTTTTAATAGCAAGTAAAAAATCATTAAAAGGATCTGTTGCATTCTTTATTGTTGAGTTACTTAATGAATTGTAATCTACACTACAATTCCATAATTTAAATGAATTATCTGTATGAATTTTTCCTAAATAATGTAAACACTTACTACAAATCACGACATTTTCCTCTACTTTTAAATTATGATTAAATAAACTTGCATGAATGATGAAGAAAAATGACCCATAAAAAATATCAGATTCTAAGGGAATTAAATTATACATATTAATACTACTGTGATTGTGTTTACAACAAAACCATTCACTTGGATCACAATTCATATCTGGTACAGGTAAAATCCTTTTAATATACATGTCCTTAGAAAGAATGTTTTTACAAAAAGTACACATTATATGACATTTACCTGTATTAAATAATTCAGTATTTTTAATAGAATTGTTTAATGAATTAGTATTGAATGTTAAATTTGAAATTATTTGTGTTTTGAAAGAGCCAAGGAGAGGATCAGACATTGTTTGTGCACGAAAACAAATCCAATTTTTTGTAACATCTAATGCTGATAATGAATCTGGTATTAATTTTATGAATTTCATTAAAAATATTACTGTCTTGTTTTCTATAGTTATTTCTATATTTTCTTTTGATAGCTTTACTTTAACTGCTGTTAAATTTACTTCTTTATTTAAATGAATGAAAGCATTGCATATTTGAAGCCTGGGTCTAAGTTCTAATGTCATTGATTCTATCATATTGAAAAAAATATTAATTTAAAAAGTTAAACTACAGGTTTTCAATATGAATAATTTCTTCACACTGCTTTAAATTCAATGCAATGTATGTATGTATATATATGTGACTTCATGTACACACTTCTTTTCAATGTCATCGAAAAGTATTATATTTCAACAAACCTGAAAATAAATTTTGAATTTGGTCTGTATTATAAAATTTACATAATAAGTTGACATATAACAAAATTTTAATAGATTTACCTTTAAAGTATTTGATATAAGTTTCCTCAGTCCAGTGTCTTAATACATACTAAATTTTTTTTTTAATTTAGTATCTTATTAACACTCATTTCAATATCTAAAAAAATACATTTTCATAAATCATTACTAATAAAACAACATAAAATTAAATGAATGTACGAAATATTAAAATTTACAATTACGAAATAAATAGAATTTACCGCCCAAAAAAAAGGTAAATAATCATAATTCATAATGCAACTGAAACTTTTTCGTTTAGTACATCACATGTTGTTTGACAAGTTGTACTATGTTTTTGTATTGTGTTGTCGCTTATTGGAAATTGGGTCTTATGTAAGAAAATAGTATTACCTACCGGGAAAAATATTAACTATAAAATAACCTAACGTAATTTGTAACCTAACGAATTTAAATTATTAAACAAATTAAATAATACTAACAAATTAAAATTAGTGAAATATGACGATGGTCTCAAGATTATGGTGTCGAAAAGCACGGCAAAATTTAGCTTTTGCAAAAGTATTAGGTACATTCATTTTTGAAAATTTTTGTCCTCAGTCATGTACTATGTTAATAAGCGACTAATAACAATAAATTGCAAATTAAATAATTTATATGTTAGTTAGTGTATATATATATATATATATATGTAATAATGTATATATATATATATTATTTTATATTATTACTTCTAGGTAAAGAACCTAAAACTTTTTCAACTTTGGTTCAACTAAAAACAGATGAAGCAACAGATAATAATAATGATTCTCAAGCACAAACTAATGATGAATTAATCAAATCTCCATCACTTGGAAATTATAGACTTGTATATCCTGAATTTCTACCAGACCCTAATCCATTATATCGTAATAGCATAAGAGAAAAATTAGAACGTATGGATATGTTGAATAGAAGATCAGTATTGTCTATTCCTGAATTTTATGTGGGTTCCATATTAGCAGTAACTTATTCTGACCCACATGCAGTTGGAAAAATAAATAAATTTGTTGGTATATGTATATTAAGAGAAGGCTGTGGATTAAGAAGTTCATTTCTTTTAAGAAATGTAGTCAATGGGGAAGGTGTAGAAGTACGCTATGATTTATATGATCCTGCCATCCAAAACATTGATTGTTTAAGGTAAGCATTAATTATTTAAATGATTAATTAATTATTTAATTAGAATTTAAAATGAGAACTTTCCTTTATTTATAGATTAGAAAAAAGATTAGATGACGAGTTACTTTACCTAAGAGACGCACCATTGGAATATAGTACATTTCCTTTTGATATGGAAATAGAAGCAAAAATTTCAGAATCTGTTCCAGTAAATGATATTAAAATTCCTCTCAATCCATTACCCTGGTCACAAAGATGGGAACGTCTTAATTTAAAAGGAGTTAAAGAGATAGTTGTTAATGAAAGACGTCAAAAGAAGGCAGCAGCTCTTGCTAAACCATGGGAGAAATATGATCTAATGAAAACATATAGGTAAAATTGAATATTGTCACTAAGATAATGTCTACCATTTTAAAAGAAATGTACTGAAATATATTGTATCTTTCAATAGGGAGACCATTCCGGAAGAAGAACAAAATGAAATATTTTCAGATGTATATACAAAACTTAATGAGTTGGAAATACAGAAGAACATATTAAAACGCAAATATATGTTGCAAAGGCAAAACTCTTCAAAAACGAGAACTTCATAAATACTTTGTAAAGTTAATAATAAAAATTTGTTTCTTAATTACATGTCATTTGTATATATTAAAAAGAGATGTGATGTACATTTTTTTCTTACATAATTTCTAATTATTTGTAAAAATATAGATATACATATATAATTTATAAATATATATTTGTTGTAATAGCAATTTCGTTTGGATATGTTTTATACTAAGATTCTAAAAGATTTCATTAATAATACATTTTGTTTTATTAGGAAGTGAAAAATATACAATAGAAATTATAAAATTTCAATGACACTAAAAATTACACATCATTTCATTTTTTGAACATTCTCATGTATAAGGGAACAATTATTTTTTGCATATCATGATATTCGAATTAACTGGGGAAAGATAAATATGCAAACATGAAATTAGCTAGTTAATAATGCCACATTAATTTCTTTAACCATTTTAATGCGATATAACATTTTTATGAGATGTTCCTTAGCCAAAGGAGATGTTGAATACCATACTGGGCTGTCCGGTACACAACTTCTTTCTGGCAATAAATAGAACACATCGTTCCGAGTTTTAACGCTCTCTGGACTAAAATAGTAATGCAAAATTAATATAATTATTATATTTTTTTATTTAAAATTTTTATCTATTATACAGGAAAAGTAAGTAAATGAACGTACCATTTAGACAAGTAAAACTCGTATAATTTGACTGGACACCTTAATGGATTTTCTTCATTTTCCTGTTGTTCATATACTTTTTTTTTACGTGAATTGCCTTCTGAAAAAAATTAGAACTTTATAATTTTGTTATTTCTTAAATATATAAATTATTGATGATTATTAATTTGATACTCACCCAATGCTGATTGTGGCGGATAAAAACGAAGAAGAACGTTCCTAGAACCTGGAACTTTTCCTGCTCCTGCAGCAGGTTGGGTAGCTGGATTACGTTTCCAATGTTTCATGATGTGTGAAAATGATAATTGCATATGCTCTTCTACTGTCTAAACGATATTAAATTTTAATTTATTTTAAAACAAATAATAATATTTATATAATAATTTAAAATGATTTATACATACTACAAGATTAAAATGTTTAGTGTTAAAGAACATTAAAGTACTTAAAAGTACATGAGGAGAATGAGCACCTAATTGTTTACATTCCCATAAATGTTCTTCCTCAACCCTTGTTACAATGTATTCTACAAAAATTTTAATATTTCTATTACAATACTATTTTCTGTATCGATTTTTTTAAAACAAACACTAACTTACGTGTGTCATTATAAAGAACGGAAAATTTTTTTGCAACTTCATTTAAACAATCTGTAAATCTTTCATAATATGTATCTGTGAAAATATTGTCTATTCTGTTATTTTCAAACAAATACTGTTGAATTCCTGTAACATAAATAATCGAAGATAATTAAATGCTTCTTTTGAATAATGAAGATGATGGAATTAGTTACCTAAGCAGAGATAATATATCGTGTCAGGAGCATATTCTGTTCCATTTGGCTTTCGTACTTCTTTCACAAAAAGGCATAATGAATAATTCAATTCATCGGCTGTGAGTTGCAAAAGATCCGTCTTAAATAATTTCATTTTTCTCATAGGTGTACTTTGTTTTTCTAATTCAGCATTTTTTGCAATTACCTATATTTTTAAATAATTTCTGATTTTTAACATCTACTTTCAATTGAAATTAAAAGCGAAAGTGTAAGATATTTCAATTACCCATTGTCTCCACGCATTTACTCCAAAAGTATATTTGAGTGCCATATTGGCATCTGGTTTTTCTATGGGTTCTATTATTCTAGGTTGAGGCGGAGGTTGGGGTTCAGGAGGTGGCATCAAAGGCATATCGTTAGCACCAGACACGCGCCTTCCTCGTTTATTTGGTGTAGATCGTGGTTTATATGGAGCCATTCGTTTTCTTCCCCGAGAAGGAACAATGAGCCGTTCTGATTGAACTAAATGTTAAATAAACCTTTCGTTATCATTTGTTTTTTTCATTCTCTTTCATTACTTTCATTACCATCATTTTCAATAGCTGTATCAGATTGTGCTGGTGCTTGCGTAGCAGTAATAGTATTTGGAGTTAAAGCAGCTTCTAAATCAACAGCTGGCTCATCTAATTCTCCAGTGGCCATTTTCAAGGCCATTTGTAACATATCGTCACCAAATGTATTACTAGAATCGACACCTTCTGGACTGAAACCTCCACTATGCGAATGATCACGATCAGCGGCATCTTCGTCTCTATAAAAACAATAGAAGAGGAAAATAGAAAAAAAATAACTTTATAAAAGCTATTAATAATATAATTACCTATCATCTGTAGAATCTGAATCAGTCTCATTGGTTTTTTTTTCTGTTGCAACCATTTCTGCCATCATAAGAAGTTCAGCTTCAAAAGGATCTGCTGGTATTTTTTCTTGTATTCTTTTGATTTCTTTAAATATTCCCTTAGCACTATTTCTTGTTGTTGGTATAAAAATAGGAACAGGAATTGGCAATGGAAAAGGTAATGGAACTGGAAAAGGCATAGTATACATATGTACTGGAAATGGAACATAAATTGGAACTGGAATCGGTACAACTGCTTGCTGAATTCCATCCGTCTGTGTAGCTTTTGTATAAGGGTGTGGACGTACTGAAACTCCTTTTGTGTGCATCACGGGCTTACATTGAGTTATTTTATTGTGAATTTGAACTGGACTCGGTGGTCTCGTTATAATATGCTGCTTATAAATTACTTGAGGCGTTTGATTTTGGCTAATAGCAACTGAAGGTACTAACATATTATTTACACTGTTTTGTTGAGTTGTCGGACTGGATTGACCATTTCCAATTGTGGCTAAACTTGTCACAGAAGAAATTACAGGCATATTTTTTTTATTTTGTATATCATTAGCTTTTTGATTATTGGAATTTATGCTCCTTTGAGGTAATGTCCTTTTAGGCATACCGGTAGGTACAGGGTCATCACCTGTTGGTATCGTAATCGGAGATTTAGTATACTGAGCTTGAAAATTCATTACACAGTGGTATGAACAAAAATTTCGTATTGTTGCATCTGACATCGTTAAATGATATTGTGCTTGAGAAAATTCTTTACAGAAGTCACAGTTTATTCGTTTTGCTGAAACTGCGTTGATGGAAACCTATATACAATTAAAATTAAAAAAACATCAGTCTTATGTGTAATATTCTTTGAAGTAAAAAATATGTGATCATTTCATACCTGATACAATGTTAGGCAATTTAAGCTGCACATCATCATTACTTGACCAGTTTTTAGTTCTTTTTTGATCATGTCAAAATTATATTTTTTTACTTTGCACCAATTGCAAGGAACAATTTTTCTATTGGTAATAATAAATATATTTAAACAAGTTTTAGAACAAAACGTATGAGCTTCATTCTCATAAAATACAACAGAACTTTTTTTGTTAGGTAATTCAAAAAATTTTTTGCAAGTAGAGCACTGTTCAGGATCAACTTTTTTTACAAATTTAAATGCTGCAAAACATGGCTCACTGCATATAGCTACTGGATCAGACCTGTCTATTTGAACTTCACAATGAACAATTTTTTCCTGTTATAAAGAATATAACTTTAATTTAGAAAGTTTCTACCAAATTCATATTGAAGACACAAATAAAAAAAAAATGACTTCTTACTTCTTGACAAACGCTGCAGCATTTCTTTTCCATATTTGGAGGTTCAACAGAACTCATTTTTGAATATTTTTCCATACATTCTTGAGTACAAAAATCCTTAAATTGCCCTTTTTCGCCAACTGGCGCAAGAAAACCTTCTGTACTAGAGCTTATATCTTTTTGACAATAACTGCATACTTTTAGACCTTTCTTAAATTCCTCTAAACATGTGGAACAACAGAATTGTCTAACATCATAACCAAATCGTACACAGTATTTTCCTAAACTTACAGCCTGTACTGAACCATTACAATTTCTGCAGTAACTTCCATATTTTGTTTGGAATTTACCTAGACATTCTTCATTACAGAATTCCATTGTTTCCCAAGAAAGATTACGTTCATCATTATGTTCAACAATTAACAAACAGTTTGCACAACGTTTTTCTCTTTTGGAATTAACTCCATCACTGGGTATATCCATTGCTTTATTATTAGCAACTTTGAATAATGCTTTACAGGTTTTTGAACATACGTTATAAGTATCAAACCCAATTTTTACTTTAATTTTACATGATCTTTCTTCATTACATTGTTTACAAATTTCTTTGGCCGTGATTTCTTCAATTTCAGAATTTTTTGACTCTTCGTCGATATTAATAACATCTGCTGTGATATCTGTATCTTTATTAATTGAATCTGTCTCTGCTCTGGTTCCTTTAGCATGCGTTACAATAGATTCGTTTACAGCATTTGATTCCTCTGCATCTTGATGCAAATCCTTGTTTCCATCATCATTTGGTTCATTGTTTTCACATGTTTGTTTAATTTCATTTTGCTCATTGTTATCTTCATGCATTGATTCTTCATTATTAGAGTTTGATTTTTCTGCTTGCTCAGGAATTATGACTTTCATACTATCTGGAATAATACATAACTCATCATCTTGTCCTGGTAGAACATTAGATTGTTCATCCATTGGTGCTATCTCATCGACAGATTTCTTTGTTTGATCATCAGATTTTTCTGTTGAATCTCCAATGTCTGTATTTAAATTTTCATTCTGTTTTGGTTGAACTGAATTTTCATTACTATCTTTATTAGTATCCTGCGAATCTAGTATAGCATTTGGAGAATGCAGAATATCAATAGAACTGTCTTTATTTCCTTCATTGTTATCCTTTTTATCAATATTAAAACTACTTTGCAAATTATCAGCTTGATTGCACAATTTGGAGAAACCTATATTAGCTTCACTAAGATCATCAGTATCCAGAGATTCAATATTTTCTGTTATGAGGCTATCTCCCCCAAAAGGATCTTCAGCATCTATAGACTGATTTTCAATCTGTATATCTCCATGCTTTTCTTGAGAAAATTGCACAAATTCGGTATTTTCTGGTTCTACAATGTTTTTCTCTGTTATATTTGCATTGCTACCTTCTGATATTTCCTTTGAATTACTCTTATTATCTGAATCATTTTTTTCATTAACTGAAGATATATTTACTTGAATATCTTCTAAGACATTTTCAACAAATTCTTTTTCTGTTAAGGTCAAACCGGAGGAATCATTGATATTTGCGCGTTCCACATTTTCTATTTCATTTGATATATCTTCTAAACATTTTTGAGATTCTGTACATTCTACTACGTTGGTATTATCTGGTAATTTATCTATATCATTTTTATCAGTAGTGTTGGATATTGTTAATTCTGCTGAACATTTATCTTGTAAAACATTCTCTGCTACATTTTCATGTAAAGTTAATGAATGTATATTATTACATTCCTTAATTGTAACATTTGTATTATTTTCTAGTAAAGATAACTCCTTCACTCTTGTGTTATCTTCTTCAGATATATTCTCTTCACATGTAGTACTTGATAATTCTTCATTACTTACTACTTCATCACTTTTCACATTTTCATCAGATAGTTTTTCTTTTATTTCATTATCTATGTTTATTTTATCATTACTTTCACTTGCATCGATAACTTTTTCATCTTCTTTTGACATTAATAATTTCTGTTCTTCACTTGCGGTAATATTTTCACTTGTTTTTTCAGCAGATTCATTTTCTGTAGATGAATCCTTTTGAGTTTGACTAGTTGCTAATTCCATATCAATATTGGAATCCATGTTCATTTATATGATTAGCTATACAAAGTAATAATTTGTTATAATATTACAAATCATAAAGTTGATGTAATGAAATGAGAAAACTTATAATAAATTTAGATTTGATGATAATTAAAACTCAAATGATTTAAAAATGCAAAAGAAATTTTTAGAGAAAGGGAAAGAAAAAATAACTATAAATAAAAAATTATCATGTATCAGATATCTTATTCATTTAACATAAATACATAAATAATATAAGTTCATTTTCAATTATATAAACAAATATAGATAGGAGAAATGTTACAAACATAAACACAATAGGATAAATTACACTCAAGAAAGAACTACTGCATAACAAAATAAAACATCTTTTCGAAAACAATTGAACGTTACATTTCTTTCTGCAAGTGTAATAAACAACTATACAAAAAATTAAGGTTATCATAAAAAAAATAGCTCCACTTCGCCATGTTGTATTTTATATTTGCGATCAAAACCAAGTCTGACAGTAGGGGCGAAACATAAATAGAAATAGATAAGAAAGACCATATTCATATTTCATAAGAATTAATTATAATATACTTCGAATAAAGAAACAAACATTACAGTTTGGTATCTCGAACTGAAATGTTATGTGCATGTCCAAAATTTTGCATCAATCAAGATCATAACATTCTACTTGAGAACAACGTGTCGCACTTTCGAATTTCTAAATATTAAAAAAAAAATAAGCATCACCTTTTTATCTCAATGCACTTCGTCACAATTTTTAGTTAAAAATATAAAACCGTATTCATTGCCGAAACATAACAACTGTGGCGGTAATTCGCGTATACTACCAACATATGATCATAAGTTTGTTTCAACCAAACTAAATAAAGTCTCGTTTCCATAATTGCGTTATCGTGTTGTTTTGATTTCCATTTCTTTGAATGTCATACAAAAATATACTGAAATTAATTCCAGACATTGTATCAGCGTCGTAATTAATATAATTAACGACGAACCATTAACGTGCGTTGCACCTAAATTGCAAATTAACGATTTAAAAATTTGTTGTAAACCGATCTGAATCATATGTACATTAACTGAAAATATTTTTGTTTTTATGGAGATCATAATACATTAAATGATAGAATTGAATTTTGTTAACAAAAAATATCAACAACAATATCGATACACACTCTACATTGTACCTAATATTTGAAAAAATTTGTTCCAATTAGTTAAACTTTAATGCGTATTTAATGAATAAATGAACTCTTCTTTCTAAATTCTCATAATGAGTTGACAAATCCTTGAAATTAGCATTCAAAAATGTATAGAAAGTGTCAAGTAACTTCTAGTCAAATATCAAACAAATATAAACATTATTGTTTCGATAAAAATGTGTATGGCACTTCTAATTCTAGATAAACATTCTGTTACTGCATCTTTAAAAAAATTACACGCGAATTCAGTAGCAAATTACTTTTGAACGCTTGAAACTTCGAGCGCATGCCCTAACTCAGTTTATAACGGTTAAGTGTGAATTTGCCTGTTGTTAGTTTAATAGTGACGTACATGTATGCTTTCGCAGGTAAAGTCAATGAGTTACAGTACATGTTAAATATTTATTCAATAGCGCATAAAAAGCGAAGAGCACACACATACACAGGGGTAAAATTTTAGTAAAAAAGCTGAACTTCGAACAACGTTGGAAAGGGGGAAAAACGAGGAAGAAAGATAGACTAAAAGCGAAAATTGATATGTGAGAAGTGTCTTAAGAATTTGAAAAAAAAACAAGTACTTGTTAAACAAAGTTGGTGATATAGCATGAGATATCGTGCAACGTAGATTGTACATTTGTTGGAACGAATTTTTATCACCCTTCGTGTTGGTATTGCCAAAAAATTGTACGCGATCCTTAGAGGACGCGTTGTCGATTATTGTTAAAGTGGAAGCTTTAGAAAATGGCCGACAGTTGGACACAAAGCGTTGTTTGCCGGTAAGATATTGTTTCATAACTTACTTTACGAGGAATTTTACTAACGGTATGAAACTAATGAAATAACGAGAGACACAGCTCTGCATGTACTAGAGTAGAGTTTATAACACGTCAAGATAAATCAATCTGTAAAAATATCAACATTTTTAAAGTTTGTGCGCTTATTTTCTTTTTCTCTTTCTTTCGTCAAGTGTATTTGTTAACTTCATGTACTTGGGACTGTATCAAAATATTGATTGTGACGGATATTATGAAAGTTTCATCTACTACTTTTACGTAGATGAAAGTGAATTGAAATTATGTGAAATTTGCAGCACATATTATTTGTTTATTTTGCGTAATTCTATTGAAATAACTTATACAAAATATTCATGAGTGGTCTCAATATTAAATTAAACTTGTTAATGATGAAATGATATTGATATTGATGTATGCTTTGATTTTTTTTTCTTTGTAGATATTTCAAAAATGGTATGTGCCGCGAAGGAAGTAATTGCAGATACCGCCATTGGAATGATGGAAATAATGAAACAACATCTTCTGCCTCATCTACAAATAATGTTTGCCGCTTTTTTAAACACGGTATCTGTAAATTTGGTAATCAATGCTATTTTCGCCATAGTACTGGAACTATTGATAATAATCTGATAAATGGAAATTCAGTAGAAAATTCAACAGAACATGCTTCAAATATTTCAACTTTGACAACAAGAAAGAATATGTAAGAATGATCCTATTTCAGCAAGATACATTACAATGTATATAAAAATGCGTGAGACAGATAATAAATTAATTAAGATAATAGAAGATATGTAATGTAGCAGAATGCGTTTATATTTTCAGTAAAGACAATACTCGTATTGCCGAAGAATGGGTGAAAGCGCCGGAATTTATACCTTTTCAAGTAGCTGGATCATCTTCTACAAATGAAGCTTCTACAACCTCAGGGACATCTACAAGTTCTTCGATGTCAATATCTTATGCTCAAGCTGTAAATCCATCAGGTCAAGCATCCAGTCCATCTTTAGAACCTTTATGTCCATTTGCAGAAGCGACTGGAATTTGCAAAAAACGAAATTGTACATATCTACATGGAGATATTTGCGAATTGTGTAATCGTGCAGTACTTCATCCGTACAACGAGGAACTTAGAAAAAAACATACAAACGTAATTATGGATTATATTATATTATTTAAATAATATATTCGATTGTATATTGTATAAAATTATTCTCCATTATTAATATTAATGTTTCAGGCATGTGTCAAACAGCATGAAGTGGACATGGAGCTTTCATTTGCTATTCAGCGCAGTAGAGAAAAGTCTTGTGGTGTTTGTTTTGAAGTTATAATGGAAAAAGCATCTGGGGAACAAAGATTCGGAATTTTACCAAATTGTAATCACTGTTTTTGCCTAAGTTGCATTAGGAAATGGAGACAAGCTAAACAGTTCGATAACAAAATTATAAGAGCTTGTCCAGAATGCCGTGCTACTTCCGACTTTGTATGTCCAAGTATGTACTGGGTTGACACTAAAGAAGAAAAAGAGAAATTAATAAGTGACTACAAATGTGCGTTAAGGTAGGATAAAACATACGTAATTATAATGTTTAGTTACGTTACATTGCTTATTTATTACAGCACCAAAGATTGTAAATATTTCAATAAGGGACGCGGAAAATGTCCATTCGGTAATAAATGCTTTTATCTACATGCACTTCCTGATGGTACTAAAACAGATGTTGGTCCTCCTGTTCGTCAACGACGTAACGCAGATGCAGATGTCGATATTTTACGTGTAAGTTGAAATTTTTATTGTGACTCGTATCATAGATTTTTTAAAAAATATTATTTAGATTTTTACTCGATTGTTGTGAAAAATGTCCAAAAAGTTTAAAATTTTTTACAGCAACTTATTTTGTGGGACTTTTTTGAGGAAAGAAACAGCCGTTGGATATATGATGTAGATTTGGAAGATATTGTTTCCCTTTTCTCAAGCTCAGAAGAGTCTGATTGGTCTGAATTTGAATTTCCGATTGAGTAGTTGTATTAATTCACTAATTTGCTACTGTTGCTGTTAACTGTATCATCTCTCAGCGACCACTAACATGTGGTTTCAATAGCTGAATAGACAAGTAGTTTATGAATTGTTTGAATAGTTATGATTTAAAGATATCTCAGCTGCATTAAAAATTTGTGTGCTTTGCTTGATGATATTTACGTGAGAAATGTGTAAATAATGTCAAGTTAATAATAATAACAAAAACAATAACAAGACAGTTACAGTCGCATGTACAATGGCAAGTTTTTAAATGTTACATAGCCAATTTGTAATCGCTTTTGTTTGTCTATCTTGACCAATATTATTACAATTAATACTCAGTAATAAGAAATATGCATCAAGTCTATTGCATCAGTGGTCCAAATTAATTCGATGAAAAGAATATATATCAATTTGCCAGCATGAAAATAAAAATTTTATTTTTCTTCTTCTCAATTTGGCTCAAATAGATTCTTTTAATAAAAAAAATAAATAAATAAATGTCACACACAACACATACATATAAGAATAAGTTTATACATTTAAAAAAATTTCTATTAAGACATTAATTTTGATTATTTTCTCGAATAGAATCATTGTTTTAAATGAAATTATTTTCGTACTATTATTTTCATTATTAATCTTTGGCTCAAAACTTAATGTTTGCTTAAAAATTCAATAAAGTAAAAAATACAGACTTACCTTTTTTATAATATAGCTTTTATAGCTTAGAATTAATTTTAATTTTGTTTGGGTACTTATACCAGAAAAAGCTACATTCGATTTTTATTATATTTATTTGTTATTCAATTTGAAGATTAAAGAATTTGTTGAACATGAAATTTTTAGTTTATAAATTAAGGAGATAGTAAGTTGTATAAACTATTGATTACAATATTCAATAAGTATTGTCTATTTGATTACCGATCATATTGAAGATACAATTAACAAGTTTCATCCTACCTCTTGTTATGGCTCTGCGAACATTTAACAAATTCCCTTAAATTATTGAGCTGTATAGTGTTAGTTTCTAATTCATAGTTTTAAGACCGTGATAAATTGCGCAAATCGAGTGTTCTATGTAATAAATGTATGCCTGGGCGAATGAAGATTTGGTTGAATGTGTGTACTGCTAAATATAATAAAAGAAAATCACTTTTAGCGAGTATGCACAAACAGATTCCAGATTTAGAAAAGATAACAAATAAAAATTATTTTATGAACAATAATTGAATTCAGAACTATTTAGAAACTTTATTTTATCATTATATTTTATTGTTTAGTGTATTTAGACATTTTTCTAAAAATTACATTTTTTTAATGAATAATATTACTCAAAAAGATACGTTATTTTGTATTAACAAATGAGGGCAATCAGAACTTTATAAACAAAAATAAAGGCCAAAGAATGGTATTAATTTTTTCTTCTGATCAAGCTATTTTATAAAAGTAATTTTTTAAAAAATTGTTCTGTATGAGTTACGTAACGAAATTGTTTTGAAATATTTTGCGCATATAAATTCTAATTGTTATTCACATATAGTTATAGGATACACGTTTCTTCATTAAAATCATCTGTCCTCAGTGTTGCCTTTAAAGAACAAGATAATTACTCTATTCATCAGTATGAGCAAATATTATTCGAAGTTTTCTCAGACAATCTTTCCACGATAAAATATGCAAGTTGTTCATATTTTCTATAGAATTTCTATATTGTTAATTTTATAGTAAATTGTTACAATTAAATGTTTATTGTTATTGCTAACGCTATTTATAAAAATATTCTAAATATTTTGTACATTATTTTTTATATAAATAGCATCTACTTTTATTTTATCTTTCATTTATATTCATTTTAATATAATATAATATTAATACATTTAATGTAAATTATCGCAGTTGAAAACACATAACAATAATTAGAATATTACATAATTTTCACATGTTATATGTATATGTATTTATTTCTTTTTAATATTTCATCATTAATTAATAAATGTTCAATAATTGATATACATGCGTTAACAATAAGAATAACAATAGTACTATTTGTCAACACTGAGTGTGACCGTTTGTAAATTTTGTGTTTTTTTTTCAATAACATATGTCTCATATAATATTGTGTAAAAAAAAACGACATATATAGTGCCAATGGGTTTGATTGTAAGCTAAATATTAATTTATTTTATGAAGTGCAATTGTAAAACAGATAATAATACTTCGTTCATATAATATTGTTATATAATATTCATATGTATCATATAATATTCATATAATAAGTTACGCGTACGTATATTTGCAATTGCACTGCTCGAGTGTATGAAATTAGAATTTTTATATAATTTGCGCGATAGTATGAGACATAAATTTTTAAAATCAAGTTACTTAATCGGTATTATGTTTTAGATGTAATTGATATTTGTTTTTTATTTCTTACCATATCGACGAATTTATTAAATAAGATTTTAATCATTACACAAGTCAAATTTTAATTTTCCTTCTGTTATATTTCATTCATTTAAATGTATATCTCTTGTTCTAGAAAAAAATACACATTACATAGACAAAAATACTTTTTTCCAATTTATTGATAAATTTTATAATTCTTTGTAAATTGAATGTAAATGCTGTTTTAAAAATATTTAATGTTTTATAGTTTATTCAAGCATATAAATAATATATATTACAATTTTAGAAATTTATACATGAATTGTAAAATTAATTTGGAATATTAATTTTTATTATAAATTCATATATAGAAATCAAAATTTTTAAATTTAGAAATATTGTTTATTTACAAACATTTTTCATAGAAAGAATATTACTGTTTTATAAACAAAACATAGTTTCATTATAAAAAGATGTAACACTTGTTTTTTTGTAAAACAACATTAAAGATAAAGTTAAATTAATCAATCATTTATTCTTAACAAATATATCTTTATTTTAGACAATGTATTTAACGAACAATGAATTAAATGAAGTGTGCGAATTATTCATTTCTGTTGAAAAATTGTAACATTTATATAACTTAAATATTACTTTGAATATACTGTACTATATGTAGGCTCGAGGTGTTTACTATAAAACTGAAGATAATATGATTAAGTAGAATGTACTAGAAATATTTTATGAAACTAAATATAATTTCGTTACGTTTATATGTTATCTTTCAATAAATACAAAAACATCAAAATACAATATTTGAGTTTGAAATTTTTTAAGTTGAATAAGTTCAAAATAATGAAATCTATCACTTGTTTTCTATTTTCTATTTCATGTTTTTCTATTTTAAATTGTGCAAATGCTTATTGATAGAATTATCTTTACGAAAATATATTATACTAACTATAACATATTTTTTATAATAATTACTTAAAGATTTTATTCTTCAATGATTATCATTTTGATAATCCTACATTTTTTGTTCTGACAATTTCTTAAATTATTGCGATTATATTTAGTATTTATATTCTATAAAATTAATTATACAAAAATTCATTCGTATTTTACATTACGAATCTAAGCAACTGATTTAACAAAATGTAAGTTTTTAGTATATTTTGCATTTTTCTTCTCTCTTTTTTTTTTTAGTGAAAAATGTAGATTATTTCTAAGCATGATTATTAATTACACGTGACCTAAGTATATAATGTCCAAAAATTTCAGAATTTTTGCTTGAATTATTCAATGCTTCTTGACATATCTCTTATCATTATCTCTTATAAATAGTATAAATTAAATTTTAGTCAAAATTCGACAACAATTTTTTATCAAAATAAAGACAAGGCACTTTTCAGGTCCCCATATTAATTTTAACGTAGTCGATAATCGTTTGGATAAACTACACTAAAATAATATATCCAAGATCATAAAATTTTCAGGTCATAATACCACGTTGGTGCAATCATTATTATTTATAAATCTGTTACAAATAGATTCTGAATATTTATTTAGACAGGTCCAGCCTATCTCGTTTTATCTAAACCATTGTGTTAGATTATTCCTTTATGCATAGTCAAAAATTATCTTAATGACGTGAGATAAGGCTGACACGTCATTCTTTGAACAGGCTGATAAATTCTTTTTTGAACCGAACCAGCAATTCCATTGTGCATAGCATTCAAGGATTCAGACTCTCCAAGATCGTTCGTTCTAACGTAATGCGATCCTCGAGAATCTTTTTGAGTCTCGCTTAAAACATTTTGTCCATTTATTTCGTTCTTCTTACGAAACTTGGTGGAATATTTATAAAAATCAGACATTTCAAAAGGTTTTGTAACTTCTCTATATGGTTGATACTTTCCAGCTTGTACAATAGTACAATTCTGAGCGGATCCTAACATAATCGATTCTTCGTTTGTTTCTTGAGGTGATTTTGATTCGGCTGGAATTTCAAGTACTTTTCGTATCGGTTCGTATCGAGATGATTGTAAATGTTGATCAGTTTCAATGGTTAACATGTCACTTTTACGATGATTTACTGAAGAAATATAATTGCCTTTGCCATCTTCGCCGTTACTATTATTGGATGTTTTAGAGCATACAGGAAGAGTGGATTGATAATGAATATTTTTATGAGAAGATAGATTAATATCTGATCCTGGACTTGTACCTGAATCCAAAGAGGTTTCATACCATTCTTTTTCTTTTCCTTTTCTACTGACATTATCCGTCGTATCTTTACCATCGTGTAATTCATGTAAATGATTTGAATGCCATTTTTCCACGCTGCCTAGAGATTGTGTACGTAGTAACATTTTATTATTAATTGGCGGCTGTTCAGATAGTGGAAGTAAATGAACAGAAGCATTTTGATGAGAGGCAATGTAAGAAGGATTTTTATTACAACCTACAGATGCTGTACGATATCGTGGTTGCACGTCGGCTCCAATACTACCAGTATTTTGAACGGCATTGCGTTTCCTTCGATCCAAACTACCAAATCTATCTGTAGCAAATTGATCATCCGGGCACCAGACAATTTCATCTTCGTACCGCATCCAATAACCTGATGGTAATTGTGATTCACTTGGTGAATTTGTGTATCGTAAATTTTTATTCGTATCCCGATCTCGCCTTAATCCGGACTGTGGTTGAGAATTACTTTTATGATATGTTGGAAACTCAGGTACATGTATATAATGTAATGTACGAAAGTCCCTTTCATAATATTCTTGTCCAGACCTTCGTTGGACATCATTGTCCAAATGTTTGTAGTCAGAATATTGTGGATAATTATGCACCTGTTCTGGTTGAAATTGACGACATCTTATTTGCCGTTCGTCTTCGGTATATGTGCCTGGTAATGGTCGATAGGTCCGTTCATTATCTTGATAATGATTTTGATTGCGCGAACCACCACTACCGTGAGAATATGTTCGCGTGCGACATTGGTCGGGTAATATATAAACATTTTGATTATCGTTATGATCATGTTCTATTATTTTTATACTTTGTCGCTGGTCGGAAATTGTAGGGCAATAAGTACCAATGTGATTATGATTACAATTGTTAGGAATCATTGATTGATCGTCATATCCATGACTAGGATAAACGTTACACTTATCTTCCGATCCTAATGGACTCAAACTTATGCCACCCTCTTGGAGCAGTCCTCTCGTAATTTTTGAATTTACGTCGTTTACTATAAGGACATAAATTTTAAAATAAAGTTAAACAATTGGCTCTTTTTTAAACTAGAATAAAAAATTATTGTACCTGTGCCATCTAATGGTGGTCGAGGTTTCTTTGTTCTATGCTTTACATTTAAATGTAAATGTGGTGGGACATTACAAACAATAGAATGTTGGAGTTGCGTTGAATGATGAGATTTATTACGGCTTTGTCTCAGAAAATTTAAACGTGCCTCCAGCTCTTGTAGCCTGCGTTGGCTTTGTTGGTAAACAAGTCTATGCTTACGGCGTACTGCCTTACTTTCCGTAGGATCATTTACAATTCCTAAAGCAGCTTCTACTATACCAATTTGAACTTGTCGTTCCAACTCTAAAGCAGATTCCTCCTAGGAAGAATACAAAATAAATCACTTGTGTTTTACTTTGATTGTGTAAATTATAATTTCTTAAAATTTCGCGAAACATACAACTTCGTTCGTTTTCAATTTGTTGATTAAATTCTGTGGATAGGTAAACGTTGTTCCAACTTTTTTGTGGAAAACTGGCGGGCTCTCTCCAGGTTCTAACGGAATTTCTGGTGGCAAAACACCAGTTAATTCCGCTTCTTCTACACACAGATTTTTAAGTTCATTATTTTTTTGAGCCAACTTTTCCTGCAACGCTTCTCTACGTTGACGAAGCCATTGCAATCTTGTGGACAATGAATCTTCTGCTAAAGATCCAGGTGTACTTTCGTTCCCTGCCATCACTTTGGATAAATCATTTCAGTTATAACTTACGAACATAATTTACTTTTCTATCAAGCAATGTAACAAAGCAAACTCTAATAATTGTACTTCATATTGCTTACCCATATTATTGGCAAAATATAACAATATTATCCACTACAGGTATTTTGTCTGAAATGTTTACATAATCGAGTTATAGTTAAGTCAATTTCAATTTGTTTGATATAGAATATGTAACTGAAATTGTATCATTGTTGACGAGTTCTTCGTTTCAAAAATTTTCCTTGAAAATCCTAGCTGTTTTTATCATTCTTAAATTGCTTTAAAATGTGATGAGATCCGTAAAACACGATAATAGTTGCCAACACGACTAGGTTAATTATTAACTAAGATTACATATTTGTGCTATTACGTCATGGTAATCAGGTTTGGAGTCTGTTTTATCGGTATTTATCAATGAACCAAACAAACAAGTAAATATATTTTCACTGTTTCAACATAAAAACACGTACATTTTACTGTGGAAACGAAAAATATGATCGCAGAAATCGACGCCTATTATCTTTGTACAGTTGCCATCTTGCATTCTATGTATCATCTACATGGTGATCCGATGCAAGTAACTGAATATTATTTGCAGCCATACAAATTTTCACGAATATCTCTTACGTATAAATTATAAAGATTTACTTTTCAAGTGGAAATTCATATTTTTGCTGAAATAGTTTTATTAGTTGAACATAATAGCATTACATAATTATATCCAGCGGTGTCATTAGTCTGTCTGATCGACACTGATTTTTTAATAACATACTTCATATTCCGCAGATTTCGAACTTTACGTCAAATTTGTACAAAATTAACTTATAACGCGGTCTGAAAAATTTAGTAATTAAACAAATAATAAGTCATCGTGAATCATTGATGAAAAAGTTCAAATTAAAAATCGTAGACTGACTTGCAGTAAAAGCATTGACTATAAAACAGTAGATCCTAAATTCAATGTTTTGTCATGTTACTCGTTTTAGGGTTGATCTGATCATAATTTCGTATTATACGACATATGCGCGTTCTTGATCGTTCAAAATAAATTCGATTTAGTTAAAAATAGTTCCCAAGATTATTAAGGCAATTTGGGAACTTTTTTAATTGGCTTAAAAATTTTTCTTTGCAAGTGAAAATTTCTTCGAGTAATGGACGCTGAAACGGTAGAACTAATAAACTCGCTATTACTATCCTTGTTGTACTCGTATTTATACAGCTATCCTTCTTTATCTATAGAAGTGCTGCATATCCGAGAAGCAGCTCTAAAAGATGTTTCCAAAAAATATGGCGGCGCGGGCATTTTTAAAACGAGCTAAAGCGATGACGTCGATTACAGAAAGCAATACAAAAAAAAAAAAAAAAAAAAAAAAAAATAAAATAGCGGAAAATATATTATAATTTCAGTTGTTAAGAATTAAGTAAAGCAAGCGGTCGGCAAGTAAACATCTTGTTGTACATAAATTAAAATAAACAGTAGTCGTGGTTCTTTTGTTAATGCTCGTAATATATTTATTAAAAGGAGTAAATCTCTATAAAAAAAAGTGTAGCGACCTCTACTTCGAAGAATTTAGATCAACGACATCTATGTTCCGTCGAGATGTGTATTTAATATAAACA